TGGGTTAATGCTAATTGATGGCCCTATAAACAGGTTGTTTTTTCACCAAGTAGTCAAACAAGACACATCTCATGATGGGTAAAAGCAAGGAGCTCTCTCAAGACCTTCGCAACCTGATTGTTGCTCAGCATCACAATGGAACTGGTTACAGACTTATCTCAAAGCATCTGAGTATTCCAGTAAGCACCGTTGGGGCCATTATCCGCAAGTGGAAGAAGCATCACCTTATCATCAACAGGCCGCGCACAGGAGCTCCTCGCAAGATTTCTGATCAGGGAGTCAGAAAGATGGTCAGAAGAGTTCTCAAAGAGCCAAGGACCACCCGGAAAGCGCTCCAGAAAGACATGGAGGCAGCAGGTACAAGTGTTACAGAGAAAACGATAGGCAATGCACTCCACCGCCATGGCCTCTATGGACACTCAGCCCGCCAGACTCCATTCCTCAAAAAAAGGCATGTTGAAGCTCGTTTAAAGTTTGCTAAACAGCATCTGGATAAGCCTGTGGAATACTGGGAGAATGTTGTCTGGTCAGACGAGACCAAAATTGAACTTTTTGGCTGTCATACTACACACCATGTTTGGAGGAGAAATGGCACTGCACATCACCCAAATAACACTATACCAACAGTGAAGTTTGGTGGTGGAAACATCATGGCATGGGGTTGTTTCTCATCTCGTGGTACTGGCAGACTTCATATAATTGAAGGAGCAATGAATGGAAACATCTATCGGCAAATTCTTGAGATGAACCTGCTGCCATCCACCAGGATGATGAAGATGAGACATGGCTGGACCTTTCAACAGGACAACGATCCGAAGCACACGGCAAAGTTGACTCTCGAATGGTTTAAAAAAAAGAAAATCAATGTGTTAGAATGGCCCAGTCAATCACCTGACTTAAATCCGATTGAACATTTGTGGAAAGAACTAAAGAAAAGGGTTCACCAGAGGGCACCAAAGAATATTCAAGATTTAAAGACAATCTGTACGGAGGAATGGGCAAAAATCACACCTGAGCAGTGTGGGCGATTAGTTAATACATACAAGAAGCGTCTGGAAGCTGTCATTGCAAACAAAGGCTTCTCCACAAAGTATTAAACGAGTCTCAGATAGTGTGTTCAATACTTTTTTCCTGTGTTATTGCACTTAATTCCACATATTCATTATATATGGACTTGAATGTTGTGATTTCTTATATATATATATACATGTGTGTGTGTGTGTGTGTGTGTGTGTGTGCGTGCGTGTGTGTGTGTGTGTATACAGTATATCCCTGAAAGGGATTATTAATCACTGGTGGCCAACTTCACCTTTTGCCTCCACCCATTCTCTGTGTCTCAGTTGCATAACACCAGTTGTTAGAAGTGCTAGTAAGCACTAAGTTCATCTTTTTTGAGTTAATAATTGTTAAATCGGTCAGCACATGTCTGAACAGCCCATCTCCTCATCGCACAACCACCATGGAGCTACAGCAGCGCTTTTGTGTTTCCATGCTCTTAGCACTCTGTTTCGTACACAGTGCTAATGCAGGGAATATTTTAGTGTGGTACACTGAGGGCAGTCACTGGATAAACATGAAGACTGTGCTTCAATCACTGATTGAGCGAGGACACATGGTGACCGTCTTGGTGCCGAGTTCGTCTATGTTCATGGACAAAGATGTGTCTGACTTCAACTACCAACCATTCAATGCATCTGTATCGTTGGAAGAAATGGAAAAATTTATTGAAGAGTTTCTGCATTTTGCAGTTTATGAGATGGATCAACTGAGCTATCTTCAGATCTACATCAAATTCATTGGGAAGATGAGGCAAAATGTTCAGTATGGCTTGAAGTATTTGAATGGAGTGGTGAAATCAGAACCAGTCATGAAAAAGTTGAAGGAAGAGAAATTTGATGTCCTCCTGGCTGACCCTATCTACCCTGGCAGTGATCTAGTTGCGGACATTTTAGGAATCCCCCTGGTTTTTACTCTTCGCTTTTCCTTAGTTAATAACTGGGAGAGACATTGTGGTCAACGACCTGCCCCCCCTTCATACGTACCTGGAGCTATGAGTAAACTGACTGAAAAGATGGACTTTTCAGAACGAGTGTGGAATTTTGGTTTCTACTTACTGAATGATCTGGTTTACGACTACGTCTTTTGGAAAGATCTAGACGAATATTACTCTGACTTCAAAGGTGAGCATATCCACATCCATGTGAAAGCCTGGTGGAAAATGTCATATCAGGTAATATGTTGGTAATGCTGTTCTTTTTTTTTCCTCATTTATTTATGCATTATGACAGGTATACCCACAAGTGCTTGTAAGATGATGGGCACAGCAGACATCTGGCTGATAAGAAACTACTGGGACTTCGATTTTCCTCATCCTTTACTCCCCAACTTCAAATATGTTGGCGGGATCCACTGCAAACCTACTAAACCTTTGCCTCATGTAAATTTGACTTTATTGGTTAATCCTAGTTGTTGTTTGATACTAGCAGGAACTTTATTACATCATTAACTAAGAAACTGATGCCAGGCCTGAAATTATCTCAACACTGCCCCCATATTGAGTTTATTGCAACAATGCCAAAGTAAAGCATTCATAGGAGTGAATGTGGGCAGTGACGCTGTGAACAGACAGTACCTAAGAGGGTTATTAAATCATTTGTACTGCAGTGTTGGAAGTGAATTCATTTTAAGCGCAATTAAAAAAAAATAATTTGTCACAGAACATTGAAGACTTTGTCCAGAGTTCGGGAGAACATGGTGTTGTAGTCTTCTCTTTGGGTTCATTGATCACAAAAATTACCAGGGAAAGGGCAAACATGATCGCTTCAGCCCTTGCTCAGATCCCGCAAAAGGTCGTCAGTGCTTTACTTTCAAAAATAAATAAATAAATAATTAGAGGCATTCATTTGTCATAAAATAATACTATGTGTTGATTGACACTTCTGCAGGTTCTGTGGAGCTACAAAGGAAAAAAACCAGACACTCTGGGTGCCAACACAGGATTATTTGACTGGCTCCCTCAGAATGACCTGCTGGGTAAATTCAACTCTGAACAGATGTATTTCCAGACTTGTTTTAGACCTTATTTAAATATGATCTTATTTTAATATCAGAACCAGTTTGAATAGGAGTCACCTAGCATGTGCCTTGAATCAGTTGTGCCTGTCACACTATGGATCTTCTCATGTGTACAATGGATCTGACCATTCAAACACAAAAGTTAGATATATACGGTGAAAAATGTTATTTATGTTTAATGTTCTTTGTTTCTCCATTAGGTCACCCAAAGACCAGAGCCTTTATCACCCACGGAGGTGCAAATGGCATTTATGAAGCCATTTATCACGGTGTTCCTATGGTGGGGATCCCCATGTTTGCTGACCAGCCATCTAACATAATCCACATGACGGCCAGGGGAGCTGCACGAATTGTGGATTTGAACTTCATGACGACGGAGGACCTGAAAGATGCCATCACTACAGTTGTCAATGACAAATCGTGAGCACAGAATTACTTCTGGACTGAAGTATTATTTTAAGGGTTCGTGGTAGCAGCTGCTGCTGTCTCCCCACACCATGCAGGTCATTGAGTTACATTTCTGATTGTTCTTTTTAACCATGTGTTGTTGGGCTTTTTTGGTCCCTTAGTTCCAATCTACTATATGTTTATATATTTTGTCAAATAGATAGTGTAGTTCAGGATGACCTGCTGCTGTAATCTGCTTTTTGTTTGAAGTATGAGTGTAAATGATTTATAGTGTAGTTCAGGATGACCTGCTGCTGCAATCTGGCTTTTGTTGAAAGGATGAGTTTAAATGATGTATCTCTTTATCTCTGTGGCTAAAAACAGAATCAACAACAAAAAAAAAAAACAAATTCATTATTAGCCAACTGGTCAAACAAATGATTAGCGCACTTATCAGGATTTCAACATTTAACCAAATGTAACCTATTAAGGAAAAACATTGATGAATACTGGATATCCTTTAGAGAATAAAGCAAATTAAATGTTAAACTTAGTGTGATATAAGTTACTGGGGAAAAACTATAACTGGAAACTATGTAAATCTTCATCCACAGTTACAAGGAGAACGCCATGCAACTGTCCAGGATCCACCATGACAGACCCATGAGTCCTCGTGATGAGGCCATATTCTGGATTGAGTACACCATGAGAAACAAGGGGGCCAAACACTTGAGGGTCCAAGCCCATGAGCTCACCTGGTTCCAGTACCACAGTCTGGATGTCCTGGTCTTCCTCCTCTCCATTGTCCTGCTCATCACTCTCCTCTTCATCAAGGCCTGCAGTCTCTGCTTCAGGAGATGCTGCGGCAGCAAAAGAAAGAGGAAGACTGAGTAAAGGACTGGTCACTAATGTCATCATTAGTGTGAAGCTGCTGCTGATTCACCAGCTCATTAAGAATAAATATTGTTTAATATGTGTGCATTTGATTGTCAGAAGATATATCTAACCATTTAAAAGATGAATTATTTTCCTTATCAGTTCCACACCTTCTGTGTAGTTGTTTTTTTTTTTTGTTTTTTTTTTGTTTTTTGTTTTTTTGTTGTTTTTTTTTGGTAAAGATTGCAAATAAAACCAATTTATTCCAGAGCATTTTTATATGACGTTCTCCAGCTGAAAATCTACTGTGGTGTTTAGGTCTGTTTTGGTCTTACATTGTACTCGTTGTTGTTTATTCCCCTTTAACCACGAGTATTACAAGTATTAGCTACAGTATCTTATGCTGTACAAAGAGTAACCTACAGAGACATTGAACCGTATCAGGTTAATCATTGATTCAACAAGGCTTTGACTGAAGACAAAACTCCACTTATGTCAAACAGCAACCATGGAGCAACAGCAACACTTGTTTGTTTGCATCTTGTTGGCGTTTTGCTTGACAAGCAGCACCAATGGAGGGAAAGTGTTAGTGTGGTACACCGAGGCCAGCCATTGGATTAACATGAAGCATGTACTGGAAACACTTGTGGACAGAGGACATGCGGTGACTGTCTTGATGCCAAGCGCATCTCTTTATATGGACAAGGATTCAAAATTTCAATATGAAACCTTCAATGTGTCAGTCACAAAGGAGGACATTTTTTCTAGATGACCTATTATACTTTGTCTTATATGAGATGGATCGCATGGGCTACTCAGAGATTTTACTCAAATTATCGAAGATAATGAAGCTGAATATGGATTTTGTCTTCAAGTGTTTGGATGGTGTGGTGAAGTCAGGTCCAACAATGAAAAGTCTTAAAGAGAAACAATTTGATGTCCTCCTGGCTGACCCTGTCTTCTTTGGCAGTGAACTAGTTTCGGACATTTTAGGAATCCCTCTGATTTATTCTCTGCGCTTTTCCCACATTAAAATCTTGGAGAGACAATGTGGTCAACTACCTGCTCCACCTTCATTTGTACCTGCATTTACTACCAGATTGACTGATAAAATGGACTTTCTAGAGAGAGTATGGAATTTTGTCTTCTACTTAGGGAATGACTTGGCATTTAATGGTGTTTGGAGAGAAGTAGATAAATATTACTCTGAAGTCAGAGGTGAGTGTTTCCACAAAGTGGATAGATTAGAAAACAGTCGCATTGGGGCTGTCAAATGAATACAGTTTTTTAAACATGTCAGCTGTGGAACAGTGAAACGTCATCTTTCCTCAATAAGACCTACAATAAAAGTAATGTATATTGCTGACACAGACAATAACAGCTGGTATGGTACATCTACAGGATGCACTTGATGGTTGGTGGCTTGTAGAACCGGTTGAGATTTGCAACTTGCAAAACGTTGATAAAGCTGATGTCTTGAACATTCTTCTTCTGTCTATAATCCCTTGCAATCAAGTCAGCCATAAACTTGTAAGGTATAGCACATTAAGTTGAAGGCCCAACTAACGTATACGCATTAAAAAAGCATTTTAAGCTTAAGATACTTCATTGAAATTACCCCAAGCCCCCTTTCCCCACAGTGTGTGTGAACAATATCTGTTTTGACCAAGTATAAGAGCAAGGTTAAGTGGATGGACAGTGGAACTATTTGATTTGTGTTTCATGCTGCCATTGCTTTAAAATTTTTAATTGGATTAATTTCACTTATTAATAAAAACGTGTTACTATTGACAGCTCTGTCGTAAATATTTTAAGTCTTAGTATACGCATTAAAATGTTCTCTCTTTTTTTCCCATTTATTTGTTTCAACAGGTACACCCACCAGTGCTTGTGAAATGGTTGGTCAAACAGACATCTGGCTGATAAGAAACTACTGGGACTTTGATTTCCCTCATCCAATTCTCCCCAACTTCAAATACGTCGGCGGGATCCACTGCAGACCTGCTAATCCTTTGCCGGAGGTCTATAGTTAAGCAAGACTATTTGTTTTTAATTATGAATCCACAATGTACATAGATAATGAGCAACCTAAGGTGCAACGATGGAAATAATTTACCTTACATTCCCTGTAGGATATTGAAGAGTTTGTCCAGAGTTCTGGAGAACATGGTGTTGTAGTCTTCAGTTTGGGTTCATTCATTACAAACTTAACAAGAGAGAAGGGAAACGTGATCGCTTCAGCTCTTGCTCAGATCCCACAAAAGGTCAGGATGAGTAATGATTGGTTTTGTACATGTATCAGACATACATTTTTGAAAAGTCACAGCAAAATTTAGCAAATTTAAAAAATCTTAAAATGTATACTTTACAGTTTAAGCATTAATTTTAGGGGTTAAGTGAGTTATGTTCGTTTATTGTTAGATGGCTCAGCACACAGGTCAGTATTCAAAAGGGCTATACCTGGGAATTTCAACTGTATTTGGTTCGATTTTAATACAAAAATTATCACAGTTTTTATAATATTCTTTATCTTAAAACAAACAAACATTAAACTGTATACTGACAAGCAAACAACAACTACAACCCCTTGTGTGCTCTCTTGCTATGTCTAGGTAGTATGGGGATACAAAGGAGAAAAACCAGAGACTCTGGGTGTCAACACAAGACTATATAAGTGGATCCCTCAGAATGACTTGCTGGGTAACAAAAACCTGAAACAAATAACAAAGACACAAGGAAAAGAAGAACATACAATATCCATGACTTATGTGTTTCATAACATTATATAGAGATATGATACACTTCTAAATACTAGGTCCACATCTTTAGGAACCTCAAAAGTCAGCATTTATAAATCTGTTTGACTGATTCTATATAAAATAATCATAATAATATCAATTAGCTGTACCAGTAAAATTCAATTTTATTTAGAACAGGGTAACTTTTTTGGTTTGACATTACTAATTAACTCTGAATAGATAATTGAAAACAATTAATAATTGAAAGTTTAAAAAAAAAAAGCATTATAGTTAACTATTATTACCATGTAATTGTTGCTAAAGGCCAAAAACCTGGGAGTGTGACATTTACAAATAACACAAAAAAGTAATTCATGTTTCACGTTCTCTTTTATCCTACGAGGTCATCCCAAGACCAGAGCTTTTGTCACTCATGGAGGTGCAAATGGTATTTATGAGGCTGTGTATCATGGCATTCCTATGGTGGGCATCCCCCTGGTTGGCGACCAGCCAGGCAACATGTTACAGATGAAGTCCAGAGGAGTTGCACTCTTCATAGATTTAAAGGTTTTGACGACTGAGAATTTGAGAGATTCTATCACCACCGTTATTAATGACCAATCGTAAGTTCTTCATCCCATCTGTACCAAACCATATTTCTAACAACTGGTCGTTTGTTTGTGGCTACGCGGCAATTTAGTGCTTATGGGTGTCAACATGCAGAAAGTTTGTTTGTACTGTGACAACCATCCAGCCATGCTAGATTAACTATAGTGTAGATTAAATCTAAATAAATAAATAAACACAACCATCTCTTTATATCAATATCCACAGTTACAAGGAGAACGCCATGCGACTGTCCAGGATCCACCATGACAGACCCATGAGTCCTCGTGATGAGGCCATATTCTGGATTGAGTACACCATGAGAAACAAGGGGGCCAAACACTTGAGGGTCCAAGCCCATGAGCTCACCTGGTTCCAGTACCACAGTCTGGATGTCCTGGTCTTCCTCCTCTCCATTGTCCTGCTCATCACTCTCCTCTTCATCAAGGCCTGCAGTCTCTGCTTCAGGAGATGCTGCGGCAGCAAAAGAAAGAGGAAGACTGAGTAAAGGACTGGTCACTAATGTCATCATTAGTGTGAAGCTGATGATGCGGTCTGTCCTAATAATCATTAAAAAGACAAAGATTAGACATAGACCTAATAAATGCACACATTTATGTCAAAGCTATTCTTCTCAATCATAGGAAATTAAGCCTTCCAAGCCTTCCAGCAAATTGTTGCTTTGAGATACAAGTACAGATTTGAGATATCAGCATGCTTATAGACGCCGACGCTAGGTGGCTGAGTACTCGGAGAAGCTCACATCACTTCATGTGTTCGTTGATTTCCGTACTTATCTCTGATGAGTCTTCTGTATTGTTTGTGTTATCTACATGATTTTCTCTCTATACGGTACATTATTCTTCATATTAGTGATGATTCCTAAGAGAGTAAGTGGTAAGGATGGTAGTGAGAAGAAGAAACACATGATGACCATGGAAATTAATTGTCGATAAATACGAGCGTGGTGCCCGCTAAAGAAAATAATAGAAATTGGGGGAGAGGGTTGGGGGGGGGGTGATTTAAGTTAATTCTAACTTTATGTATGTTACGTAGTGTACGTGTAAGGTGTGTGTATGTCTCTATAGCAATTAAAAACATGTTTGTTTTTACATATTATTTTTCTGTTATTTCTTATGGGGGGAAGATTCAAAATACGAATGTATTATACTCGTATCTCGAGGTTCCACTGTACTAAACATGCCTTTGCCTGTTGATAGATAGACAGGCAGGCAGACAGACAGACAGACAGACAGACAGACAGATAGACAGATAGATAGATAGACAGACAGACAGATAGACAGACAGATAGATAGACAGATAGACAGACAGATAGATAGATAGCACTTTATTAATCCCTTGGGAGAAAATTTATGATGCACCCCCGCCAAAGTTATTGAAGTTTTTATCAAAGTTTTTAAACTTTGGCCTTTATATTACCTTCAAGAACCTGTTCATGTTTAACTTCCAACCAAGAGTATGAGTGGTCTTTGCTATCTTATGCTGTACAAAGAGTAGCCTACAGAGACATTGAACCGTATCAGGTTAATCATTGATTCATCAAAGCTTTGACTGAAGACAAAGCTCCACATTATGTCAAGCAGCAACCATGGAGCAACAGCAACACTTGTTTGTTTGCATCTTGTTGGCGTTTTGCTTGACAAGCAGCACCAATGGAGGGAAAGTGTTAGTGTGGTACACCGAGGCCAGCCATTGGATTAACATGAAGCATGTACTGGAAACACTTGTGGACAGAGGACATGCGGTGACTGTCTTGATGCTCTTCATGGACAACAAGGATTCAAAATTTAAATATGAAACCTTTAACGTGTCATTTCCATTAGAGGAAATTGAAAAGTTCCTTGAAGATTATTTACACTTTTCCATGTATGAAATGGATCAGCTCAGCTATTTGCAGATCTACATCAGACATATTGAGCTAGCCAAAATGGACTTGTACTACAATTTGAAGTATTTGGATGGCATCATAAAATCAGAATTTATGATGAAAAAGCTAAAGGATGAAAATTTTGACGTCCTCCTGGCTGACCCTATCTACCCTGGCAGTGATCTAGTTGCGGACATTTTAGGAATCCCCCTGGTTTTTACTCTTCGCTTTTCCTTAGTTAATAACTGGGAGAGACATTGTGGTCAACGACCTGCCCCCCCTTCATACGTACCTGGAGCTATGAGTAAACTGACTGAAAAGATGGACTTCTCAGAACGAGTGTGGAATTTTGGCTTCTACTTACTGAATGATCTGATGTATCAGCACTTTTTTTGGAAAGATATAGACAAATACTACTCCGATGTCAAAGGTGGGACTGTGTATTGGCTGTTGGATTGCCGCTCTGGTTTAGTCATATTATTGTAAGTATTGATTATGCAGTCATTTTTTGTCATTATTTATGCCTGAAAGGTACACCCACAAGTGGTTGTGAGATGATGGGAAAAGCAGACTTCTGGTTAATTCGGACCTACTGGGACTTTGATTCCCCTCATCCTATCCTACCCAACTTTAAATACGTCGGTGGGATCCACTGTAAACCTGCAAAACCTTTGCCAAAAGTAAAGTTGTCCTCAAGTTGTAAGAAGTGTTTATGTTTCCAAAGGGTCTGTTTTTAATCATATTCATATATTTGTCCTTAATATTGCAGCATATTGAAGAATTTGTGCAGGGTTCAGGTGAACACGGGGTCATAGTCTTCACTTTTGGATCAATGATCAACAACATCACCAGAGAAAAAGCAAACATGATCGCTTCAGCTCTTGCCCAAATCCCACAAAAGGTCAGCACTAATATAATCACTCATTATATTCCAATCGTACTGCACCATAGTTATTCTGTGCCATCATTTCTGAAGTATTTCTGTTATTACTGTACTTCATAGGTTCTGTGGAAATACAAAGGAGAAACACCAGAGACTTTAGGTGCCAACACGAGACTATATGACTGGATACCACAGAATGACCTGCTAGGTAAATTTAACTGTGTGAAATCCAAGGACATTAAGCATTGATTATGTTAACAAGGCAACTATGCCAGCCAATAGATGGTTTTGAGATCATCGTTATTACTCATATTGCATCGCAAAAGACGCAAATAGGTAGACAACTGATAATGACAACACCAGCACAATTACAAAGGCAAGATACTTGGACAAGTTGAAAATAATCAATGGCAAAGATTTACACTAAGTCAACAAAGCTGAGTGGACGTGGACGGACATTGAATGTTGGCCAGACAATGTATATCACACGGTATTTATTAACAACTAAATGATACAGTGTGTTAATGTAAAAATCACAGTGGCATGTATGGATGTATGTCTTTTGTGAACATCATTAGAATAACAGCTTACATGAAAAAAATCATGTTTTACTATTGACTAGATTATACTTTTTTTTTCCAAATTCACCAAAAAATATATTTTTTACTTTCTTCATTAAAATAAAAATAGTTTGATTGTACATGTACATAGACAATACTGATAATGATATGGACTGTGGTCATCTGACGATTTACGTTTATATTGTGTACATTTACATTACATGTATGCAAAGTACATTTTAATATATTTTAATTTTACTGACATTGAACATATGAATCAAATATATGAAAATACAGGCTGGTGGTCTGCCTGCTGGGCATTGCTGCCTGATGCACCTCCACCAGTGCCTTTGTGTTGGCATGCTCATCTGAACACCTCCCTGTGCCCCACTAGTGCCTGAGTGTCTAGTGGTGCCAACTTACCTCAAGGGTGATTTCCTTGGTATGATCACGGGGTGGGGATTAGGGCTGTGGAAGGGGAATTATTGGGGGTCATCCTTATACTTACCTTCAGGGTATGGGAAGGGGCTGAGGGAAGATGGGGTGTCTTACTGGACTATAGCTTTTCTGATTAGCTGGTTGTTTTAATAAATTGACTATCTTATTGTAAGACACATCTTCAGTAGTGGATAAAAAATATAATGTAATTACCCAAAATAAAGTGTTCAGAACAGACTTTGTGATGCCTTTTGCTGGGATCAGAGTTGAAATTAGCACGGTTAATATGTAAAAGCCATAGCATCCTTCTTTCTGTTGAAATGTCCTGCGTCAGCTTCCCTTGGTGACAGATCGCTTTATGTCAAAAAACACAGGTATTTACCATTATTGGTGTTCTTTTGTGTATTTAATATCTATCTATACGCTCTGTTGACACACAAGATGGTGGACTACGGTAGTAGCGTGATGTCATCAGAAAACTATCTATTATGTAAGTCTTATTATAATTATAAATGAAAGATTAAATTCATAAGATAAAGCCTGTAACACTAACATGTTCTTTACACATACAGGCCAAAGAAATGAACATTTAAAACATGTTTCTGTCTGCGAAGAATTATGCGATATATTCTCTGACGATTTTAAGTAGGGCTCAATTTAAATCCTTAATTAAAATTTGCCATAGTGATGCAGTTTAAAATAAGATACTGGTGACATCATTACCCATCTTGAGATTAAATTAAATAAATCTACGATCTTTGTTTCTCCACTAGGTCACCCCAAGACCAGAGCTTTTGTCACCCATGGAGGAACAAATGGAATATATGAAGCCATCTATCACGGTGTTCCGATGGTGGGGATCCCCATGTTTGCTGACCAGCCATCTAACATAATCCAGCTAAAGGCTAGAGGAGCTGCTCTCATCTTAAATTTGAACTTTATGACGACTGAGGACTTCAGAGATGCCCTCACTATTGTTATTAACGACAAATCGTAAGTTTCAACAATTTTAAATGATGCCTCAAAAACATGTATGTCATCTCTTTAGTTTACCTTCCATCATGGACTCTGTACTTAGGTTGTGATAAGCATAACACAGCCACTTATCAATGATTACCCGCAATCACAGTTACAAGTAGAACGCCATGCGACTGTCCAAGACAAATCGTGAGCACTGAATTACTTTTGGACTGAAGTATTATTTTAAGGGTTCGTGGTAGCAGCTGCTGCTGTCTCCCCACACCATGCAGGTCATTGAGTTACATTTCTGATTGTTCTTTTTAACCATGTGTTGTTGGGCTTTTTTGGTCCCTTAGTTCCAATCTACTATATGTTTATATATTTTGTCAAATAGATAGTGTAGTTCAGGATGACCTGCTGCTGCAATCTGGCTTTTGTTGAAAGGATGAGTTTAAATGATGTATCTCTTTATCTCTGTGGCTAAAAACAGAATCAACAAAAAAACCAAATTCATTATTGGCCAACTGGTCAAACAAATTATTGGCTCACTTAACAGGATTTCAACATTTAACCAAATGTAACCTATTAAGGAAAAACATTGATGAATACTGGATATCCTTTAGAGAATAAAGCAAATTAAATGTTAAACGTAGTGTGATATAAGTTACTGGGGAAAAACTATAACTGGAAACTATGTAAATCTTCATCCACAGTTACAAGGAGAACGCCATGCAACTGTCCAGGATCCACCATGACAGACCCATGAGTCCTCGTGATGAGGCCATATTCTGGATTGAGTACACCATGAGAAACAAGGGGGCCAAACACTTGAGGGTCCAAGCCCATGAGCTCACCTGGTTCCAGTACCACAGTCTGGATGTCCTGGTCTTCCTCCTCTCCATTGTCCTGCTCATCACTCTCCTCTTCATCAAGGCCTGCAGTCTCTGCTTCAGGAGATGCTGCGGCAGCAAAAGAAAGACTAAGAGGGAATAAATGACATTCACGTTTAAAAGTGAAAAAAAAAATGTGAATATCTATGAAGATTCTCAGTCATCCAGGTCATGGTCAAGGTTGAAAAGTAGTTAGGCAACTGGACGTGAAATTCTAAAAGATGTTTCACCTCTCATTCAAGTGACTCCCCACTACCGGTTAGAACTGAAGAAGCCTCTTGGATGAAAGGTGAAACATCTTTTAGAAAATTCACATCCAGTTGCCTAACAGAACTATTCAACCTTGATCATGACCTGGATGACTGAGAATCTTCATAGACATTCACATTTTTCAACTTTTGTGTTCTACAGTTTTGTTTTAACCTGTTTGACGCTCAAAAAAGCACTGATAATGTTTTTTTGAAATAAACTGGTGAAACATAGTTACACCAAGTTATTTTCCCCCACAGATGCAAAGGACTTTTGGTAATACCTGGGGCCAATTAGACATTCAGAGCTCGCAGCTCATAGGTTGGTCAAAGTGTGGAAAGAAAGGAACACAACAAAGGAATTGATTCTTTGCTTTTACTTAATGGATAATTCCAGTTTTCTAATACACTTCCTTTTCTTCATACACATAATTTACAACTCAGATTTCAATTTCATTCTCAAACAAAAAATACAGTTACATTTTGTAATTGTGAAGCCACTGCAGAAAAGGAATCAGTGTATTATTCATTTTTCTTATAACTATTTCTTCAGTTTTCCATCCTTCTTAGTTTTCCATAACATCAGCTCCATGCATGCTGCAGCATCTTCTGCAGTGTCGTGTCCACAAACTGGGGGAAACAAATACATTCTTTGTTACATGCAAACAATGCCAACATTTTCAAACATAAAACCTGGTACTTTATTTGAACCTAGAGCATTGATACAAAACCATCTAATGTGGTGGCTGTAAGATTTGATAAAGACCCACCTCTCTCCTGAATGATCTTGCGCAGGAATTCAGCAGTGAGATGGTTGAGGGGGTGCTTGTGTGGAGGTCCCAAACGATGGGGAAACACCAATGATGTGTCCACCACTCTACCATGGAGCAGCTACAGCAAAGAGAGTAGAGAGGCATCCTGATCAAAAAAACTCTGTAATAATCATGAAAACTATCCAGTTGCTGCTTTTAACTTTTAATCCCAACTATACAAATACACTATCATTTTTGATCTTATAGAAGTAGGCAGATCTCCCATAAATATTTGTATGAATCAAAATCTTAGAGGTACTATAATTACTGTTAAATTATGTTTTGCTATAATCTTTTAAAAATGTTTGTTAATGTTACAATAACTGTATTAGTTGCATAGGGGTTAAACACATTTAAATTGTGTATCAAATATAACAAACAAAAAATCTTTTGCAGAATCTTACTTGAAATTAAATCAATATATGAAAAGTATCCAATTTTTTACAAAACCTCTGTTCACACACTGAACACTGGGCCATTTTTATGCAGTAGCAGTCATCAGAACATAGCAGTATCACACTCATGACACTAGGAAAAACAGTCACCTTCAAGGCACAGAGGGCTTTTTCCAGGCCGTGTCCAATCAGAATGGTATCAGCATTAATGAAGCTCATCAAGGTCTCTTGCACCTCCCTGAGTGAAGTGTTGTTACCTTTCAAATCTTCCTCACTGACACCTGAAAACCTTAATTGGCAAAACAAAAGATGGTGAAAGCACCATGGTGTCACAGCTGTGGTTGTTGGTTAGAAAACATGATTAAATATAAGTCACAAGGACTAAGGACAACAGGCTACATATAATGTAAAACGGCACACAGACACCTAATTTACCTCGTGTTATAGTCGATCAACTCATTGTCAGGTCTGACAAATGTGTCGTAGATGACTTGCAGACGAGAGTTGGCCACACTCACTCTGGACAGCTCCAGACCACTGACAGTATAACACTAACAGAACAGTTAATTAGACAACCCAGGCTAAACAGACTGTGGGCTCTCAAATTTGAAAGACTTCAACTTTCAATACAGAGCCAAGTTCTTACAGAAGTGCAATCACATTAATCAACAGCAGTTTGAGACAATTTTCAAAACAGCACTACTCCAAAAAGTTGACCTTACCATTGCACAATCCAAAGAGTAGACCCCAGGACAATGGGTGTCGGAGGGATGTCTGGGCCTGGTGGAGACAAACCCATCAAGGCTAAAGGAATGATGAACATGCAACTGTTGGAAGAGGGAGAAAAACAAATAAGCAACATCTTGTAAATAATTGTTGAGAGAAAATATATCACCTGTACACTGCTAATGTGCTATAAGCTATAATAATGGCAAACAGCCAGACTGTTAGTGGTTGGTGACAAATTAAAGTCAATAATATCCAACCTGAGACACCTGGCATCCAGGGGCTCCCATGACTCCTTGACAGCAACTGTAGCGAGTCTCCACACCACCTGGCACTACACACACACACACTTTAAAACATGAGTCTGATGTGTTATGTATTTATCATTAAAGTGATGACGGATATTTGAATCTTTAACCTACCTTTTCTCTCAACTCCTCTACCATAGTGATAATTGCACTCCTCCTTGCGGACATGTTGGCCAGTTTTGCTTACAGAGTATGTAGTTCCACATCGACAACAGGTTCTCTTCAAAGCTTCCCCACCCCAACATCAGAAAAAGAAACCTCAGCACAACAAAAATGTTGAAAAATGCAGGTCTGAATTGACTTACATATCATGATAAACGTACCCTTCAGTAACAGCTTTAAAAACAAAAAACAAAAAAAAACAAAAACATTTAAGTCAAGGCGAAACATCTACACTTACGGTCCATGTTGCCTCTGTTAGTGTCTTCAAATAGAACTGCCGAGCCAGGTTTCTCAGGGTTCTGGATAGGATAGTTGTTCTCAATCAGCACTTCCTCCAGTAAAACGTAGTTGTTTAAACCCTGAAAGAGGGCAGCATCTTCTACAGGACAAACATGGAGGCTGTGAAGGCTTCAAAGATGGGCATGCAGAAATGCAAACAACAGACTTACTGTTTTCTCTGCACATTTGGAAATTAAAGGAGGTTTTGCCTTTTTTTATCTCACTGGTGGCTTTTTTACCTGCAACATGATGCGAAAACATAAATAATTACCTTATCCATTATCACATGTACACATCACAAACAAGTACTACTTAAAAAGGTTCTCTCGACCTCTGGATGGAGCAGTAGTCTTGTTTTTCAGCCTCTTCAGTGAATTCACAGCCACACTAACATATTTCAGTTTGTTTGGACTGCGGTTGTAGACAATTCTCTCTTCAGCCATTGCCTATTTCANNNGGGAAAGAGGAGGAGGAGAAAAAAAAAAAAAAAACATTCACAAAAACCTAGTAAATTAAGAGGTGAATATTGTGACATTTGGGTAAACTCACTCTTTCAAAGGCATCATAAATATTGGGTATGGTTTTATGGAACTCCTCTGTAAACATGTTGACATATCGCTGACGAACATCCTGTGTCACTTCATCTCTGGCAGGCTTGCACTGCTTCAACTTCCGTTTAGTGGGCACTGGCTGGAAAACAAGTTGTATAATAAACATTTCTGTAGTGTTTCAAATTTAACTGAGAGCTGTTGTTAGTAATACTTATTAAATTTAAGTATCAGTTTGTATAGACTAATTTCAGGCAGATCTGTGTTAAAAATGTAGCATAAAGAGTTCCATTCCATTGTAGATTTTAGCAAAAATGAAATTTGTCATCTATATTTAACCCTTTTAAAAAGCAGTTCTGCACTCTACTGGGCCACAGGAAGAGGTGAATGTTGGTTCTTCCTCAACATACCACAGAACTGCTGGTAACAGGATTTGCAATTCTCAGACCACTGGGCTCATTCCATGGCCACTATTTTGCAAGGCAACCCTGTGGACTATTATTTTTCAACCGTATTAAATAAAATCCCATTGTTTCTTACCTTAACAGGCTGTACAGCAGGTTGATAACTGGTAGAGGGGGTTGGATTTAAATGTGCTTCAACAGCACATGGTGAGGGTCTACATGACTGAGCAGGAATAAGCATAGTTGCTGTAGTGTGGTATCTCTGCACAGGTGTTACTGCAGCTCTGAAGCATAGCTGTTTTACACCAAGAGAGTTGCTCTGAGGCACAGGACCAACTGAGGTAAGAGGGCTGTTAACAGAAGACATAGGCAACGGGAAGGTGCCTTCCGGAATTATCAACTGGAAGTTGTTGCCTACTTCGATAACAGCATTTTCCAAAGGTGGGTAATGTGTGCAAGCTTTTGGTAGAAGACAACAAAAACAAAAAAGACAAATAATCATTCATGTGAAGATGAATGTGATACACAAGAGAAAGCTCAATAAATACAAAGACAAAAATAATAATAATAAAAACAATGTTGCAACAATGAGAATATAGGCCGCTATTGCCAGGAATCGCATACCATTTAGTACAGGAACAGGTTGTGTGATTGGAGGAGCCCAAGTAGTATGAACAGCATTAGTCTGGGTCTCTGGGTTTCGCTGAGAAGTGAAGGAGACAAATGCCTGACCACCGTTTACCGTGGAAGTCAGCATGGGCGCTCTCTGCTGTACCTGATGGATGTTGGACGTGACAGAAGACTGGGAGCCTAACCCTAAGGCTGGTTCACACAATGAGGACAAAATCTGGCGTTCAGGTTTGCTCTGAAAAGGTAACCGAGATAAGCATAACATAAAAGGACAGTAAAATGCACTTTTTTTTTCTTCATTTAATTATTTGGCGGCTTTAGTCAAGACAGTTCCAATATTTTAACTGCAGCAGTGGTATAAATTTGGATCTTTCAATTCTAGGTTGAATTAAGAATAACTCCTGTATGTTGTGTCTACACTGTGGCACATACCTCTGTGTCTTTGGCCTCATGAGCTACCCACTTCTTTCTGAGTAGATCACTGGAAGGCACAGTCAACTCCTTCTAAAGATAACATAAATGACAATCACTTTAGCAACAAAAAATATTCCAAGATATGAAATGTTCTGGGTATACTTACAGGGACCTTGATTTCTTTTTCAGGCTCTTTCAGGTTCTCATTTGCCTCCATAAAGATTCTGTAACATTCCTCCATTGGGTCACTCTCAGACAGGTCCACATCTGAATAGTTGAGGTCTTCGTCTTCAGTGCTGGAGATGATTATAACATTATCTTTCTGTGAAGGCTGGTGGCTGGATTCAGGTGGAATGGCTTCATTGGCCAAATTGTTGTGCATTGATGACATTTGATGGCTTGAGTTATATGAATGGGGTTGTTGCTGACTCATTGCCAATGAGGTCTGATTATTGAAAGCTGTATCCATCGTTGCTGGGTTTGTGTTTGCCATTTCCTGATTGTCTAGCAACAATGACTGCATCTGTATCTCTGAAGACAGCCAGTCGTTCGTCTCTATCTCTACTGAACTGGTATCAATGTCAAGCAGCTGAGATAGTGACTCTGCAGGACAAACATCATCAGTAAGGGGAACAGCTGAAGAAAGATTGTCAAAAGCCCATTGCTGACTTAGTGCCAACAAACTGTCAAAACTCTCATCTTGCTCATACCCACCCTGATGTTCCAGGTACAGACCTTCGGTGAGGTCAGTTACGCTACTGTCAACTGGTATAGGTATATTTTCAAAACCTTTGCTGGCATTGTTAACATCACCACCATAATCTGGATTTCCTTCTCTTTGTTCACATTCATATTTGTCACAATGCATCTCCTCCAGGGCCTGCTGTGGACAAGCAGTTGCAAGTGTTGGTTTGGATTCTTTTAGCTGTTTTTCATCCTGAGGGTTGTCTGCAGAATAATCATCCCGTTTCTCATATTTGGTTCTTTTTCTGGCAGGTGAGAGAGGGCAGTCAATACTTAGAGGACAGTCCTCAGTAGATTCATCCAAAAGCACTGGAAACATATTCTGGTCACATGGTGAGGGTTCATTTCTATCTAGTACTCGCTGCTCATTAGATAAACCACAAAACCACAAGCCAGCTGAAAAATCAGACATGGGTCCATACTCTAAACAAGTCTTTGGTTTTGAGTTGTCAACCAGATACTTATTTTCTGGGGAGTTTGCAGCCATGGCATCAATTGCTCTACCTTCCTTTTTGCGTGTGCCCTCAACCTTGTAAACAGGGAAACTAGGTGGAGTATTGCTGCCCTCTCCCAGTGAAGTCTGGTATTGAAACAATCGTCTTTGTTCCAACTCCACCTCGTGCTTAACAGTTTCAATTTCCTCGTTGATTCTTTGCAGCTCCGGGATACCCTCATCTATACCTAAAGAAAGAAAAAAATACAAATTTAGTAATTGGATTTTTTTTTAAATTGATTGAATTATACGTAATTTGTTTATTCTAATCAAATATTCTTATATTTAGGTCAGAATGAACTTTTTTCAGAATTGATTTATTTGTAGCTTTAATTGTTAAGTGTTCAGTAATTCTGTGTATATAAATAAAATTGATCAAGAATAAATAAAATACGTATTACTTGAAACTTAATTTACCTAATTAACTATTGAATAACGTAACATTTTAAAAAAGATCTGGACAGTTAAACGTTACAAAATGGCTGATGCAGTGCTATTGTAGCAAAGTTAGCCTGCTCGATAACTGACCTGCTGTTCCCAAATTGGCTGAGAAGGAACTTGATGTAGACGGGATCCCAGCTGTTGAGTCATGTTCGTACAAATCCTGAGGTCTAGTAGATGACCCTTGTTTAGAAAAAGGACCATTAATATCAGCAAACAAACCTGATCTGGGAAACATTGCGAAATCCCCAAAGTGCTGCAACACGTTTCAGCTCAGTTAATTAGCCTTTAGTCTGCAGGTGAGAGAAAAATCAAGTCTCGTCTGCCGCCCTTATATACGGTGTGTGCGTCTTCAGGCGCGCGTTTTGTGAAAAAAAGTTTTAATTTTTTTCTAAACCACTGCACTAAAAATACATTTTTCATTATTACAAACTGTTTACATACTTTTACAGCTACCATTTACTTTGCCTTATTAGCTTCAATTGGCTAATACGTGTGTATATAATTTTGCTAATAAATTACGTTTCAATAAATAATACATTATTCGAGTTTTGTTTGTTTTGTTTCAACACTGTTGGTTAAATTTGGAGACCATTTTGTTATATAAATTAAATGTTACTTGTTCGCAACCACCATTTTCACAAAAATATGTATAAAAAGGCAGCATAATAGACCGCGCGAGACACCACTACAACTGTAAGAATTAAATATCTATGTAATAAGTCAATTTCCCTTCTCAATCAATCTAGTAGCAATTGCCTGTAACGTAGAAACAGTAAATGTAAGGGCTTATAGTTCAGTTTTATTCAAAACAAATTAAGTCTATATATAAAAAAAATACATTTATTTTTTGATAAATAAATATTGTCAGTCTTTCTTATTTGTTTTAAATGGTTACGTGTTTGTGTCTTTTTTATATTCTTGTTTGCGTCTTACAAATGCACGTATTTATTTTTACTTTAATTATAAATAACGGAACCGCAGTCTTATTCTTGCTCTACGTGCTCAAAATTAAACAACGTACAACTGAATCAGACTGTGATATAAGGTAGTAGTTATTACCCCAGACCGACAGATGGCGCAGTCAACTGGAAACTGCGCAGATGGAAATAGTCCTTTTGCTGATTGTTACACTTCCTGCACATCAAACGCTTTAGGATTTGTTTGTGTTCTTTCACAAAACACGAGTTTTATATTCTGCCATGGATAATAGTGGGGATGAGACCGAGGAGGATGACAACGAGTGGGGGAGGAATGTTGTGCCGTCTGCACCACTCGAACGTACTGATGTTTTTGGTAATACGTGAAAAAACTTTATCCAACTTATATGCCGTACATAATAGTCGTAGTATTTATTCTATTCATATGCTGTATACACCTCACAAGCGGCTTTCGTTTGATCCTTATTTTACGATTGGCGTTGCATTAAAACAACTAAACAATAATATGAGACACATGACTAATCCAACGCTTCACATTTATTCTGTGAACTTGGCAGGAGGGTTAGTAGGAGATGTGATTAGGTGTAAAAATTAATATTTTCAAATTTTTAATCACACTTTTGTTTTTGAGTTTAGGAAATATATGTGTGTGTATATATTTATATTTATATTTATGTATTTATTTATTTTTTTGCTCATGTTGTTCTGAATACTTACATGTGACTACAGCTTTAGGTACTGGCCTTAACAAGAATATGGAACCATACGCTACACACAGAGTCATTTTGCATTTTGACCTGGACTGCTTTTACGCCCAAGTGGAAATGATCAGAAATCCAGCGCTGAGAGAAGTACCTTTAGGTAAATATAAGCAGTTACCGCCAGTTTTTTTTTTTTTTTTTTTTTTTAATGGAGTGATTTCTGGTACATTGATGCTTATTGTATTAACAGGTGTTCAGCAGAAATACATTATAGTCACCTGCAACTATGTGGCAAGAGAGCAGGGTCTCACCAAACTAATGTCTGTGGCTGATGCAAAAGAGAAGTGTCCCCAGCTGGTGCTGGTGAATGGAGAAGACCTGACACACTACAGAGAAATGTCTTACAAAGTCACAGGTTTGCCAACTCATCAAGACGAAAGTTGCATCACATAAGTTCATAAGCAAATTTGCAAATTTATTTTTATAGAATTATTTTTTGCTTTCTTTCCATTTCTTTCTTACTTAAAATAAACAACTATTTTAATTACAAATAATTGTATTTCTAGGCATTGTATTTCAACCCTTAAGAAGCTGCATATAGTGTTAAAGAAATACAAACATTTGACACTCACTTTTAAATAGAACAAATTGAACCAACAAGTAAAAAAACATTTTGACTCAGTTAGTTGTGGCATTCTCTCATGTGATCTTTTATTTTTTCAGATTCAATTTTGTTCCTTTGCTCATCTCCCTTTACCTCTTTTTTTTCTCCATGCAGAGCTGCTGATGTCCTACTGTCCTCTGGTAGAAAGGCTGGGATTTGATGAAAACTTCATGGACATCACAGAGATGGTGGAAAAAAGGCTGTCAGAGACATCAGATATAAACAACTTGTGTTTTAAAGGCAATGTCTACAACCGTTACAGTAAGTCCTCATTAGGAGTGCCCTAAAGGTCTGACTCTAGAAACTAGAAGACAGGAAATGGATTTGAAACATAACAGGAAAGTAAAAAGTCCTTATGTATTTGCATAGTGCTTTCAGTTTTACACTTATATATACCTAATGACATGACATTGTCGTAATGAAAGTGTATTTTTGTTTGGTCCAGGTGCAGACGTGAAGGCCCAGGATTATTCCAGACTGGCCGTTGGTTCACACATTGCAGCAGAGATAAGAGAGGCTATGCACAGCCGACTTGGTCTGACTGGCTGTGGTGGCATCGCCACAAACAAGCTTCTGGCCAAACTTGTGTCTGGTACCTTTAAACCCAATCAGCAAACCACACTGCTTCCAGAAAATATCAGTGACATCATGAGTTGCCTGAGCAGTCTCCGCAAAGTACCGGGTACATTCAGATATTCTTGGAATAATATTTGAGCCTAAAAGATTTATACCTTTTGTCTTTAGCTGATGAAATCATATAATTTTTTAAACCGTGTTGTGTCAATTTGGTCAATCCCCCTAATTGTCAGCTTGTGACCTTGTCATCTCAGGGGTAGGTCATCAAACAAGCAAAAGACTTCAAGCCCTAGGACTGGTCAGCATCAAAGACCTACAGCTCTTTCCGTTAAATGACTTGGTGAATGAGTTTGGAGCTCACTCTGCAGAACGTTTGAAGAATCTGGTCATGGGCATTGATACCTCCCCTGTAACACCCACTGGTGCCCCTCAGGTATATACAGTACAGTTTTAGTAATGCCTGGTAATACAAACATTGCTGCCTGTTCTCTAGATCAGTCACAGGTGATCAGAGTTTTGATGTGGTTTTGTTTGGTTTGCTTAATGTTCCAGTCTCTCAGTGATGAGGACTCTTTCAAAAAAATCTCAACAACCAAAGATGTTTTGGAAAAAGTTCAGCAGCTTTTGAGCAGTCTGGTAGAACGGTCAGGGATAATTTTGTCACTTTTTTAAAAAGCATTTACTTTAATATTAATATTTGGTGGTTTTGCAAATTTAAGCCATAAAATTTAAAGTCTATTACTCTTTTAATGCCAGGATGCACAAGGATGGCAGACAGCCTCAAACCTTCAGGCTCAGCATCCGCAGGTATTCTGCGACTAACAAGTGGCTCAGCCGTGAAAGCCGCCAGTGTCCAGTCCCTTACCACATTGGACAGAAGATCACCTCTGGTAAGCTTGTTCACTGGCTGAGACCGAAATATCAACAGTAAAATGTCCAAAGCTGAAATCATTAGTTTAGGAACTTATTAAACCGTATTTGATGTATAAAAGTAGCTTTTCTAATGTTTTTGGTTGTTTGTTTAATTTTAGCTTTGATTATTTGGCACCCACTTTTGTTAATACACAGAGTACAAAGAGTTACTTTTTGAATATTAACTTCACAGGTGGCTGTAAAGACGCCGTGGTCCTCTTGGTCCCATTGGCCATGAAGCTCTTCCAGAAAATGGTGAACAGCAACTCCCCCTTTCACCTCACCCTCGTTAATGTTTGTTTCAGTAACCTGCAGGCCAGGGGAGCTGCCGTCACAGGAAAGGGCTCCATAACAGCTTTCCTGACACACAGCACATCTCCCAGAATAACACCCATGTGCTCACCACAAAAACAGGTGAAGAGATGAGAATGAGATCTTCAGATATTATTGTTTTAAACTGTGAAAAGAGAAAGTTTGGTATGACCTTAACAGGGAGGAGAAGTTAACGCTAGTCAAGAGTTTTAGCGTTTTTCTGAATGAAATTACCATTTTAATGTCTTTAATATTGTGGGGGGGGGGGGGTTGTCACATCTACCTCTAAGTAATAAAGTGCAACATTTTTTACTTAGTTACATGATTTGATGATACATTTCCCCTTCTTGGAATATTTGTTTTACTTTCCTTAAAAATAATTATGGCCTTCTTCTTCCTATTTTGTTATAGAACGATTCCTCTAACAGTGAGAAGAATCACAGCGTCAACAGCCAACGTGCCGTGCATAATAACATATTTCTATGTAGCCGAGAAAAAACATTGACCACAAAAAGCACTTGTGGCTCCCAGGCAGTATTACATGAGCTCAAGAGGAAATGGAGCTCTGCTGATGCTGGGGAGTCTAACCTTCAAACGCAGTTCACCAGAACAGGACCAAACCCTGATAACAAAAGCCACAGTGTGTCCAATCAGATGCCTTCCAATTGTGACCCGGAAGTGTTGAAACTTCTGCCTGAGGATATCCAACAAGAACTGCTTTCTTATTCTTACATAAACTCTCTTCCTAGTACTTCTGCCAACTCGTCTCAACCAAGCAGAATTTCTGGTGTTGTCCAGAAGGCAAAAAACACGTCACCAGACACCATCATACACTTGAAGGAATTTGACGACCCAACACTGACTGTTAATAAACCTGATCCGTTATCCACAGGAACCGTAATTAATCACCACAGGCCTCTGGCTGTGAGTGAGTGTTCAGTGACAGAAGGGAGAATGTCATTCCCCTTGTCTTCTGTCTGCACATTCCCAGGAAATGTAGACCTCAAGGTGTTTTCTGAGCTTCCTCTAGATGTTCAAAGAGAGTTGATGTCTGAGTGGAAACATCAGAAACCAGTGCTGAAAGTTCTGTCATCCAGGAAACCAGGGGCACTACCAAAAACCAAAGACAAGAAAAGTGCAAGAAAAAAGAGTCAGAGCAACAGTCTCCTGAACTATTTCAAATCTAGTTAGAGAAATGACGTGACCAGCGTGACCTCTGCACTGAATATGTTATGACTACAACTGTGAGTTATGTTCATTAAAAATGTTATTTTCCTAATGCCTTTAACATCTACTTTTATATACATCTTTATTTTTATTTGTGCACTTTAGTTTGCAGCATTTGACATTGATGTAAACCTAATCTTGAGACAATGATGGATCTGGGGTGGGGTGAAAAATTACATAGACAGTTTTATTTTTTACAAAGTAGCAGTAAGTAATTAGAAATTATTGATTGTAGTAAAAGTAAATATTGTTGTTTTCTTGTTGTCGGGTGTTTTGAAAAGTGCTCTTTAAAATGTATTGTTATTATCGTTGTTGTTGTAGAGTAGTGGGTCACATCCATTGTGCAGCACACTAACGTGCCATGGAAATATTCCAATACCACTGTAGTACGTTCTAAAACTCAAATACTCTCCCACGAGGTTGCAGCAGATGCCTATTAAAGACAGACTGTGAGCTGTTCAAGAAGATAGTTGTTGGTGTCTTTCTTCAATTCCTGCTAATATTTCACTGTTGTGTTTTACCTAAACAGACTCAGGTTTTACTTTGAGGAAGTAAATTGTGAGTAAATGAGAACCAGTAGAACAATAGCCATTTGTTCATCCGTCTGTCTTGCTTCCTCCACTGTTAAACCAACATAATTTAATTAAACAGAATGAGTATTACAGACCTAAACGGAAATTATTTTAATTTCTAACATAAAGCTCTGTAGATGTTACGTCTTCTCTCGTCACTAAATCATTCATCCTCTCTGTTCTTTTTCCAAATGCCTGCCTTATCGATTGACACCATCCTCTGTTTAATCTGTTTTCTACATTTTCTCAACATTCATATATACTGTATATAGCGTATATTTATATATACAGTATACTCAAGTATATTCACTCATTTGTCTTTGTTTATGAATCTTTATTCAGTGTTCACGTAAAGATTTTACACATTTTCCAAGTTATACGTAAATGTAGACAGTACCAAAGATTGTATCTCTACCTTAACTATGTTATCTGTTTACATAATGTAATTTAAGTGATTAAACGTATTTAAATTAAGTTTTTAATTTGTATTTACACAGCACAGACCCAGTCTGAGGAACTCTTGCTTAAGAGAAGCAGGATTACTTCTTTGAGCTTCTACAAGTGGGGCGTGTTTGCTGGTTGAATGATTTTGAGTAAAATGCACACAGTCACACATTATTCATCAACAGTTTTCTCACAAGCTTTTTTTTTCTTCTACCAGAAAAGGCAAGATCTGTAAGTACAGCCCAGCTCAGTTCTTGTTTGCTTCAAACCCCTCCCAAGGATCACAAGGAAGATTTCAGGATCTCGGATGTGCCATCACATCGTGATAATGATGATTTCAATTAATCGGGAAAAGTTGAGCAACCTCTGAATGGATGTTGACTCTTTCTCCAGACTGACTGGTAAGTAGAGCTCTTTTGGACTGTAAGGTGTTGTGATAGTTCTGCTCTTCAACTGTGATTTATTGCACAGCTTTGACTATGTTTTTTATTATTGTTTTTTTTTTCTTGTTTATAAACCTAATGATATGTCTAGTCTAATGGATTTTTTAATTACTCAGAAATGTGCTCATTCCGCTTAACAATAGGTGCCTTTTTCAATTTAATCCATTAAAATTAACGTATTTTGCAATATATTATTATTATGATGTATTAAGTCTTGCAAAGAATAACAATTACATGATCATATGTGTCTTAAAAAATTAAGAACCGACAACTTTTAGAAACAAACTGAAAAGAAAAAATCCCAAATACTCTTCAGGTCTATCTTTTTTTTTTTTTTCAATAAGAACATGTAACCGTGGCTCATATAACCAAATCTAATTTTCACACTGCCTTGACCTGACTGGTGTCACACAGTGATGAGCTGACTGCAACAAGCTCTGTACATCAATAAAAGGAGTCTTGTCTGCCAAACAGGCCGTGCTTTTTGCGTTTGACTGCTCATGTGGAAGCCCAGTTCCAGTCATGTGCTCGTCCCTCACTGATCACCACCCAATAAGCAGGGAGTTAAAACATTTTTTTCCCATTTCAAAGCTCCTGTAAATTTAAACTGAAAAACATGAAGCTTAGGTGGAAGAACTCCACCTTTCTTAATGCAGTTTATTAACCCGCATTGAATTACACTAATGCAACTGACCGCAATCCAATGACTCCTACTGGCCAATGAAGCGCCAGGATCACTGCTTATGGGTTAGTTCTGCATAATTAGATTACGGGCAAATTTGTTTGTCTCACAGCAGCAGATTGTCAGCTTATGCGAATTATATCTTTTTCTCCTGTTATTTTGCTGCCCCACTCAAAGTCCACTGGACCAGATTTAGATTCTTTAACCATTTTTTGTTTATTTCTATTGTGAAAATGAAATATAATATTTTTAAAGTTGCTTTTAGTATATTTTACTTAGCAGCTGAGGGCAAAAACAAAAGGTATCTGAGACACTTGCTTGAACAGATGCAAATGAAACCCTTAGATATTTGTAAGACTTGTGTCAAAATATTTGCCAAAAACAAAATAAAAAATGTAACGGTTTAGGGCGTGCTCTTTCAGCCTTTATGTATCCTAATATCTAAACTGTGTAATTAACAATTATCCTTACACTTACACACTTAAAATAAATCAGATAAAGATGGTGTATTTACATGGGGAAATGCCAGCAATCTGCAGATAAAAATTATAAAATTATATTACTGTAAATATATATACTGTATGTATTTACCAGTTGGTCTCCTCCAAGTCTGATCATCTCTGCATTCCATGAGTTTTCCACTCAGGAACACTGTGACCACCTGCATAAAAACTCTATTTCATCAGGCAAATTAAGTAATGTCAGCGCGCGCACACACACGCACACACTCACACACACACACAAATTGTATGACCTATGATGTCACTTACACATTTAAATTTTATACCATTTGATTAATTTTGTTATGGATATCTGGGGAAACTCAGGTTGAGTTTTCAGCGGCACTATGGCTGACTGTGACTATGACTATCTGATCAAACTGCTGGCACTCGGAGACTCCGGTGTTGGAAAGACGACCTTCCTCTACAGGTACACCGACCACAAGTTCAACCGCAGGTTCTCAACCACAGTAGGAATCGACTTCAGGGAAAAGAGAGTGGTGAGTGCGGGCTCTTGTGTCAACGAGCAGCTGCTACTGAAAACACCGCTCTACATTTAAAGTGGGTTTGGCGCCCTCTGGTGTAGGGCTGGTTCTTGATAGCATGTGTTTTGGATCAGATTTACACGGGAACAGGGGCTGATGGGATGACGGAGAAGAACTTCAGAGTCCACCTGCAGCTGTGGGACACAGCAGGACAAGAAAGGTGAGGTTAGCCACTTCTTTGCTTCACATTTAAAGTGGACACTGTGCTTTTGACAACCTCCGCCTGTAGGAATAGAAAATGTGTCCAGCATAAAGTCACTGACATGAGTCAGTCGAGTGTTTACAGTTAATTTATTTACAAATATACCGGAAACTGCCTTTACTACGTTTAATTGCAAGTCATCCGTTAACCTTCAGGACATTTAAATTAAAATAGAAACTGCCAGTTCATTGTATGAGATAAAATCTGACACTTTCAATCATGTGCTCATGTTTTCCCTCTGGAACCATTACACCTCTATTACATTCGTTTGTCCTCCAGCTCTGGACACCAAACCGAATTATCAAATTAACTGTTTTTATTTTTTCACATGGTCCAATAAACAAAAAAAGTGCAATATACTGAGTGCAATAATAGTGCACTAATAAATAAAAAGTGAAATAATATATAAAGAGCATTAAAGATGCTTCCATAATATATACAGTATATAAATATATATATTATTTGTACTATTTTTCTTCTAAAATAAACAAGTAATTTTATGTTTTGTAATTTCTTTTGTCAAAAAACTAAGATTTAATGTACATGAACACTTTTATGGACTTTACATGGTGATCAGTCTTGAGAGTAAATATTTGACGAATATGAAATGTCAAATGACATGTAGATGAGTCTCAGCAGCATTGAATGAAACATGACATATAGAAAAGACCGGTGAAAACCAAGTGACATTTCAGCTTGCCTAGTTTTTGTTTTTTTGGTTTTTTTTTTTCAATGAAACTTCAGCTGAGCCGATCCTTGTGTAGATAGGAGTGTAAAATTAAATGACAAAGTTCACCAACTGTTTTTAGGTTTCGAAGTCTCACCACAGCTTTCTTCAGAGATGCCATGGGTTTCCTGCTCATGTTTGACTTGACTAATCAACAAAGTTTTCTCAACGTCAGGAACTGGATGAGTAAGTGACCGTGACACTGGCTGACTCACACTTCTTAAAGCTGGAAAATTGAAATGTAAGAACTCATGCGTGTCACTGTGCCCTGAAAGCCTTACTCTGTGTTCATGCAGGTCAGCTGCAGGCAAACGCATACTGTGATAATCCAGATATAGTGTTGGTGGGAACTAAGGCAGATCTACGAGACTTGAGGGATGTCCATGGCAGACAGGCCAGGGATCTGGCCGACAGATACGGGTGAGGCTAAAAATAAAAGTTCAGCAAAAATAATAATAACTGCACAAGCTCTTGTTACAAAAAAAAAAAAAATAGATAACTTTGACTAAAATTGACTCCCAACAAATAAATAAATTACACAACGTATTTATGTCTGATCGAACTGATCGAAAAACAGTTGACAAAGATGTTGACATCCAACCCGTTTGCTGTTATTAATGGAATCTCAATGGCACTTAAATGTAAATAGGAAAAAAAGTCATTTTTTGTGGTATTTAAAAAGAGTAAGACAGAATACAAATGTATATTTTCCAGTAGATTCACGCAATTACCACAGGAGAGTATTAGTGGGGGGTTTTAAATAAAGGTATTCCACTGCATTGGGACGTCATGAGATAACTATGGAATCAGGTTTAAGTTTTACATATATATATATATATATATATATATATATATATATATATATAACATTTTCAAAAATTTACTTTCACAACCTGAACCCCTTCTCCATCAAAAGAGGTGTTAGCTAGACCGTCGTAAACCTCCTAGACCGAACTGCTAGCATGTAGCTCTTTAGAAAGTCTTACACAAACCTCCCGTAAAGTTAAACCCTCTTTTCTCTGTATGTCTTCTCTAGCATTCCCTACTTTGAAACTAGTTCAGTTACCGGCATAAATGTGGAACGTGCAGTGGCCACACTCTTGGACATGGTGATGAAGAGGATGGAGCAAAGCACCTGCGTAGGCCGAATGTCTGAACCCAACGGCAAACTGTCAATTTGCCACAGCATGGAGGAGGCTCCAGTAATTCGAAGCTGCACCTGCTAACCTTTCTCGTATCTCTGACAACTGTCGTCTGAGATGCTTTTGTGATGTTTTGGAGGTTGTGTAAAAAATTCTGTTGAAGTGCAGCTAACATTTACAGATAATTATATTAGGTACAAGGTACAACAACACCATCTAATGGTGAAGTTGTGGGGATAGGCTTTAAATATAATTTAAAACAAAATGTATTTCGTTTGTCATGCTAATATGCTAATTTGAAAAAATATATATATATATGGCGCCTTCCTACAAATCGCCCTCGTCCCGTTTAATATAAAATTGTATTCAAGAACATCACGTAAGTTTTTTTCTTTACATCTGACATCTCACATTTGACTTTTATTAAAAACTATATTAATAATAATGTTGCCTTAAATCATACACAGTGCAAGTTTAAAGCAACGTGAAATGTTCGTATGTTTAATTTAGAAAGTGTTCGTACCAGTTTAGAACGAACTAACTGTAATCCACAGAAACATTTTACAGAGCACAAATGTATAATTCAGGTACAAACCAGCAAATATGGCTTTAATGTGGTATAATTAACAAGTGGTTATGAAAAGAAAATCCTCTCTAAATTATTTATATCAGAGAAAAATACAGACTTTATTTGACACACTGAGGCATTAATGGAAAGAGTATGCAGGCAGATCATGTATTATTAACATGAAGTATAATCTTATATTATTGGACACACGTTACATTTCATATATGAATGAACAGTATGTACATAAGTGTTAATGCATTAAGAACCCAAGATCAAACAAACAAAAGCGTTTAAACGAGTGTTAAAGGGTTGTTAGAAATGGGTCCTGTATGGTGCTGCTTTTGCAATAAACACAATGTATATCTGACTCTGTCGTCATTTTTTTAAACATAAAATGCAAACATCCATTACATTGTAGCGAGTGCTAGTATAATTCTCACGACCCGTGTGGACGTCATTAATGACACTGTAAGCTTTATTTTGAAAAACAGGAGGAGCATTTATGAAGGAAAATGTCAAATATTGACACTGGCAGTGGAGGACATTCACTAAGTCCCAGATTATATCATATTATGTTTGAAATATTTTAATGTCACAAAAAACAAACAAACAAACAAAATTATTTTTAATTTGAATTTGTTGTAATTGTTCAAGCACATGGTCTTTGGTTTACCTGCTAAATGTCATGTTACCTAAAAGCATGACATCAGTTAAATTACCTTAATATGTGGCCATTTATATTTTTAAATTTTACACAATTTTCCCGGTGGACGTGTCAACTGCCAACTATCTTAAAGGTGAATCCTGGTGTTAACAAATCAAATTTTGAGGACCTGTAGAGCTGGGGTGTCAAACTCATTTTCACCGGGGGCCACATCATCAATACAGTTCCCCTTGAAGGGCCGTTTGTAAATGGAAAACTGTATAGATCAGGTGTCCCCAACCCACGGTCCACAGACCAGTACCAGTCTATAGGTCATTTGAAAGCAGGCTGCAGTCAGACTCGGATACAAATAGAATAGAGTCTAAAAGGTGTTTTATTTTGAAAATGTAATGATCCTTCAGTGCTCAGCACCTTGGAACCAGTCTGTAGTAACAGATGGTACTGGCTGACCAGTTCTTGGAACAAAAAGGACAGGGACCACTGGTATAGATGTAACTACTCCATAACAGACTGATACATGTTTCTACAATTGATTATTATATATTCAAGCTACAAACATGGTTCATTGTTGTGTAATAAAAAAAAATCTTAGGTTAAGAAACTCTGCTGCATGGACTCTAATAAATGCTTTTTAAGCTCCTGTGGGCCACACAAAATGGCTTGGCAGGCCGCATTTGGTCCACTGGCCTTGAGTTTGACACATATGTCTTAGAGAGTCCAGATGGAGGGAGGGGGACTAGGTGGAATTGAACCCTCTTTTTGTTCCACTTTTTGTATGGCAGGCAGGGCGTCCTACCACTGCCTCCACTCTAGTCTACATTGTTGGTCAAAATAAGTGGTCTGCATATAAGAGAGACCTACACAGATGTTAATTAAGTATGTGATGGTCAGTAACTGCCTGCCATGTCATAAAAGTATAATCACAAAGACCAAACACAACATGTGGTGAGTATTTGACCTTAGCTCAAGTCAGAATAATAACAAGGACCAAGCACATGATTCCCAGTCATGAGACATTCATGTGGCCAGCTTTCTCTGTCAACATGGGCACGGTCTATTCTGGCCCAATGGACCGGACAGATTCTGAGCGCACTGAAATTATCTGCACTCATAAAAAAATAAAGTTTGTTCTCATAGTTTTGGTCCCATGTGGAAGTTAGTGGTAGGTGTTTGGGTTAGCCTTGAAATGTTCATCATACAAATACACCAATAATAATCAAACACACCCCCAGGAATACAAACGATTAGCAAAAATCAAGAACAACCTTCAGAAAAGTTGTATAAAACTAGCCATAGAGATTTGTTAGTGCTTCACATGCAGTGTCATTTCAGTGGACCATGCTTTTATACAAGATGCAGGAAGTGATAGTACATTTACTTTCCTTAGATATAATAAACTATATATTTCTACATGATGCATAAATAACCTCGCCTCCATCCAGTCTCACTATTATATTAATTGACGAAACTGTTGATGAAACTATATCCAAAATGTTGTGTTTTAAAAGGGCTTCACCACACTAGGACTTATATTTGGGTCACACCAGTAATTTGAATCGCATTCCCTCGTTTGTGTTTTGCAAATTTACTGATATCCAATGAAAACAGGGGAAGGTTTTGTTTTCAGTGCGTTTACAGAAAGATAACTAACGTCTAAATGCACACACCATACTTGGTTTCATACTTCCCATACTCCACCCATTATACAAAACAGGTTGGCGTTATTTTTTTAATAGGGTGCCATCGAAAAAAACGTGTCACTTCAATATAAGTTCTACTGTGACTAAACCAATGTGGGTTTTTTTTTTCTTAAACTAAATGTGTAAGACTTTTTTCAATTTTGTGCCGCAATAAAAAACACATTTATGCTCTCTGTCTGTGGATTTGTATGGCTTTTGCTGGAATGTTACATTTTACTTCAAAAATTGTTTTCAAAAATTATATAATCCAAAAAGTTTTCTCAATTGCACAATTAAATGTTCACAGATTATAGAAGAGAAGTGATTGGGTTCATTGGTAGAGTCTGACCCCACCGACAAACCCAAGGCTAACTGTTAGCCTCAAGGGCGTAGGGAATGCAATTTGTCAGTGAGTAGATACTCAAATCAGGGACATAATCCATGTAAATGTGTGTGTCGGTGTGTAGTCTTGTAAACAACTACAGTTTTTGTACCTCAGCTCTCGGAGGTGACAAAAAAAAAAACACTGATCTAACTCCTTCCCTGAGATTAGGCAGTGATTTGAATGCATTTTCCTTTATATCCAGTATATCGTAGTAAGAGTAAATCAATGCAGAAGTGGAATAACTTTGACATTCTCTGTTTCTGCAGCAAACTTTCCTGCAGGCTCTAGTCAAAATAGAGATGTGTTTCCTTTAGGCTGTGTATAGTCATGCTGGAGAGTCCAGAGTTGTGGAGCCAAGTCAGCAGCATAAAAAATCCCAACAATGCTGAACACAACCATAATGGATTTCCCAAATTACCTGAATGGCATCATATGATATTTGACATAACTTCGGAGTGTGCCTGTAAAAAGAGGATATACACATATCATGCATGAAAGAACTAAACAGAAGAGTTAACTGAGCTGATGATTCTGTTCTGCATCCTCTCAAATCCAACACTGAATGTCTAGGCAGTGCAGTGTGTGAGACTGAGTTTAGTCACGCCTTCCCTGTGCAGCTTATAAAGCAGCTTGAACTCACTGGGCAGCTGGTGGGTCTCCTGCCACTTAGTGGTGAATTTGGTCCCTTTTTTGTCATAGTAGTGGTAGGGCAGATCTTTGCCTGTGTTGGGGTCCCAGCCGAAGGGCCAGAAGCCGTAGAGATGGATTTCGTCGCACATGGCGTAGGCCAGTGTGTACATGAGAATTCCAGTGCTGAGGCGTTTGGGGGAGAGGTTTTTTGTCTTCCAGTATCTGTGAAGCGAGGACGAGATGGTTGTCAGGAGCAGGAATTAAAATACAAAACACTTGAGATAATATTCAGATAAACATTTAGATGTTCCTTATTTTTCTACATTTTATCAACCGCTTAGTTATCTAAACCCAACCTTTTTTGTATCAAGAACCAGTCGGCCGGTATCAGTCATAACTGTGGACCGGTATTACCTCACCATTGTTGAAGGATCATTAGATTTCTAAAATAAAACATCTTTTAGACTTTTTTCAATCTGTTGATTTGAAACAAGGCCAGATGATTTTTGAATAGAAAAAAGTAAAGGGAAATCACTGGATTTTTTTTAATAAAGTAAAACAGAAGTACATTTCTTCACTGCGTCCCACTGTGACCCAGTACCAAATGACCTATGGACCAGCACCGGTCCCCGAACCAGGGGTTGGGCATCCCTGATCTAAGGGATAGACTGTTTTTTTAAACCAGGAAGTACCTTGAGATAAAATCACATTTTTTTCAAGGAATATTCTAAATATTTTGTAATATAAATGTATATGATAAATATATTTATATTGATAAATATATTTATATTGATAAATATCTTTCCTAACTTAAAGGAGATCCAAAAGAGATGAGCACAAAGTAGGTGAAAAAAGCTCAAAATGGAGAATTTTCTGGTTGATCACTAAAAAGATGTCCAACCAAATTCAAGAAAGTTCTCTGTCAGAGCAGAGCTTAATGTCTTTCCATTATTTGAGCACAGTTTCAGCCAGCAGCCTGGTAATGAAGGCAGTGTTGAAGGCCATCTACCAAGTGTGTCCATCAACAAGATGGTTCTAAATGTAGTCCATAGCAAACCACATGCATCAATGCTAATTAGCTTCTGCTGCTGCAACCAAGACCACCAGCTGGATGTGCTTAAGAGGGGAAGCTGAAATGTGATTGGCTGAAGCAGCTCAAGGCCCTGGAACATGGTGTCACAAATACCTGACCAGCTTTAGCTGAGAGATACTTATACAGTTTGTTACAAATGACACTGGTTTCTGATGAATGTATTCATCCCACATTTGGAAATGTTTGTGTTAACAGCAGGTCTGGTGCAACAGGGTGCCCCCTGTAGGATCCAAGTATGTTGTTCCTTTTGGGATTTGGACCCAGCACTACCTCTTCTCTGCTTCCAAGGCAGGCATGCTAACACACGCTACACTATGGAACTACCAAAGCCTGTAGTCTAATGTAAATGTTATTTGGACAATGCAGGTTGTGCAAACGACACCCGTAGAATTCCACCAAGAAGAAATTCCTGGCTTGGAGATGTTTCTTGGGTAAGTGCTGTTATTGTGAAGAACACACAATGATCACACACTGGGTGTAGCTCCTTATTTCCTATAAATGGGAATGCAATTCATGAATTCAATTATGTGTCTTCTCTTTAACCAGAGTCACAGTCGGTGATTACATCATTGATCATGTGAGAAGGAGCCACATTTTACAGTGGACTTCCATTCATTAGGAATCACTGCCACAAACAGTGGAGCACTTTCTATTTATAGGCCACTGCTTTTCTTTTATGAGTTACGGACTGTACAAACTTTACGGTTTAATTTAGATATTTATACAATTTCACGTCAAAGATATTCCACAGTCTTACTTGTTGACATCATGCATGATGTTCCCGGGCCAGGCCAGCTTGACCTTCAGCTGGCTCTTATGCTCCACAAAGAAGTCCACCAGGGTCCTGGTCACGGTGGCTGAGGTATGAAGAAAGAAGGCAGGAATCCACAGAATGGCTCCCTCCAGCTTCTTTAGGTTGAGGAAGAAATTATTTCTGTCTTGTATAGTGAGCAGGTTATTGTAGTACCTCTCCAGAATGCTAGGGTTGAAGGTGGTCAGGTTGGTCTTCTTGCCTACGTCCTTGGAGTAGACCTCCGTGGGTGCAAAGTTGCAGCGGAACACAAAGTCAGCCTGGTCGATTTCTGGCCCACAGTGACTCCCTGTCAGGATGCCGCTGTTTCCCACCACAGCACACATACTGTAGTGCTTGTTGAGGATAGGAGAGATGTCTGGGAGCAAGGATTTGAAGTTGTTGCTAATGGAGAAGACGTATTTGTGGCTGGAGTAGTCAAAGTGCATCAGCTGTCCGACCCGCACGCTGTTCTTGGTGAGGGAGAAGTTGTTGGGAATGTCAATATAGTTGAATATATCTTTCCTGAAATAAAAAAAGAGAGTAACCAGAGTTTAACATAGTTTTTGTACATGCCAAATCCTTAATTAATCATTCATCTTAATAACAATAAACTGTCATGTTGTAATCATCATTTATAGTGTGATTTTTAGTCTTACAAGCGACTCAATGTGCAATATATTACATTCACATATTTATACACAGCTGCTTCTTGTCACAACAGCCTTTTCATCCATTTGCTTCATCTGTGAGAATCACTACATAATAATATGAACAGACATAATGATAGAAAATGCATTTTGTAAACTGTGCTGCATGAACAATGTTTACCGACAGGGAATTAAAAAAAACAAAACATGTCCAAGTTGTTTAGAGTAGGAGATTTACCTATGCTGATAAAAGGCCGTCTTGTTGAACCTCCATTTTGAGGATTTTCCTTGAAGCTCTTCATTTAGGGCCGTGGTTAAAGGTATGAAAGATGGATCCATGAAATTCATGGCAAACTGAGACCTGTAAACAAAATGACATTTGTTTTATTAAAATTGACACAAAGAAATGGACATTCGATTGGATCCTTTTTCAGATGGCAACCTTCTTAACTCTCCACTTGGTTCTTTTAGAAACACCACTGGCTGAAATGAAGCCCCACCCCATTTCAGAGCCAGTGCTAACTGTACCTGATGGTTCCACATTCTATTTTATTATCCTATTTTTTATCCTTAGAAAAGTTTAAGCTAAAAAAACATAAACTTTCATTTAACGTAGGTTCATATATGTAAAATTTGAATATTTAATATTCTGTTCCTACTTAAGATCTGACAGCAGCTCTGAATGCGGTCACAAGACTTCAGCTACTAGTTGATTCGGTGATACTTTTTTTTTCGTCTCCCAAGATAGAACCACTGCCTGATCACCCACTTTCTTTTCTCCACTTGTCCAGTTTTTTTTTTTTTTCAAATTTGATGACATGTGATAAAAATAGTTATTGTCTGTTGAAAACAAAGAATTAATGAAGGGTATATGTATATATTTATATATATACATGTTACAGATTGTATACATACATATATTATATACATTTATTTATATGACCTATATTATATAAATGCAGTGTATATGTAGCAGAGGTGGGACTAAGTCATTGTTTTGCAAGTCATAAGTAAGTCTCAAGTCTTTGCACTTAAGTCCGAGTCAAGTCTCAAGTCAAGACTGAAAAGTGTCAAGTCAAGTCCCAAGTCCTTACATTTCTGTTTCAAGTCCTTTTAAACAAAATAATAATATATTTGCACAGATCACTTTGGGTTTTGAAGAAAGTATCAAGTCTTGTCGAGTCAAAGGGCCCAAGTCCAAGTGAAGTCACGAGTCATTGATGTTAAAGTCCAAGTCGAGTTGCAAATCTCTTTACATTTTGTCAAGTCGAGTCTAAAGTCATCGAAATGATGACTCGAGTCTGACTCGAGTCCAAGTCATGCGACTCGAGTCCACACCTCTGCATAATATGTAGTTATGTACATTTTTTTCACAATTTAAAAAGTTAGTTAAGTGAAAAGATATATCTAGAAAACATATGTGTGGAAAATAATCTAAAATATGCCTCGTACTGTAACGACTGCACTGAGGATACTGTTGCAGTCCTGTAAATTATACCTGCATCAGCTCTTTCAGGGTAAAACACACTTGTGTACTGCCCTGCACTGTGTCTTTATATAAGCTCCCATGACCGCTGCGGGCCCTGCAGGTGCAGGACTTCTCCAGCACCTTGGACAGCTCAGCTGGATCAGGTCCATTTGAAGTAATGACACGAGGGGCACAGCTAAGAGCTAACCCGGTAATAAAGTGTACCCACCGGAATCCTGCGTGAAACATGATCCTGGGGCCGCTCATGTAGTACTTGGAGGATGTGAAGAGGCTGTCTTTTCTCAGAGAAACGTAACTGATAAGCGACAGAATGAGCACAGCCACGAACAGGATCATCATACCCAGGGCCTTGGCGACGCGGACCATCTTGGCAGTGTTTTCATTCCCTGTGCGAAGCTGTAGCGAGGCGTTGGCCTATGTTGTCTTCACCATCATTATCATCACCAACGGGACTGAACACTGTGATGCTGCTACTGCCGCCTGCCCGCAGGACACAGACACATTGGCGCTCGTCGGATCATGCAGCCGTGTAAAATGGACGACTGGTGTTTGTCGGCTGCATGGTGAGGATGGTGACGGTCGCTCTTTTCTCATTCCTTCGCCAACTCAGACCCAGAGTCTTCCAACGGATCCTCCAGCTCCTTCTGCTCCTCCTGCCTCTGCCTCACACTCTGACGCTGCGGCTCCTCTTCAGACTGCAGCTCCAATCAAGTTGATGGAGCTAGTGCGCAAGCCAGCACACACACGTGCACGCACGCACGCACGTACACACACTGTATAAACAGGAACGAAAATCTCCTGACCTGTGTCCTGTGCTAATGAAAGTGATGAATGGATAGCACATTTATCCAGCTGTGGAGTAGTTAGACCAGGCATGGGCAAACTAAGGCCCAGGGGCCGGATGCAGCCCACTCAGCTTTTCAATCCGGCCCGCCAATTTTTTCCATCCATCCATCCATTTTCGCCCACTTATTTGTTACCGGGTCGCAGGGGCAGCAGTCTCTATGACCACCACCCAAATCACACTGCACCGTAACAACCCTCCCCCAAACCTTCCTTCAGGTGGTGAGTCCACTGGAAGCCAACCTCCCTAACTGGGATTTGATCTTGCCCAGGAGGTGAACCCTGGGGTTCCACACCAATGACAGAGACATTGCCTCTGGGCCAAACCGCCACACTAAACTTTTCCAAATTATATAATTTATTTATTCATGTTATCATTATAAAATACTTCTGTCTTTTCCCTGCAATACCTATGTTTCCCCAATAGATGGTGTAGAAAATGATAACAGCATTTTAACCTAAAAATGAATACAAAATAACAATGGGATAAAGAATAAAAATGGGATCATCGTTTGTCGTAATGGACTAAGGCTATAGAGTCATTATTAGAAAATAAGCTGAGTATAAAGGTTAATATATGATGGGGGGAGTGATCATCATCTATGAGGTGAACTTCGCTATTGAGGCAACGTGAGGACATTCCAGAGACAACCTAAATTTTATTTTAACCATTTTATTTTATTATTTGAACGTCATTGTTAATCTGACCACTGCTCAAATTTTTATCCTTTTATCCTTTTCAACAGCCATCCCATAACTACACTCAGGAAATGAGTCAGTGAATAAGCTTTTGTGTGATCTTATGGCTCTCTGCTGTGCGGGAATCAATTACTTTAATGTCCAGAGCACCTGGCCACTGCTGAGGGTGGAGAGTGCACGGCTGCTTTACTTCAGGATCCTCCTGCCTTTGTGTGAAACTGAAAAATAAATCATCAAAGTGGGTTTTCATCACTACTACAGTTTGTTCTGCATTGGTGTAAAGTGATTTTTAAATGTTGGTCCATGGGCCACGGAACAGGATAGAGCAGATACGAGTGGTTTAATGCAGTATTGTGAAGGTCTACTGTGCTCCGTCTGGGCTTTTGAGAGATTACATCTGACTCTTGTCTGGATCGCAGCTTGTCTGTTCACAGAGAAATTGCTATTTTACGCATTTATGCTAGATAAAAATATAAATGTTTATTAGGATGGATTTTTTTTCTTAGAAATTCAACTTATTCCACATAAACTCTATGTTGCAAAAATACATTTTCTTTGTTTTTGGTTTTTACAGGTTATATACATTTTTTTTTTACTTTTTAGCTTATCTTGGTAAACATGTACACACACATAAATACATGTTTTCATGCATATACAGTCAGATATGTTAACACTGAATCATCATATCATATTATGGTAGCATATACCAACGCATGTAAATGAACATATACAGAAAAGGCTATACAGTTAAAAAAAATCAGTTTTTAAACGGGACTGATGATGACACTGGTGTCTGGGATGGTTTTAACTGTGAGTCCTTGTGCTTGTAACTGTTTGTTCTGGAATGTGTGGAGACTGGACACCACAATAAAAGACAGGTTCAAATGTATTGCGCTCAAGCTGCTGAGATATTGCACGTTTCCATTTTCGCATTCGGAGACGTTTGGACATGTGGAGGAACTGACAATCAATGCAGGCACTTCATGATCACAACCTGTTATATAAGACATGACACAGGTTTGTGTGGAGTCATGTTGGTGAATATAAATCAGCTACATTTCCGCTGATGCCCTGCCTTCAACTGCTGAGCTCGTGGTCATGACGTGGGCAGATATGTCCCAGTGTGAAGTCGTGAGACTACGGCTGCTAGGCAACAGCACAACGAGTGCTAAGATTAACAGTACAGTCAGTGTAAAAAAAAAACACAACATAAAATAGTTTAGCAAGCAACCTGGAACCAAAGGCAACTTCTGGAAACAACAATTGTATTAATAACACAAAAATAAATGAATTTTTAAAAAATTGTTAGCTCGAACGCCACAGTTGAAAAAACAGCTTCAAAGTATGGCAATGCTTAGCTGGCAGTAACATATCCTGTGCAGGAGGGCAAGACTACATTTGAAGGCAACAACAAACACACACTAATGACTCATCACTTTCTGCAAATAGGGAAGATGGAGGGAAAGAAAGCTCCCTCGCCGTCACTTCCTGGTGAGCCGCAAGGACTGTCTTCTCCACTGCTCATGTCCTCACAGGAGTCCTCGCTATGAGAGAAGAAAGAACGTCAGGAGCACACTCTACTCTAGCAGCAAAGTCGCATATACATTCACAATATTTACTCAGATTGTCATTCATCCAGGCTGCCGTGCTTTCATGTTGTTTGAGGTGTGGTCTGTGATCATGTGACTACGAGCAACTTGAAGACAACAACTACTGTTTATGAGTCACTTGAGAGTCACATGAGCAGACCACTCCTCCTCTCAAACTCTCAAACCGTGGCTTTCATCACTACCCAACCAAACTGGGTCACCCTGCTAGAGGACGAGAATAACTCTTTAATACCATTTATGTTTTTTACTCACCATGCAGTGGAGGACACATAACCATCCAGAGAATACAAAGACAATGACTTATTATGGGATAGTGTAGTACTTGACTGGACTGATCTGCAGAATTCTTTTTTCGGAAGCATGTTTGTATATGGGATGGGTCTTTTAGGGTGATAACAAGAGACATGGAGAGGTTTGGATATGAGAAACAAACCTTCGGGTGTGACTGCCTCCTTATGTCTCCAGATGAAATTATCTATTTGCGCAGAGCATCCACGTACTCATCCTCATGGTGTCTTGTAGTTAAATTAGTGATTCCCAACCACTGGGCCGTGGCACATTAGTGTGCCGTGAGAAATCATTAGATGTGCCATGGAAAATTATCCAATTTCATTTAATTGCGCTGAAAACTATTATTTATTTATTTTCATATAATTTTTCTTTGCTCATCGAAGCATGAAAGGCAGAACAGTTAAATACTCTTCTGCTAGGTAGCAGCAGATAGCTATAAACACTAAAAAAAAAAAAAGATAATCAGAGCTGTTTAAGATCATTGTGTCTTTCTTCAATTCCTGCCAGTATATCTGCACTGTCTTCAACTATACAGGCCAAGATTTAAGTCAATTATCAGGTCATTTAAACTAGAAGATTATTATATTTCATTAAATATACTGTTTTTGAGTTTTGTGTTTGGTGTTGTGCCGTGGCTTAAAAAAGATTGGGAAACCTGGTTTAAAGCATCTATTTTGTTTTCCCAATTTTTTTAATTGTTTTTTCTTAGCGTTTTGTTTTTCCATCAAGTCCTGTATGTTTACTTTTTAAAAGTTGTGTAGATGGAAACATGGTGACAACTTACCTTTCACTCTCATCCCAGCCTCCCTCAGGAATGGTTGGCAGACCTGGCACACTGAAGCGATTGGCCTGGAGATTCTGTGCTGTTCTTCGGGACACGATCCAAACCAGCTTTTTATTGTCTGGTTTGTTACATTCACTCGAGTGGTACTCGCTCATGCACTTGGCAACAAATTCCTTCCAGAGAAGCAGCTCGTTGTCACTGATCTGTAAAGACAACACACGTCTGAGAGGAGCTGACCAAAATAGCCTGAAAAATGCTGTCATCAACAAATTCTTGTCCACGCATGACATGTAAATGCAGTCAGACAGGGACACAGACATTAAATAGTGTACGATGTAAACTTAAAATAACAGCTAAAACCACTGGAACCAGAAGAAAAGGAACAAAAAGATAAACTACTAATTACACTAGATCAGTGGTTCTCCAACTTTTTCTACTCTGTACCACCTGAGAAAACCTTGATCTCTCTGAGTACCACCATGATGACCAACATTAGAATATAGCAGCATAGGCCTTCACTATTAGCTTCCACCACACAGGAGAGATGTTTAGAAATGTTTAGAAAGATGTTTATGTTTAAATGTTGTATTAATTGTGCATGGTATGTTTTAGATTTATTCAGTTGAAAATGTAAATGTGAAAATGTGAATTTTCCCTGTGTACGACTAGAGAGCACTCGCGTACCAGAACCACAGTTTGAGAACCACTGCACTAAAACAGATCTCAAGTGGCAAATCTGTGTATTGCACAAATATGAAATTAAGTAATTCTAAAACAATGTAACAACAAAACTTACCAATTTTCTATTTGTTCAACAAAACCAAAAAGCAAAGTCTAACATTTATCATTCAACCTCACACTTATCTCCTGCTTATTTTTATTTGCAAAGGCCTCTACCTACCTTGAGGTGTTTTTGAAACTGTTGAACAATCTTCAACGAGGTGACAGATTGGAGAACATCAAATTCTTGAGCAATGAGCGACAGTGCCAGCACTGATGGCTGCATAAAGAACCAACCATGGATAATCAGATGCTGTTTGAATGATGCAACAATGAAAATTTTCACCCTATAAATGAAATTTACTTTTGCTTTAGAAAATGTAAATTGGCACAAGCAAGCCTTTAACTGGGCTTCCAGTCTCCCAATGCTGGGGATCTTCTCACTGTAATATATCAAAGAAAATCCTAATGAAATATATCCCATCAAACCTTCTAAGACAGTATCTTCTCCACCAGTTCTATATCAACTGGCATCAATGCATCAATAATGACGAAAAATAGACAATAATTTCACCTTTCAACAAGCTGGTTTTGGAAGCCAGAGTAGTAGAGGTGTAGAAAGGTTAAGGCTGTCACTGCTTTGGTCTCCACACTGAGCTTCTCTGAGATGATCTTCTCCATACGACACAAATCTGACACTGTAAACCGGCTTTGACTGATGCGTATGAGTTCTTGGGTTGGCGAGACATTGCTCTCTTCCTCGATCATTTTGGAAGCCATGTGAAGACAGCACACTCCAATACAGGGCAAGTGTTTGGGCTGCACCTGTCACAATAACACAATGGTGATAAGTGTGACTGCAGGTCTCGTGGCTGAAGGTCAAGACCATTGTTGCTGTCACACCCGTGATGGCAACGTGATGAAAGGCATGCACTATGTGTCTTTGAATATAAAGCAACAGAAATCAACTATTAACACTATTTTAATAATTCAAATTATTATTTTTTAATTCCTACCTTCATGATGGCAAGGAATCTATCTAACAGGTTGACAGCTTGAACAAATGTTTGGGTGCTGTAGCCAAAGAAGCTGGTCAGGCCCCACAGTTCCTCCACTCTGTGGTCTCGGCATTTTACAGACACACCGATGTGACTCTAACAACACAGAGAACTGCAGGATTAATTATTGAAAACACCAAAGGTTTCTTAAGGAAACTGCATGTATCTGCACAACCACCATAAAAGCAGAAGTAGGTCAGTGTGTTACCTTTGCGGAAGCCGACTCCATCAACTTCAGGCCGGCCTCTCTGGGAAGGAAGCTGTACTCTTGAGCACAACATGACTTCAGCTCCTTCAGAAGTAGGCTGTCAACAGCTTGACGGTCCCTCATCCTGAAAGACAACATATTCCTCAGCTTCATGGCATAATCTGCAACAACTGCTACCCCTCATAAGGACAAGGGCTGAAAAGTCTGGCAAAGCCCACCCACTTGGTGTCAGGTATCAATGGAATGATGCCACCCCACCCCCTTAACAAAACCCACTCCCTGACTGTAGACAAAAACAAACGTATGTGTTTGTTGATATGAATGCATTATTTTTGGGAACACATATTTAAATAAACATATTTATTTAAAATGTTCTACAGGAATATGCCATTTGACAACATTGTTACTGCTTAGTAGACGTACAGAGGATGTAGAGGGTAGGTCAAAAAGTAGGTCAAATAGTCAATCATAAGAGACAAAATATATGATACACATTCAAATACTACAATTGTTTCCTTTATTCTTTAATTTAAAAAAATCATAGAAACACTTAATTAAATGTTACACTAAAAGGTATTCCCAAAACACAACAACAACAACAAATTCACATATTCACATTCACAAGCCCATACATAACATGTTTTCGTTTCGTCTTACCTTGCCTAAGGGCCGCCGAGCTGCTGCAAAATCAAATGGTACTTGTTACTTCTTCATATCTCAATTAGACTAAGGATTTTTGAGAGAAATCTTTAAAAAATTCAAAGGATTCAACAGCTGAAAAAGAGGGTGCGCCCTGGACATACAAACGTACTCCATTACCCAGCACCACCCGCGCTGGACACGTTCTTATGACGTATCTTCGTCGCAGGACAAAATAAACATTTCGGCGCTAACTTGATTTTACGCCGGTGGAAAATAAGTATTGCTCCAGGAAGTTAATCAAATTGACAACTATAGTCAACAGTAGAGTTATGATATGTCAAAATTGCTGGTATTAACTTCAGAAAACACAATATTTGCAGTTAGTTTCAGTTGTTTCCATGGCGACATTTTACGTTTAATGGAAACGACTCTGCACTGCTGTGTTGTGTTGTTTTAAGGAGTTGCCTAATGTTTACTTCATAAAAAGCTTCAGTATTCGAGTAAATACAGATCACGGACTTTCGGGCCTTTTTACTAAAATGGCAGGGACGTTTGACTCTTCCGTTTTGGAAGAATCACTGCACAATAATGACGAACCAATGCGAGAAACAGGTCGAAAAAGTGGTACGTAGGTTAACTCAGCCTTCGGTTAATACCTCTGTTACTTTACTATTATACTAACTTAGGTTAATAAGAATATTTTGTTTTGTCCACAAATCATGTAATTAATTTTACAGAGGTTCACGAGGACTCCATTGTGTTGAGATTGCACAGAATGACACCGGATGAACTAAGGTAATCGTGTTCTCATCTTATAATGAATAAACACTCTCTTTTAAGGAACTGCCACGCGTAACAAACATTTATTTAAACCCTTACAGTGTTTCATGTAGTGACAGATGACTACAGGCACTAACATAAAAAAAAACTGTCATTTGATTTTTCATTGAATGTCACTGATTTAATGAAATAAGATCTACAAGAAATTCCCTGCCTATAAAAATTCGATTAATCTTCAGATATATGTTAATCACTCCTCTACACTGTACATATTTAATACCAAAGAAACGTTAAAAATGTTCCTTGCAAACTTTTTGGCAGTGAGGAACTCAACAGGCGAATCAGGGAAACTCAGAAGCTCCAAGAAGAAGTAGAAAATGCAACTAAAGTCACCTTGGAGAGGTTTGGCTGCAAATATAGTATCAACAACTCACCTGGACCAAGCAGCCTCAACTACACATTTAATGCCTGTGAGTACAAGTGTTGTCCTCCAATTGTATTTTAATTGTATAACAGGCTACACATAGATAAACACATACAAATGTTGTCAAATAGTTTTGAAAAACTCAATCTACAGTGTTGACAAAATGTTTGTTTTATACTTTTGCGGGAATCTTTCCTTCACACAGTGACTCAACCTCAGGACTACAGCCTGGACTCTCCTGAAAAGGTAGTGTCGCAGAAGGCAGTAGAAAACAGTGTCCCCCATTTGCTTAAACCACAGGTAATACCATCTGAAATATGTTCATTTAAACAGACACAAAATATGCCAGAAAAAGAGCCATTCAGTTTTGACAGTGCCATTGTGAACCTACAGAGCAAGCTTCATCAAGTTCAAATGGAGAATGTGGTCTTATCTGACCTGAGGTAAACTTCTGAGAAGATTCTAATTCAGAAATAGAGTTGTGTGTTTGTATTTAACCCCTTGATTGTAATTTTGCAGATTAAATGATTCTAGGGAACACGTTGATCAGATGGAACAGATGCTTTGCATGTTAGAAGAGCTACAGAAAATCAAAAGAGCCACAGACGACAAGCTGCAGGAGAGAGAGGATGAGACACTGACACTTGGCATGAAAGTAAACACACTGGAAGAGATGATGAAGGAAATGTACTCTGCATTGTTGTCCCACAAGATTCAAAGTAGAAACAGTGATAAAGGCAGTCTTTCAGGACAACCGACTTCTGCTGATCTCAACAGTGAGACAGACAGGATGCAGGTGAAAATCCTTATGGTTTATATGAGACATTGTTTGCGGTCATGTCAGTGTACGTCTGCACTGATATATTTGTTCTATCTATCCATCCATCTAACTGTCTGTCTGTCTGTCTATCTATTTATCGATCTATCTATATATCTGTCTATCTATTTGTCTCTCTATCTATCTGTCTATCTGTCTATCTATATCTGTCTATCTGTCTATCTATCTATTTGTCTATCTATCTATCTATCTATCCATCTATCTATATTATAACAGACAGCGAATCATATGGATATTTATGGGGACAGTGCAAAGGAACAGAATCATAGGTAAGACATTTATTTTATTAAATTATTTTAAAAAATTAAATTAAGTTACATTTTGTGATTTAATGGTTTTTGTTGCATTGTATGAAACTGCTGTATAAACACACAAAGTTTCTGACATTTAGTCAAATAATACAAAGACTGTTTTTTCCCACAAAATGACTGACAAATTGTAAATTTGTATTATTTTCATATTGTGCAATGTAACTATCATGATATTTTTAAGTATTTGATTTTTAAAAATATTTTACTTACCATTATTAGCTTCAGTAGTGTTTTAAGAATTTTAATTTGCTGTTTTAGGATGAGAGAAATGATTACAGATCTCTGCCAGGAGATGGCACTGTTGTCTGATAAACTGAGTTCATCAAATCAAAGTAGCTTCACCTTGAGTCACAAATTGGAGATTCTCCGGTAGGTTTTGTTTCCGAACGCATTGTTTATTAAAAAGGACAAATGTGATATACCTAATACATCCGTTTTATTAAAATAATTATATATTTTTTAAAAATCTTGCACACAGGAAACTTGCTGAAAGGCAGACGTCACTGCACCAGTGTCAGATCAATGACCTTGAGTCAACTCTTTCCGACTATAAAGATAAGGTAAAGATAATGTTATCATAGTATAAGGCGTGTTAATATACCATGAGACTTTTTTTTTTACATATTAATAATTATGTGTTCACTGAAGATGAATAAGTGATTGGTTTTATCTACAACTAGTAGATCTACATCAAGTGTAGGTAAAGGAAAATGAATGTGAATAAAACAAACAAAAATAAAAGTTTATTTTTTGTCTTTTTATATGTCTCTTATTTGGAGGAAAAGCCTTTTGAGGTTCAGTCTCAGGTGCTGGAAGTTCAAACTGAGAGGGAAAGTTTGTTGCCACAGTTTGAGGAGCTTCAGTCCCAACTGAACAAACTAAAGGTCTGGAGAATACATAAAAAAGACATGACATATTGGTTGGCAATCAGTGGTATTATGTGTATCTTGTTGTCATAACTGGAGCTGTCTCATATAATTTAAAGTCTCTCTCTTTGGGTCTTAATGCTCCCCGCCAACCAACACGAATAACCTTCCTCTGTGAAGGTAATAAAGACACAGAAACCACGTGAGCAGCTCCAGTTCTATGTTTACCTGTAAACACATGGGACAAAGTGAAACAGACCTGAGGGCTGGACTTAAAAACAGGACAATGATGAGTCAGTCAGAATAACACTAGAGTAACTGTTATAATAGAAAATAACTCGCTGTTAAATGTTTGATTTGTTGCGTCCTTAAAGAATTTATTTTGCGCCTCAGGGATGCAGTGAGCAGCAGCAGCATGAATTCCAGGTGGAGGCCAAGGTTTTGAGAGGACGCTTGGAGGAGGCTAGAAATAAACTTCACCGGGCTGAAGAGGAGAAAAGTTGCTTACAGGCTCTGCTGAACGAAAGAACCCATGATGGAAGTAGGACTCAGAAACTACTGCATGGGAAAGAGAAGGAACTGGAGCTCAAGCACCAAGAAGCTCGGCAAGTACGGAATCATGAAATAGGAATTGAACTGGTGTTCTTCTGAAAAAATGCTAAACATAATTTTTTTCCTAGCATCGTTCTCAGTTCCACACTCTACAAGTAGAGGCAGAGATGCTCAGGTTGAAGCTGGATGACAGAGAGAAGCAGATTGACTGTCAGAAGCTGCAGATAGAGATCAGCAGCCAGATGACAATGCAGCAGAGTCACACCATTGACCACCTCCAGCAGGACCGCAACATTTTCATCAAACAGCTGGAGCAGCTTAAGGTTGATAAATCATTTCTGTTGTCAACACAGTGCCACCTGTTGTTTCCTCCACATCACACTCACGTCTTCACGTCACTGCCTGCTTTATGCTTATTCTTCAATTTTTGTCAATGTTGATCAGGCCGAGCTGGACCAGCACAAGTCAGATCTGGCTGCTTCAGAACACGAGAAGAAGCTACTGCAGATGTGCGTGTCTGGGCATAACCAACGTGTCCAGGAAGAATCAGGGGAGAAACAGCAGCTCACCACACAACTGGAAGTCCAGCGGATACGATACATGACCCTCAGCAGTGAGTTCAGCTGTGGATTACAGCGTTATGAAGATTCAATATCAACTATATTACCAAGTCAAAAATAAGCAGTGTTTTCTCATTAAATTGATAACGATGTGTGTATATATATATATATATATATATATATGTGTGTAAAAAGATTTATATAGATGTAAAAAGTTTATTGCGCAATTACCAACTGGAAGTGTGTGCAATAAAATGCAATGAAGGCATTACATCATTGAGTCTTGCGTAACTGGGACCAATAACTAAACAGAATTTAAGTCTAATAATGATTTGGAAAGCGGAAAAGTCGGACAGTGGTGATGACGCACACAGAGATAATTTCCTGTAACTTTGTGTTGAACCTTGGTGTCTGATGAGCACGTCATGGTCACATCATGATTTACAGTCTGTTTTTAGCTGTGATAGCATCAGTTTATTACATTTCTTATCCTTAGTTTTAGAAACCAGTTTGTTTAATCTCAGTCACTTTATGTTTAATTCAATTCATGAATTTGAAAATACATCCAGACAAAACTAAAGAATTTTAGTCTAGTTATTTTAGTCAGTGATCCTTTTTTATTTATTAAAGATATAACAGCTCTTTCTTTGCATTTTAGAAGTTTAGGATATTATAAAATAGTCCTATATTTTAATTTAGCAACACCAGTTGAGATTTTTATTGATTCTGAACAGCAGATAAGTGAATCCAGCTGCTCTCAGTCCCAGCCCATGACCCTTTCTGGTTAAAGAGCCAGTTCACTTCTCACAGTTCTTGGCCAAATCAAATGATCTTCTTGTCCTGCTGTGTTAGAAAAACAAAGAGACTTGTTCAGTATGTTTACTCTGTCAACCAAGCCCTTCCATTGCTGCTCATGGTTAGTTATGTTTCGAAGTGTGTGTTTCCCTGTGGATGTGATGCATGTGTTTGTGTGGGCATCGTTTCAGAGGAGCTCGAGGAGCTGCAACGACTCCACAGCTGTAAGGAGGCAGAGCAGGAGGGTGTGGTGCTGAGGCTTCAGGAGCAGCTGAGGAGCACCTGTGAGGAGCTGGACAAGGTCAGGAGCACACTGAGGACTCTAGAAGGAGCTGATGGATGCGGTGAGATCTGCCTCAATATACAAACCCACGTACAGCATAGGACATTATGCAATTAAGTTTTTATTTTCTATAAAAATCAGATGACCCCACTATAACCTTTGAATACAAACAAGGTTGTCTGTATTTTTTTTACCATTTCTGGTTTATGCTCTGCTTGGTCTGTCGCCTCCTCAGGCCTCCAAGTGGCCATGGACATGCAGAAGGAGGTCACTGCCAGAAGAGAGCAAGCCGACTCCCTGCAGAGTAAAATTCAACATCTGGAAGAGACAGTGAAGGAGCTGCAGCAGGTTTAAAACCATCTATACTTTACTTTTTATGTTGTTTATTTTTTTTCTTTAATCTAAAATTTATCTTCTTCTTTTCCATTCAGCTTTGTCCCTTTTTTTTCAGGGTTTGCCACAGCGAATCATTGATTTCCATCTCTCCCTGTTCTCTGTATCTTCTACTCTGACTCCAACTATCTACCTCCCTCACTGCATCCATATCTCCTCTTTGGTCTTCCTCTTTGTCTCCTACCTGGGAGCTCAATCTCTAACATTCTTCTACCAATGTATCCACTGTCCCTCCTCTGCACATCCAAACCATCTCAATCTGGCTTCTCTAGCTTTTTCTCCAAACCTTCCTGTCTGTGTTGTCCCTCTAATGACTTCATTCCTTTGATCAAAATTATAAGGTGTTGTAAAAACATTTTATTTTACAATTTACTATCAAAGTCTTCAGAGGTCATTTTGTTGCTAAGAATCAGTGTCACTACCATGTTGTATAAAAGTATATGAACCATAACCCTGGCTCAATTACAAACTCTCAAAATTAAAGTGTTAATTGCCGGTGACATTAATCACATTACATGTTTTATGTATGTAATGAATATGTAGAATTACACACACACAGTATACAATAATTCAGCATCCATCCACTCATTGTGGCTCTAACCAGAGTTGGTACACAGGATGTTATTTGCACACACTGTGAAAAAAGGTTTTAATTTCACTAAAGAACCTGGAGCTAACAAACAAGGAATTGGAAAGAAAACTTCAGTGGATGTTTATTTGATGATAACAAATTTCACTATCAATATTTTTTATAAAAAAGGTATTGATATTTTATTAAGCATGTTTATTTGACATGTTTAACTGCGGGCTGTTTCAACTCCTTATCCAGGAGGAACATAACCAGAGTCTGCAGCAGCAGCTTCAGCATCAGGAGCTCACTCTTGCCAGGGAGGAGAAGAAACATCTGAAGCAGGAGCTGCAGCTCCTTCGCTCTAAAGACCAGAAACTGCTGGACCAAATCAATAACCTGGGGTCCTTCCTTCACAGGGTAACTCCAAGCTATCGCCACCCACGTCATAATTACAGACCTAACCACTCACACAGTGCCAGATCACAGTGGCACACAAAAGTGTTTTTTTGTTTTAATCATCTGGCCAATATTAAAGTACTTTCCCTGTGGGGTCGACTCGCCCTCAAGGCTTAAGTACTCCTTCATAATTAACTTTAGTGTCTCCACAGGCAATGTTCCCTTCTAGCCTCCGGTCGTACTTCTATTTCCTAATGTGTAATAGAAATCTAAGATAGAAAGAAAGAAAATACTAATAACTCAAATACCAACGGAACTTACGTGTATATATTGAGTTCTTCTCCAAAGTTTACTTTCTTAAGTGGTACATCCTTCAGGAAAATAACAACCAGAGATGCCAGATTAAAAAAAAAATATTTCAGCTCCATTTGTTTTCTCTGTCTCCTTCACTGAAACATTTCCTTGATGCAAACTCTTTCCTTGCTCCAGTTGTCAGAAAGCTTTGCAGGCTGTCAGGATTTCATCCAGCTGCAGGAGCAGGATTTTTATCACCTGAAACTCCAACATGCCCTGGATCTGAAGGTGAAGCTTTAATGCGTGCTGTCTTTTTGTCTCTGTAAATAATGTATCCTCCCCGTACATATGGTGTAAACATTTACATTTTCAATGACAGATCATAAAACTCTTTTTTTTTCTCTCTATGTTGAAGGAACTTCAAGGTCAGACTCTGTACACTGCTGTGACAGTTCTTCCAACAGACCAGGATTCCCCGAATCCAGCAGTATTCAGCACTCCACCCTCAGCACAGCGGGCCTCCACCACGTGGATGAAGGTGCAGTAATAAACTCTATACATGATGCCTATCTCCTAGGGTTCCGGCCCATCAGTGCATCTGTGAAGTGTTGTTTATTTGGCTGTTAAGACACCAGCTCAGCACATCTGCCTTATTAATCAGAAACACTCCCTGACTCACATTCCTGAGCTGACGGGGGAAAACAGAAAGAGAAAAGAATCAAGCTATTTTTTTAGTTATTGTTAAAAAAAATTTCAAAAAATGTTATTGCTGTCCTCATCAGCCCATCTACTGCAATGACAGTGTATTTTCTTAGGTGGGCCACACACAGGAGCTCAGGTCTCTGGTCAAGGAGCTACAGGGAGCGATTTCAGAAAACCACAGACCACACACAGACAACAGCGCTGCTGCCAGCAGACTTTACAGGAGGAGGTCTGCACCGCCAGAGAAAACGCACAGGACCACATTGTACGTCTGGCTCTGTTCTTACACACTGAGGATTAACTTTTGTTCTAAGTCCAGCTCTGATCAGGTCTGAAAATCATGTGATGCCTTTAAGTGAGCAGGGAGTCAGTGAAAGGAAACAACATGTGCTGTGGTGTGAGTGCTTCCCTCAACCACACCCTGATTCACTGCAGCGTGTCACGGAGGGAAACGGTGACCTCTCACTGTCACTCCGATGAGTGATGTTGACTCTTAAGAACATGTGGCCTTATGTCACGAACTTGACTTTTAACCCTCTCATGCAACATGCACAGTTTTGCAAATGCAGCCGACCGCCTAATGTGTGTCTGTTTGTACCTGTGCTGTGTACAGTAAACCGCTGAAGAACGCTGAGCTTAAAGGAAAAACAGTTCCCAAGAAACCAGTCGGTGACGGTGAGTTTACAACAGTGTCTTTCCACAGAAAGACAAAACAATGCTGTTTTCTTCAACACTTTTGTGACTGTCAGAACAGGAAATTGAACGTGGAGTGTTTTAATACATAAAACCAGACATGATTTATCAAATGTAATTATTCCATTCTCTAATAGAACTTTAATTTTTTTTTTTAGGGTGCACTGAGTCCAGTCCTGGGACATCCTTCCTGGAGTACCTCTCACTGGGCCGCAGGTCACCTGTCCACTCTCTGCTGACATCAGACCCAAACAGCTGACACTGACATGTGACCCCGGGGAGACAGTAGATAATGTGGTAGGTTTTAAACTCAAGGTCTGACACATAACCATGAACACACAGATTCAGGTTCAAGGCACATTTGCACTACATTAGATTTGTTTTAAAAAAAAAATCCAAGACCAATATTAGTGAAGAGCAATCTGGACCAGATCCACACAAGAGGTCAATGACAAACAGCTGATTAAAACTTAGATTGGACTGGGCTTGTAACTGGAGGAGTGCCAGTTTAAATCCCTGCCTCGCCAGGACTGTGGTGTGTTGAGCAATGGTCCCAAAAAAACCCCAAAACCTCTGCTGTCACCTGAGCAGCAAAGTGTCGGCCAATGGAATAAAATACAGAGAATAAAAGTCGTTGTGTTTAAGGTTGTCTATGTCTGTATAAATATATATGTGTGTATATATACAGTATGTGTATGTTTGTGTGTGTATATTTATATATACATATATATTGAGATTTCTGAGTATTATAAATTGAGTTAATTACTAAATTGTTTTGTTTGTTACAGGAGAACGACCAAATAAAGTTGGATGTGAAAAAATGTATAGAAAAAAAAGAATGACTTTAATAATTCATGTAAATGATTGAACTGTGGTAATAAAATATTCCATATGATGGAAATAAGTTGGAGTTGGAGTCAGAGTAGGAGATGCAGAGAACAGGGAGAGATGGAAATCAATGATTTGCTGTGGCAACCCCTGAAAAAAAAAAGGGACAAAGCCGAAAGAAAAAAAGAAGATATGATGGAAATAAGTGACTCTTATACCTTCAATTTTAAAAAGATTGACCCAGAGGGCTCCATAGTCTAAAAGTTACTGTTTGTAGTGTGGCAGATCATTAAACATATATATATATATATATATAATTTTTTTATATCATTTTATCAGAAACATCCTTACCTTATCTGATACAACCAAATCCTCAGAAAGTTCTCATCAGGACTTAAACTAAATGAACCAGTTACACATGAACTCTAAATCAATGTGGCAAAACTCAACAGAATTTTTTTTTTCTTTGTGTGGTCTGGGACCAGTTCCTGTATTCAACTGCTGTGTATACATGGACTAAGTGCAGTGCTATTTCCTGTGTTTAAGTTTGTCTCTGGACTAACAACATGTCATGTGTTTGTTTGTTGGTTCCCCTGGTTATTGTCTGGTTATATTCTGTTTCTGATGTGGCACTTAGTGTGTGTGTGTTTGTGTGTGTGTCAGCTATTTTCTTATTAGTATTAAACAAAGAGGAATTGATTTTTTTTTTTAACTTGAGAGGGAGAGTGTCTCTCACGTGAATAGGAAATGTGGCGATGAAGGCTGTTCTAGGACACTAGTGTGAAGCTGTCCCCATGAGTCTTATTCAGTCACACCTGTCTTCACTCTGTGGGAGTCAAACATCAGTGTTTCATAACATTGTTTCATCATTTTCTTTGTTTCTTTCTGAACATCAAGGAATTTAAAGCCAGGAAACTTTCTCTTACCTGAGGTACAAACCATTTTTTGAAAACATTAGTCAGCACTTCCATGTCCTCGTGGCCGTTCAGAGTCACCTGTGCTTTAACTTTGACCATGCAACTTTTTTTGATGCAGCCCTTGTTCATTTGTAGAACATGAGGGTTTCTGGGACTTGGATGTCGGGTGTCAGACGTGCTGTAAAATGATGCAGATGTGTGATGAAGTAATGCTGCAGAGAAAGTCTTTTTTGTGTGTTTTTATTATCATTTACTTGCATTTTTGGCTGTGTACAGTTTTCCTTGTCGACCTCCTCTTCATGCTCTACCTCAGCGGCAGGAAGTGAGGACATGTTTACTATCAGATCGGGGTCCAAAACAGATGCCACCCTCAGAAATAACTAGAGAGGAAATATGAGGTCATTTGAAAATGTTTATGACAAAAGTTACGTTACACATACATACATACATACATACATGAACATAAACAACCTTTATACAAGGTGATGTCTTGAATATGAGTATAGTCGACTGGGTTTCAGGTTCAAGTCACTCAAGAAAAGTTTAGGTAGATTCCAAGTTCAATCCCTAAGGTTTCAAGAGTCCACATGGAGTCGACATGATGTGACGGCTGAACTCATCCTCTGTGAAATAGCAGATTTACCTGCTTCTGTTGAATACCTAAAAAATTTGAAGAAATACTCCTTTCCCATAAAATCTGATTTTAACGTGAGTGCGGATTTACTGCAATTCAGCTTCAGTAGTTGTAGTTGCAAAGATCAGGTGTGTGTCAGCAGTAGTATGTCTATATGTCATCTATATGTAGACACGTGTATATATGTATATGTATATATGTACTGTATATATACGCATGTCTATATATGAATGTATATCTGTGTATATAAACTGTATATATATATATATATATACACACACACACTTTCCTGCAGCAATTCTACCAGGACTTTCTTCATTAACACCCCCCTCCACACACTCACACACTCACACCTCTGAAGTCATGTGATCCTTATAATGAGGGAACGTAGATAAAGGATGTTTTCTGAGTTCTTCCTCCACTGCGGTCACATGATCTCTTTGACGCTCGTGCTTGGAGGCGCAGGTGTGACCTTTGTTGACCTTGTTTCCAGGCTTTTTAGGAGAGATGTAGTTTGGACTTAAACCTTTTGAAAAGACTGGTGCGACTCCACTCTGAGTCACAGAGAACACTGACGCTGAGCTGAGGTTACCCAGGCTCACATCTGACCAAGTCTGACCACTGAACACTGTCCAAGTATTTGTAGATGTTTTCAAACACTTGGTCTGCAGTCTCTCTTTGTACCTGTTATGTAAATGAGAGATTGTTCGGTCAGTGATGTAATCATGACATGAGCTGTATCACGATAAAAACATTAAGGAGCAGCATCTGTATAAAATAATATTTATATTTAAAAAATTAACAAAAGGTCACTGGTTGCGTGTTGAAGTTATTGGTAAATGCACGGAAAAACAACTACTACATCTCAGATATTTGAGTTCTTGGTATAATTCTGAATTTCGAGGCCTACTTTGGAGTTACCTTGAGTTACTCTTCCAGTACGTGTGATGTGATAAAAGATGACTTTGTGCTGAACTGTCAGATCAATTACTTGACTTACTGCGGAAATCTTTAAGTTCTAGTCGTCTTTGTTGCTTTGATTCTTAAAAAGACGGACATTTTTGTCATTACAATAATATTAATACCAATGACCAAAGCAGAATGACCCACAGAAACAGGAACTTTCTCACAAATGACACATCAGATTATCGGCACCCTCACACTTTGATGAATATTTTATCTTAATACCATCAGGAATGTGTCTTAGATCTCCTTTGTGTAAATAAAATCTAATGGACCCTTCAAAACCGTGTACAACAACTGTAGTATGTGAAAAAAAAAAAGTAGGTCAAAAACTTTTCATCAGTTCTTAGGAAATTCCACAAAGCTCCCACAGTCCCTCACTCACCATCATTGGATGTCACTGGTTTATTAAACAAAACTGTTTTTGGTTTGTTTTTTTTCATTATCCAGAACAAAACGATCATTCAGTAATAACACATTTCACATTTAAACATGTATAATCCTTAACAAATGTTATGATGTTACACAAATAGTCAACAATGAAGTCCACTACGTACTTTGTCATGTACTTCACTGCACTGCACTTTACTGTACTATACTGTACGGTACCATTCGTCTATTTGCTCACATGCTTATACAGTAAATCGTGGGTTAAGCATCTTGCCCAAGAACACAGAGTAGATGATTGGACCTGGAGTCAAACCTCTAACCCAGGGGTGCCCGACAAGGGATCTACCAGTTGATCTCAAAGGGAGTGCTGGTAGATCCTGAGCAATTACATTTAAAGAAACAAATAGATTGAATTCTATTTTAAGATGCGAATTACTAGGGCTAAAGTAAGGAGCATGGAAGTATTGAGTCAGACAGTACTGTGCCATAGAACTACAGCCATTTAATCAAAGTAGTAAATATATATTTATAGTTTTCAATGTAGGTAGATCACTTTACCTCGGTCATTTGAAAGGAGCTCCCAAGCCGAAAAAGTGTGGACGCCCCTGGTCTAACCTTTAGGTCTAAAGTTGACTCACTGTACCCACTAACTCACTGTTTGTTTGAGTCAATTTTTAAACCAGTAATAGTGAAAGTAGACAATTTCAACTGATTAATTAAAAAAAATATAATACATACACCACTTTAGTAAAAATCAAATCTTTTTTTTCTCTCCCCTTCAGTGTTAATGTAATGTGTTTGACTAAACTCGAGGCAGACTGCTTTCATGGCCCCCTGTGTTTGTTGACATTCACGTCTACATACTGTGTCTATGTGCAACAGCACGGTGACCATTTTTAACAGCAGTCTGCGTTCCTACTGTGATGTAATGTGTTTATTTCTGCCTCTCTCCCCAGAGTCTTCTGACTTATATCAACCTTAAGGTTGCACACACAGTCAATGTAGAAACGGTATCATTTACTTTAATGTTTTAAAGCTGCAGCTGCTGCATTAGGACATGAAGTCATTGAATCCCAAAATTATATTTATAATGAGTTATAAGTATAATATGAGTTATATATGTTATTTAATAAAATATAAAATTAATATTTCTATATTATTTTACATATATAAATTAATTACATATAAATATATTATATCATAATATATTATTATATAAAATATATATTACATATAAATGTTAATAGTTTAAATTAATTAATTGTTTTCAAGAATTTTACTTTATTATTTTACTACTTTTTTTCTTTTCTTTAGCTATACCCAACAGCTGCTGTTAATGGGTTCATAGAGAATACGGTGTCACAAAATCCAAATGACTTACCATGGAAACTTTGGTGTGTCGTGTTTGGTGTCCATGGCTCAGAATTATTCTAATTTAAAATGTTTTACTCATCATTAGAAGACAAAAACAAACATTCCTTATCACCGCTGATTGTTCCATGTGTATGTGCATGTAGTTAAAGCAGAAACCTCTGCGTGGTTTGTTGCTGCGTACTCATGGCAACAAGGGTGTAGGAATGGGTAGATCATCAGGAGGGAGGGAGCGTTATAAAACTCTGTATTTCCTGTGTGCTATGAATAACTGAGTGGAAAGCATGTTATTTGTCAAAGAACTAACTGGACATACTGGAGGTATTTGTACTCACAGAAGTAGTGTTTTTATTATGAACGCTGATGACTCTTTGGCACATCAAATGGCAGCAGACGTCAAAAGAAATTACAGTTGATTTGTTGTACTGCATGAAACAGAAGGTTGGACATCTTACCATACCTTGTACCAGTGTTTGGTTGGCTGGATTAGAAAGCCAAAAGGGCCATAGTTTGCCCATGTCTGATTTAGGATAGACTCTACCCTTGTCTGATGACCACTGCTGCTTCTCCACCAACCTTAAAAAAAGTCTAGAAAATGTATGATAAACGAATGAAGTTTTCGAGGTCCATAAACACAACATTCACTTTGACTTTTTCCTGCCTTTTTAAATTGTAATCTTTATTTTCTTCTTGAATATATAATTTCTCACTCCGGTTCTTGACCCCTGCAAATGTTTTGCTAATGTATTGATAGACATTGTGTTTTGATAACTGTGGGACAGATAATCATCAGCAGATGGAAAGTACAGACAACTGTGTGACTTTTGTTATTCGGTGCAAAGCAACAACAACAGCACCAGTCTGTGCTAGAACACAGCCTGAGGCGAGTGAAGCTTTAGTGAGCTCAATGGATTTGAGCATTCTCATGCTGCGGCCTCTTTTTTGGAGATTCCTGATGTGATCACAGGACAGTTCTGGAACAACAGGGTAGTGGTAGGAAGGAAGGAAGAAACAGCCCTGACGACGATGTTCAGAGTCATTGCGTCATTTGTCTTCGGGTTCGTTCATGTGACTTAGTTTACCATAAAATAAATCAAGAAATCTGGTCATACATGCATCAGCCTGAGAGACGGTAACTCACGTTGTTGTGAATCCACTGACTAGAATTTTGAGTTTTTTGAACAGAAGCATTTTCGACCAATAAAACACTGAACTGTGAACTGTTCCTAGAGTTGTTTACTGAGACGTTTAGATAATGTTTAGATTAGTTTTTATTTATTTTTTTTTAAGTGTTATTCTTTGGCAGTTCAACCTCCTTCCAGTTCTATTACTGCCACCTAATGATGAAACAACCTTCATTGAAAAGGAAAAAGAGTTAAAGATACTGTGACAGTGTAACTGATCCTGGAAACTTTTCCTTCTCATTTCCGTCTCAAATGATTTTATTGTGCTAAAGGCTTATACATAGCTTATTGATTGATTGATTGGTTGATTGATAATTATGTTTGTTTGTGTTTGTGTATAGTTATGTATTAAACAGTGTATTTCTTCTAATGGTCAACTGTGTAGTACAGGTTATTGATTATACAAATCACTGAAGAGATTTGTGTAATGATGTAATCATTTCCTGTTTATAAAGAGATATAATTGATTACATGAGTCAATGACTGATATATTTGTTCTGTTTTTACACACATGTACACAATGTGCAGTATCAAATGAGTACTGAAGGTTATCAATGCCTCCTGGCACAGCAGCTTCACGTGGATATATTCGCAAATTCAATCTGCTACATATTAGAAACATTTTCCATGTTCAAGTAAACTGGACAATACTGGACACAATTAGTCTAATTCTCAGAGGAGGTGCCGTTAACTTATCTGACAATGTCTGCTGCTAAAGTTTCTAAATAAAAATAAAATACTAATCAATTGCAGAAACATGTATTAGTCTGTTATGGAGTAGTTACATCTATATCAGTGGTCCTCAACCTTTTTTGTTCCAAGGACTGGTCAGCCAGTACCACCTGTTACTACAGACCACTAATAAAGTACTGAGCATTGAAGGATCATTCAATTTCCAAAATAAAACATCTTTTTTTGTTTGTATCAGAATCTGAATGACATGGACTGGTGCTGGTCCACGGACCAGAGGTTGGGGACCCCGATCTATATAGTCTTCCATTTAAAACCAGCCCTGGTCTAATGAGACAGAAGGTTCCGGTTCTTGATGTTTCCATTTATGTTTTCATGTTGTTATTGCTGTGTTTTATTGCTCTGAGGATTTATCTGAAACACGGTGACCTCTGCAGGTCACGGACTGTTCCTTTCCTTTTCAGGAGGATTTCCTTACAATTTGTCTAGGCATCCAATGTTTTCACAGAACACCTCTGTAATTGCTCATTGTGTACAGACGGCCCTCTGAGTGGTTGGACAGCGATGGCCTGATCTGAGAAGACTCTACCCACTTCTTAGACGAGCCAAGGTAAATAGAAGGATTAGACAGAAACAAATCGACTCCACAGTTAGGGACTGGGAGACGTGGTGTGGATCACGGTCCAATGTGATTGGATATTGATAATTAGGTTGAGTTTTTAAATTTGACTCCCTTGATCTATAAATAAATAAATCTATATATACACCTGGTCGCCACATGAACATTCTTAGTTTCTAGAGTTCATTGTTTAAATACATATCCATAGATGGTGGCTGTAAAAAACACTTCTTTTTTTAATGGAATACATTCTTTATTTGTTTATTTATTCCACACTTGGATTGAAAAATAAGCCACGGCAAACAAAGAACCAGGACGGGATTAATTTCCCTCCAGAGACTTTCTACTTCTCATTGACAGGAGAAGTACAATAGCGGGAAACTTGTACATACACAGGAAATGTTTTTGTTTATGGTCAAATCAGAGGCTTTGGCAGCATGCTGTTTTTCCAGTAAAAGACTTAGGTGCCATTTTTAACTAACTTTCACAGTTCACGGATGTAAAGTCATTGTAGAGAACAATAGCACAGATGGCATGTGCTAGCACCTTCGCTGGCTCCCCGCACAGGATGCAATACAAGAGTGGCACTGCAGGATTCTGCAGTTTCCTACATCCAAGGCCCAGTCAATTCTCCGAGGAGTCATCAGCTTCTTTTGTTTGACAGATGTCAAATTATATTTTTGTTAAGAAGGAATACAACATGACTCCAAATGGACTTCAGTTTACAAACACATTAACCGCTGATTCATAGTTTATATTATATGTTTTTTTCTTTTGGATGTTACTTGTATGTACAGTCCACAACAGTCTATAACTTATACCGGGGGCCCCAAACTTTTGGTCTGTGGACTGGTACCAGTTCGTGGGACATTGGGTACCGGGCTGCAGAGGAAAAAAATAATAATAAATTGATTTAATTCAATTGTTTACTTCATTTAAAATAATTTTAGACTTTATGACTATAGAGTAAATTCAGATCTTTTGTTTCAGCTGCGCTTTGGCCCAGAGGTAATGTCTCTGTCATTGGTGTCACCTCCTGGGCAAGATCATATCCCGGTTAGGGAGGTTGGTACCTTCCAGTGGACTCACCACCCGCAGGAAGATTCGGGGGGAGAGGGGTTGGTACGGTGCAGTGTGATTTGGGTGGTGGTCATAGAGACTGCTGCCCCCACGACACGGTAACGGATAAGCGGATAAAAATGGATGGATGTTTGGATAGATGTTAAAAATGTTCTGCTCCTTAACGATCCACAAACTATCCACCGGTCCACTGTACCGGCCAGTAGCGTGTGGTCTGTTGTGATGTTGCACAGTGTATCAAATGTACAGGTTCAAAACTACATGTGTGTTGCCTGGGGCTGAATGCTGAATGAACACATTGTTGCATAACTCTGAGTCGGGGGAGAGCAGAGCTGTAGATGATAACTGTGGAGAATTCAAAGTGAGCCGAGTGCTATTGCGGATCTTCAAAAATACTGAAGGTTCTGGAGAATTTCCATCAGTGTAATGCGGTGTGACAGTGGTGCCTCCTAGAATTCCTAAATTGTCACTGTGCTACTCAAGTGGGAACAAAGACTCGCTGTCTCCTGTTACAAAACACATTAGCTGAATGGTGGGAAATGAACCACACCTAGTTTGACAAAATAATTCTGTGGTCACTCCATCACTTAACCTGTTCTGGACAAATAAACCGCAGGCTGACCACGAGAAAACATAAACCGTACATAAGATGATGAACAGTGGCTGTGGCTGATGTGTTCTGTGTAAACTGACAACAACAACAAAAAAATAATATTTGAAAAAAAAAATTTAAATCTGGAAATGTAGTTTGTTACCAGAGAAGATAATATATTGTACAAACAAATGGGTCTATAATGAATATATATGAAAACATATAACAAGCGTTTACTTTATTATTTGAGTTTACAGGAAGTTCCCATTCTGAGGTTTTCATCACTCCAGAAGGAGAATGCAAGGTTGCAGAGGGGCTGTTGTCAGCAGATCATCATACGTCAAGCCACAGGAGGAGGCCACAGGAGCAGGCCACAGGAGGAGGACTTTCCTGTTTCTCCTCCTAAGACAAGACAAATTGAAAATATGTTTTTCTGTAAAGGCATCCAGAGAAAAAGACCTGTGAAGAATCCTATTATGTATATTTATGGATTTTCTTCTACAGCAGCAGTTCCACAAACATTCTTCTGCAACGCCCCCTTTTTGTAGATGGGAATATTGTCCTTCCCCAGGTCAACACATTCACATATTTTGCTTCAAAACTACACTATTTAATATTGTCATTGAAAAAAAAGAAAGTGAATGAAGTTTTAAGAGGTCTGTCCTGCACAGCGGGGACCACAGAGAAGAAATGTGGATTATTGTGGATTATTATAACGTAGATTAGAATTAGAATTATAATAGTAATACTACATCTACTCCAAGACATGCACAGTGTGTGGGAGTTTTCCAGACCCTGTATCAACTCAGATGGACTTTGGGTTCCTTGTGGACCGGGATGAACTGGAGTACTGACTAGCCCTCTAGTGTTGACTGCTGGGATTGGTTCCATCTCCTCCCAGTGTCCCTGAAAATAATGTATGAGTTAAAAGTTAAAAATCATTCTGTGATGTATTTTATTATCGCATGACTTGTAACGTATAAAATTGTTTTGTATTGCTTTAAAACGAAACTTAAAGTCAATATATTAATAATGAACCATGAATGACATCTAGTAGTAGGTTTTATTAATGAGGCGTGTGGTACCAGGACCTTAAAACTGTCCTTAAAGTGGTACAGATGTACGACCAGGGCTCAACAGCTTGTTTATCACATTCTCCAACATTTCTTTTGTCCGTGACAGCACAGCACGTTCTTTCGGTCACCCAGGTTCTCTCCAGGGAGAGCGAGCAATGAATTAGTCCAGGATTACATTCACTACAGTAAACTCCTCCCTTTGCACTTGGTTCCTGAGTTTCCATTAATCACCTCCAGTAAAAAGGTCTGCCACTCCTCGCATGTCTCCACTCCCACAGCTATGTCTGTATGTCAGCCACCGAGCTTACAAAGACCGTGTCAGCCTCGCAAGAACCCTGACTTAATGTCCGGTACCAGGCTCCAACGTCATACAGCCCTGTGGGATGAAGGACACCACTTACCATGTCAAGCAGTGTTTACACAAAGTGTTGCTGTTGCCTCTGTTGTGTTTATAAAGAGGGTGATGCCGATAAGGAGAGCTGACGTGGAATGTGACTGGAGGATAATTTGTTGCATGGCATTTAAAAAGAAAAAGTTAAAAAAAAATAGTAGATAGTATATCCCAGTTAATGCTCTGCTTTAGCTGTCTGTAGGCTAAATCAGCAATGTCTAGACTAGACATAAGTTCTACTGTAGTTGATCATTGTTCCAGTATTCCAACTTTTAATTCATATAAGTGGATTAAGTGGTAGTTAGCATTTGCTTGCCTTCTAAAATTCCCATGCTTCTCTGGTTTAATGTTTGGGTTATTATTGGCTAATGTTGTTTAGCAAGTTGGGCTAGCTTTGTTTTGCCTCTTTTTATTTTGGCCTACCTTTTTACTGGAAAGTGGAATTTGGATTGTGAGTTATTAGTTGGACAATTTGTCATAATTTCTAACTAACTTTTTCTAACTATCTCTCTCCTGATACCTTCTTCTTCTTCTTCTTTTTCATTTGGCTTTGTCCCTTTTTTCAGGGGTTGCCACAGTGAATCATTGATTTCCATCTCTCCCTGTTCTCTACATCTTCTACTCTGACTCTAACTATCTGCATGTCCTCCCTCACTGCATCCATATATCTCCTCTTTGGTCCTCCTCTTTGTCTCCTACCTGGGAGCTCCATCTCTAACATTCTTCTACCAATGTATCCACTGTCCCTCCTCTGCACATGTCCAAACCATCTCAATCTGGCTTCTCTAGCTTTTTCTCCAAACCTTCCTGTCTGTGTTGTTAGCGTGTTGTTGTTACGTTAGTGTTAAGAAATTTCCGAACTAGCTTTTTATGGTTTGGCTAGCTATGATATAGTTAGCCATCTCTGGACAGACTTTTGTGTGAAAGTGAAAAGAACAACTTTAATTCTCTTGCTATATTTTAGGCAATATTTTTCAGTTTAACCATTTTTATCCTTATGTGATAATTTAAGGTTTTCTTTCTAGACTAAGATTGTTTTCTGTTAGCTTACTGGCTAACCCTAAATTTTTAACCAATCATTTTTTACCTGTTACTTTTAGTCTTTTTTTTCTTGTCATAGACTCAGTACACTCTGAAATGTCCAAGTTCTGAATGATTTATCTCAAACATCAATGGCAATAATTGATGATTTTTATATCATTACAAAATAAAAACTACTGATGTGCAAAGGTTTTGCAAAATTAACATATGTGATAGGTAGTCTAGAAAAATCATCTCCAGGTCTCACCGTTTGGATTCAGATACTGTATGTTGCCATTATCAAGGTTAATTATACATCTAGAATTTACTTTGGAACTTTTAATATTCCAAATTCCTTACCATTTGTATTAACATACATTTTAGCCACATTTTCACTTTCACATGACTTGCAAACCTGATAATTAATTGGTTTAGATTTTCTAGTTCAAACAACTCATCCAAAAAGCACATCTAAAAAAAGATTAGAGAAATGTTCATGAAGTTATATCCAGTCAGCTTTGTCTAGGCCTTCAAAGCTGTGTGTCCTCAGTGTCCAGGGAGAAAAAAAAGCGTCTGTGTCGCTCTGCTGACCGAACATAAAAAGAGGCCATTACAAAGGTTGTGAACTGTTCTTCCTCCCACTCTTTTTTTGGCATAAACTTTGTTGCTGCATTACTGGCCTGTTATCCTTCCCCCCTGATGATTTTCTTGTGCATTTTTTACTTCTCTTGTTTGAACAGATGCCGCCCCCACCTTCTCTGACCCCCATCCTCTGGGATTGCCGTGAGGCTCTAGCACAATGAGGTAACACTCAATTACATTAATGTTGAGAGTCCAGCCCAGTCAGTTCCTTCCAGTAAGCGACATCAAACGGCATGATGTATATCACGACGAGACGAGAATTTTTAGTCCCTTTGTCCCACTTTATTTATGAATGACTTATGAAAGCGGCGACTGGATGACCGCGCTCACCTCTTGGGTCGCTCCCCTCACTGCTGCTCACACACCATTTTATAGCAGAATAGATCCTCGAACCTCAAATAAACCCCAGTCAACGAGAAGCAGATCGCTCATAAAGCAGGATATATTGTTTTGATTCAGATTCACAGCAGAGAAAGAGCTCAAAGCTGCCATCAATCTGTGAATAACCGGTTGATCTTAAAACTAAAAGGCAGATTAGTTTAATTTCCCTAATCTCAGCAAGTATCCTCGTATCTCCACTTCCATCTCACCTACTGGATTTACTGGTAAGAGATAAGAGGCTAATGTTGTCTGTAAATACCACTGGTGGCAGACGGAAATTCCCAGTGTCCTGTTTTAGCCCTACACCAGTTAGAGGTTTCAAGTGCCACAGAGGGCACTGAAGAATCCTGGGGAATCGTCACCTTTGACCTTTGATGACCTCAAAGTGTGATCACATTTTGACCAAAGTTCTTGAACACATTTATAAACTACTAGAAGTTGTGTTACATTTAGTGACAATCTGAATTTCTTTATTATTAAGGATTATGAAGTCAGCAGAGTCAAATCTGCCTGTGTTTCTAATGACTTGATTTTTACTGTGACTATTACAAGCTTTCGTATTCCTGGTAAAATGTCAATCCATCCTTTTTTATCCACTTATCCGTCACCGGGTCGCTGGGGCAGCAGTCTCCATAACCGCCACCGTACCAACCCCCCCCCCCCCTGAACCTTCCTGCGGGTGGTGAGTCCACTGGAAGGTACCAGCCTCCCTAACTGGAATTCGATCTTGTCCAGGAGGTGAACCCTGGGTTTCCACACCAATGACAGAGACATTGCCTCTGGGCCAAAGCGCCACTGGTATAATGTCATTTTAAAAATATAATTTTTATCTTAGTAACACATTTTACATTGTTATGTACAACTTCATGTAAATCTGTAGATAATCTGATGTAACTGTAACTGAAAAATGAACAAAATCTGGGTGTTACAGACCCAAAGCATGACGCTGCCACCACTGCACTCCACAGGAACTGCACAGACAGACATTTTTCATAACATATATCATTACAGTAAAGAAAATAATTTAGTGCTAAGCCTTTGTAGCCTACGAGAAAATATAAACAATTTCCTGATGTGCTGACCAAAGAGGCCCCTGAATACAGCTGTCCAGTAGATATCTTTATTAAAAAAACAAAAAAAAAAACAACATGTGGCTTTGATTTCAAATGATTCATAGTTAAAGCCATTAGGAGTCTTTGAGCCTTTGAAGTGCCTGATTTTAAATAAAAGTACTGAGTGAGTGCTGTGAAAACAGGAGGAGGAGTGAGTCTAGTATAGGTTGGATGAAGGATAACTTCTCACAGATAACTTCAAAAAAAGTCCTTCAAAACAACAAAACAGTTCAAAGAAAATTGAAAGAAATAGGTAGTAAAGAAAAGTAGGAATGCAGATGTTGTAATCAGCTGACATACAACAACGAAGTGCTTTTCTTGGAACCAAGTCCTTAACACCACGCATTGTCGGAATCATCAAATTTCCCTCTCGGTAAGTACAAAGCTGTCGGTAGGTTTGAACTTCAAGGTACATTAAATGTTGTGTAAAGGTTTTCTCCATGAAAATGAGAAAAATGATGAATAGAAGAACAAATTCCTTCTTCTTCCTTGAATATTTTTTTCATGTCTCTTCTTTTCCTCTGTCTTGTTCTTGTTTCCAGCAGACCAGGCACAGCTATGTTATTTGCTGGTGACCACTCTTTTTGGCAAACAATACAGAAAAAGCTTTTTCGGTTTCTGCCAGTTACAGCCATCATTTTCAGAGAACAAGCCCTACTAAATCCCATTAAATTTAGACCACATCCTCTAAATAACAACAAAACAGGTGTCAGAAGATTAAAGGACAGGAAGTAGAAGACAATAGCCACCAGGGCAAAGTGCAATTTCTGTATAATTCCTAAAAAACATAAAAAATAAAAAACAATCTAGATTTATTGTTGGCAGAACGAATCTTTGTAAATGATGGACACACTTAACTCAGAGTCTGCATTTAAAATTTAGAAAAAAAATTCAAGTTTTTGGCTGTTTGTTTGCATCCTGTATGAAACCTTGAAGTGCCACTGCACAGAGGTCGCAGAAATGCAGTGTTGTGGTTGCTGCAGATCTGAATCTAGTTATCTATGTGAGGATGCCAAACTATATTCTTCCCAACTTAGTACACAATTGGGAAAGCAATTCAACTTTACAAACAATACAAACAAATATTTATGTTGACTAACCAACCCTAATTCCAGATTTACCTATTGAAGAACATGATTTTTGCCACGTTGACACCACGTAACGTCTGGCTTTATTTAAAATTTTTCTGCTTTTCAAGTTGATTTTTCTTTTTGTCCATGTTTAATGTCTTAAAGACAAAACATGCTCAATAATTTATATTTGTCTTTGCTTTTGTGCAATCCAGGCAGAATTGTTAGTATTCAAATCTAGACTACAGACAGGACAGTGTAGTCTCTGTTGACCCAGGATGTTGGAATTCATGCACATGAAATATATTGTCTTGATTGGAGCATTATTTTTTCCCTCTGACTGGTGTACTATTTCTTTTGTGATTTTACAGCATCTATAATTTCATATGTTATTAGAAAGTTAATTTATTTAGTAAAAAAGACTATAAAAAGAATTTGACCAATAATTTTAATTTTTATACTAATTTTCAAGTGATTAAACACATTTAAATGTACCCTGCATCTTTAGGAAGTACAACTTTTTTTCTGTGCATGAGGTCTCTAAGGTTTATTATGCAAACAGGATTTTTTTTATTTAAAAAAAACCCCACCACATTTAAATATTTCCATGTTGCTTCTTTCTGTCACCTTCCCTTTACCGTCAGTATTACTGACACCAACAATGTCAAGAGAGGACGCTTTTTCTGCACTTGTGATTTATATTTGTCAGTTATCCGACGCCTTTTGTCCCGTGGTGATCATAATGCAGACAATAAATCATGTGCGTTTTCTCCACTCTTCCACTACAACGACTCTTGTGTGGTTAAACTTCTGCAGCAGCAGCAGCAGCGGCGGCGGCAGCGACGGACCATTCCCTCACTACCCGTGTCGGTCCCCCTTTATAACGGCCCCGCCTTGAAATCAGTCGATCAAATTCAACATCACACTCGCCATATTCTGGCCAATCAGCGTTCAGAAGGTGTGGCTCTAGCGGTGGTCCGGGAGGGCTTCAACCAATCAGAGCAACCCGTGGTCGGACAAAGAGCTCACGTCAATGATCGTTGGGTATTCGAATGGCTCAGTATTCATATGCAGTTGATCTTATTTAAGGAACCACGACGAGGTTAAAAAAAAGGGAAAAAAAAGAAAGAAAACAGGGTTAAAAAAAAACGAAATGTATCTAGAAACTCTGGTTTTGGAGATTTGTCATTTCAGGAAGACTTTCAGAAAAACTTTAGTTGTGTGTTAAAATAACATTATATTAGACCACCGTGTGGGTGAGCGGCCGCTGCTAATTCACTTAATAATCCCAGTGGTTTGGTTGTTTATGTTGTCGACCAGCCTCCTGGGTAAACAACATAAAGATGTCACCCAAAAGAATCTAGGACTACTTTATTTAACTGTGATATTGCGTAAATAGAGCAAATGAGGTGAAGGTTCTGTTATTCTTACGTCGTCTGCTGCTAACACACTAACAACAGTTGTGCTGATAAGAAACTTAGCGGCGCCTTTTCCCTTTCATGTTACACACCCACCGACCAGGCAGCATCCCCCCCCCCCCACCCCTCAATCGACGCTGAGTATGTTCATTATTGCGTATAGGAGGAAGGGGGAGGAGAAAGGGGAGGAGGCTCCTGGTCTTTTACTGCTCCCAAATGTGCTGAGAGCCGCTGTCTCATTTCAACACCGGCCGGGCGGTACACTGCAGCAGCATTCCCTCGCTATTAGCAGAGGGGAGAATTCGGGGGGAAAAAGTGCCAATTATTTATCACTTATAGTATTTTCTGGAAACCGTTCATACTTTTTCCCTCCTTCTCTCCATTGGCGCGGAGAGAGAAGTTTAAAGCGCTGCTGCTGCTGTTGAAGGGACGCTGTGTCCGCTGTTGGACGCTTCCCGGTCGCATCTCCCTCTTCTTCGTGTTTTTTTTTTTCAATCTTTTTGGGGGGAAAGTTAACCTCGACTTCAGTGAAGTTACTTCCTGTATTCCTGTGGGACAGCACATCCAGACGGCAGCATGACGCGGAGATCTTGTGCCATTTACGCCACCGGCATCGTGTGCGCTCACCTCCTGATCGTGGGGATCGCCCTGCTCGTGGCTCAAGTCTTTCAAACAATGATCCACAACCGGTTAAAAAAGGTGAGTGTGGTGTCCTCTTTTCCCCCACTGTCCTTCACCACTCTTACACCTTTCCATAGCGTGTCATCATTTAAAGCATCTCATCTGCAGTGGACGCTCCTGCGCATTCAGCATCCGGCTGCTGTTTGTTAATACAGGGTCACAAGATCACCGAATTTAATTACGTGTACTTGTGTTTGTGTCAGTGTGTTGTTTTTGTTGTTTTTTATCTGTTTTTGATTTTCTGCATCTTGCATCGCATCCACCTCTGCGGGGTGAACCCAAAGCATCCCCGCCTCGATGTCTCTCGATTCTGCGTGATCCGAGGTTGATCGGCGTGTAAGTCCCAGTGTTCTGGGTTGTGTGCTGCTTTGACGTTTCATGAATTGGTCATTTAAACTCGATACCTAACCAGCATGTTTATTTCATCCCTACTACACCTGGCCTAAGAAACAATATTTTTTTCAAATTATAAATTAATTCCAATAAGCAGACGCAAGGTTTTTAGGCTGTAACCTCAGGTTAGGTTTGTTTTTCGTGACCTTTCACTGTTTTGCGACAGTTTTATTCTCTTTGACAGACATTGTGGTTGGTGATTAAACACTGAAGAATCTTCTTGAGGAAATGAATGAATTCAATACTGTGCGATGGTTGTGCAGTGGTTTCATATGCTCCTGGCTGGTCATAACCTGTCCATTATGGGTGTCATTGACCTGCTGGAACAGTTGTACTGACACAGACGAGGAATAAACTGATTCTGTTTTGTTTGTGTCCAGAATAAGGTTTCTTAGAAAGAAAGGTTGAAATCTCAGTCAGCAGGGACATTGATGGGCAGGGAGTGGGGGTGTGTTTAGGTCTGCTATATGCAATGGATGGATTGATGGGGGAAGGGGGCTTGGGTGAGTGCAAAGGCGAACCAGGGAGCTCCTTACTTATTGCAGTGCAGTGCAAGTGTAGTAAGTTTGTTGAAGCAATCTTTCACCTTTATGGTCGAAAAGAGTCACTAATCTTTTTTTTTTCTTTCAATAATCTACAAATGTAAATATACCAGGTAGAGTTAAAGGTTATCTTAAAAAGGTATTCTAAGATTTAATGTCAATTTAATTTTAATCTAAATTCCAACATGGTTTTTTGTGTATTACAAACGTCACTGTTGGCCATATTCTACATTTTAAAAGCAACATCTTGGTTTATCTGTCAATAAAAATTATGTTGGTTTTTTTCCCCAGATTTAGTTCAACAAGGTGTCTAAACATCACTATGATTTAATGCTGTCCCCCTCCTGTTTGAGCGTCTGTGAATGAGTTCATCTATATGTGTTCATGTATATGTCGAGGAGGTAATTTCTGGCAGCTGACATCCAATCCCGCCCTGCAGTCCCACCACTGTTGCCCAGCCTCAGAAATACCTCACATTCCACATCCTGACATGATTCACTGGTGTGTTGGATGCTCGGGGAAACTCATAATCTGTACTTGGAAAACCTTGTCTCCCCAACCCCCCGCCTCACCTTCTTCTTCAGAAGAGGAAGAAATCTAGGCACAAACTCTGACACATTTTTTTCCCAACAAGGTCGTTGAATTTAGATGTTGCTCTCAAAACTTTCTCTTTTATTTTAAGTCAACAACCCAACCTTAGAGTAAGTTAAAATCCAACCACAGTTACATGGACTGACAGCAGAACTAATCCACCTTGTCCTCATTGAATTAGGATTTCTGTGCTGTTGAACTGACTCTAAGTCCACCCCCCCCCCCTTCCCCTAAGTCTTATGTTAAATATCTCACTCTTTGTAACAATGGAGCCCAGTTGTTGAGTACAATTGAGTTACCTCCAGGACACAGATCCTGTATGTCTGGTGTGGAGGACGCTTGTAGAAGATGTGGCAGGAATTTGACAGGACTCCATAGCCTACGGGGTACGATTTAAGTGTTTCTTAGACCCTGTTGTGGTTGTGTAGGGTTGAAGTCATTCTGAGGACAAGGAAAAGAAAACCACGCCCTAGAACCACCCCACACAGTTTGTTCAGAACAGTCGATGATTCAAGGTAGAGAGGACAGACAGGACTCATGGTCGACACGAACAAGGCTGCATTTACTGTGCCAACCCAAAACCTTAAACAAATCCTTAACGGGTTCTTGTCACAACAAGCTGTTTTTAATACAGTTACATTGCAATGTTTGTTTGGTTTTTAACAGTATTTCCTCAAACTAAGGACATCTGAATGTCTTTTATGATTGCTCAAGAGACATAACTTCTAATTTCCACAACATTTAAAGATCTTTCTAAAGACGACTTTATCCAAGCTTGGCAAATAATAGTTGATTCATGATTGAAGTCACACACAGGCACGTCTGTTCCTCAAAGTTGTCATTTAGGAGAGGCCATACGAGGTCTGCTCTGTTTGTTTGAAGTTCTCTTCTGTAGCAATTCTTCCATCATGTGGCTGTGTCACCTCAGTGATTAATTAAGAGGTGGACTCATGACGACTCGTGAGATTTTCAAATATTAAACACATTAAGATTCATTTTTAGACTGTCCTCCCTGATGGCAACAGAATGGGTTTTTTTTTTTAGGTTGAGTCAGCTCTGATGAGATCCGGACACTTCCTCCTTTACGCAGTAGTTGAAGAAATGTGTGCTCCTTGCAATGTCACTGAAGTTGTGGCAGACTCAATAAGAATATGCATAACTTTCATTTATCTGATTTAAAAAGTGATATAAAAGAGCTCCAACAGATCTTGATCAGTTGAACCTTTTCTCCACTTTCCTTGCGTGCATCTATCAAAGGACTTGTTTGTTCACCTCTTTGCCCCTTTATGTGAACTACTCTTAGATGTCGACAGGGGGAACCTGGCTAACAATGTATAGAGCCCCACATGTATAAATAACGGAAGTTGTAATCAAAGCAGGAAACCAAAGACACACCTCAAAAGCTATATTTTCTCAAGTCCTGTGGGCCTGCAGAAGACAATGCACTGTATGCCCTTCACTCATGATACAGTACAGTCTGTTCCATGGGTGGTTTTCAGAAGCCCACCATTTAAATGTCACCAAAAGGAAGTTGATTGTTTCTTCCTCCAAAATGTAAAAAAAAAAGTCTTCAACTTCTGTGTTTTCCTCTTCACTTTAATGGTGGTGTTAAAGTTACTGATTAGTTGTGTTCAGACATGTGTCAGCCATTCTTATGTCACTCACACTTACAACTGGGCTTGTGTTCCTCACGTGACCTAAGGGAAAACAACCCTGAACCTTCCTCCCGTTTGTTCTGTTTGCTTTGACCTGTTCTCTGTGTGGAAACACTCACAGGAGAAGTTCCATGTTGTGTGCGATGCCTTTCCTTACCTCAGATGATTTAGAGACTACAGGGAGGTGCAGGGTTTGGGCTTTTCACTTTTTGCCAGTAGTTTAATTGTACCTTTATTACAAGACTGACTGTGGGGCACACACACATAGCGAGACTGTGCACAAGAATGTCACTGAATTGAAGAAATAAAGGTGTATGTATTTAATTTATTTATTTATTTAATCTGAAAATGTGTTTGACCTTTTTTTTGCTGGTAGGAACTTACACTGACAGAGAAGAGCCAGGTTTTTGAGTCATGGAAGAACCCCCCGCCCCCTGTTTACATGGAGTATTACTTTTTCAATGTGACCAATCCTGGAGAGTTTGTGGCTGGCAAGAGGGCATCGGTTAAACAAATTGGACCTTACACTTACAGGTTGGTTTGTCCTAATTTTGCACAAACAAAAATTTAATACTGAATATGAACAAATGAGGGTAGCTGTACACAGAACATTAAATGTATGGAAGTGTTGTTTAAGGAAATGATTGTACAGAAGACACCTGGAATAACTGACCTCTGCCTTTTCCACACCAGGGAATACCGGCCTCGTGAAAATGTCACTTTCCTAGAGAACGGCACCAAAGTTTATGCACTGAACCCCAAAACTTTTGTCTTTGTGCCTGAGAAGTCAGCTGGTGACCCTAAGGTTGACATCCTGACGACTGTCAACATTCCATATGTGGTAGGTATTGTGTGTGTGTGTTCGTGTGTGTGTGTGTGTTGTTTAGACAAGAAGCAGGCTAGTTAGTCAGGTCTGTTTCTGTTTGACTTTGTCACTTACACGCCATTGTTTCACTTTGGTGTAAGTGTTCTTGGGTTAATTTCGTTAAACTTTAAATGATTTTGCTGTTACTTTTTTCTTTCTTTGTCACAATTTCAAAATAATTAGGCACTCAAAATACAAACAAAAGTGAATGTAGTTGCACCTCCTGTTTATGAGCCTTTGGACTCATAAAGTCCCCACACTCTTTGATATAAATGCTTTGTTTCCTTGTCTTTTGTTTTTCTTTAGGCGGTGATGAATGAGTTGAACTCCTACTCTTTCTTTTTGCGAAGCTTCGTGTCCATGTACATGAACAGCCTGGGAGTGGAGCTGTTCATTAACCGCACGGTGCACGAGTTTTTATGGGGATTCAAAGACCCTCTCCTCTCAAAGGTCAAAACCATGAAGCCCGAAGTGGACGAATATTTTGGGCTTATGTGGAAGGTGAGGATTACTGAATGGAGTTTTTACTTCTTACTTTACTCCTGTCTCTTTATGTGACTTTTGGAGATCATTCCTGAGACTCAAGTCCTTTAGAAACCTCAATGTTACTGGACTCTCAAGGTTACTGAAGCATCAGACTACAGGAAGTCTTCACTACCGTTATAAGAAGTGAGACTGGCCACATGCTGATGAAGGTTGATTTTACTTCCTCCTCCATTTTAAAGAGAGTCAGGACAGTCGTCTTCTGATGCTGACTCATACTTGTACAAATAACACATGCAAGTGTAATTTGTGCCTTTTACTCCCCGTATCTTCCGCTCCATGTTGTCATGTGCTAAGCGTCCGTGTGAAACACAGTGGAATTTTAATGTCAGTCAAATTCTTGAATTGGAGCTTTGGTTCAGTTGAATAATTTTCTTAATAGATTCAGTCCTGACTAAAGACTTCTCTCCAAATGTTGGTTTGTTTTAGTCAGAAGTCGAATCAATGGATGTGAAAACTCCCACAGATCTTTTTTTTTTCTCATATTTCCTAGTCAATAACCAAATCTGTATTGTATAGTCCGGTGAGAATACTCGCAGGGAGGAATATTATTGTGCAGACACAAAGCAGTGTTTCTTGGGCAGTTCCCATGCTTCTTTTGTTAGTTGTCGTGACTCGGTGTCTTGTTTGAACACTGTTTTATTTTCTCCCCGTCCCCCAGAAAAATGGCACCCATGAAGGACAATTTGTTTTCCACACTGGCGAGCAAAACTACATGGATTATGGCAAGATCGACACATGGAACGGCCTGAGGTAATGACTCATATCAGGCACTGTTTACATTCTTTTCTTCAATGATTAAACTGAAGCTGTTGGTCAGGGTATTTACAAAGACATTTACAACCTAGAAGTCCAAGGCAGAAGTACTTGACCATCAAATAAGTGATTGGTTATCAGGGGTGACTTTGCACCCTGAATGTGAATGGCACGTGCCAGTAGAAACCTCCATACTTTACCAATGCACAAATGCTTTATGATTACAGCTTACAAAGCTATCAAAATGAGATAGTTTTTTTCTCCACTAAGAGTTTCTTCCAGATCTATTAAAGGATAAAATGGTTTAAATAATTTTGTTTAAATTCGGTTTTAACTGAGTTTAAAAATGACATTTGTATCAATTAGCAGCTGTCTAGACCAGGGGTGGACACACTTGTATGGCACAATACCGTCTGACTCAATACTTCTATGCTGCTTACTTTAGCCCAGGTGATTAGCATCTTAAAACAGAATTAAATCTATAATTTATTTTTTTGTTTCTTTAAATGTAATTGCTCAGGATCTACCAGCACTCCTTTTGAGATCTACTGCTAGATCCTGATCCTGATCTACTTACCTCTCTGTGTTAGAGCTTTTCATTTAGAGTTCACTTGTTAAGAATAAAACTACAGTTGACTTTAATTAAAAAAGGTCAACAACTTTGAGACAAATTAACTATTTGAAGTTAAAGTGAAATATAATGTGACTTGGACATTGTACCTGAGCCACACCAAACACTAACGTGCCTAATTTTCTGAAAAACCCACAGGCAGATGTCTTGGTGGTCCTCCAACCAGAGCAACATGATCAATGGCACGGATGGCGCTGTCTTTCATCCTCTCATAAACAGGAACGAGCTGCTTTACATCTTTGCTGCTGATCTTTGCAGGTATAAACACACTTGTGTGTGTGTGCGTGTTGACTCATTTGTTTACAGTCAAAGAATCCAGATAGCATGAGGACCAGGAGTTCTGGTCCAGCCGATGTGACTGAGTCATTCATGACGAGCCCGTGGATGTACTGATAAAAAAATTGTAGATAAACTGTGTGATAAGAGAAAGGCTTGACTCAAAACAACACGTGAGAATGCAGGGATTTGACCCGGACACACCCTGGGAGGCTAGGAAGTAATTATACGCAGGAAAAGATAATCTCGTTTATGATATGTTTTTATGAATTTTTTCTGGTTATTTGTCTAGTTATTTGACAGAACCATATGACTCCAAGTAGTCCTGTTTGTGAGTCTGTTAGTACTGTTATTGTGTATATCATTACATGGGCACTGCAACAGGAACAACTTCCTACATAAACACACCTGTGACATTTACAACCCTCATGTAAATCTCAATTAGTCTACAGCTGTTGTACAGAAGCTCAGTTTCCTTATAACTAAATGGTTATTGTAATTGCCATGATCATTTTTGAGAATTATAAATGTCAGCTTTACATGTACCATTAATGATTAGTGTTTGTTTTGGAATTAAATAATTTCTCATTGGACTTGCCCTCTTCAGTTTTACACCCATACCTAGCCTGTGATCCTGGGTCAGTTAATTAGTGCTTAATAAGAGCTTAAATATAATATCCTTCATCCAGGCGGACAGTGAGATGATGTTCTTTACTTCTTCTTCTTCTTCTTAGGTCTATTCATTTAGCCTTTGTGGAAGACGTGGAGGTTAAAGGCATCACGGCGTACCGCTTTGCACCCCCCCGCGATGTCCTCATGAGCCCCTCGGAAAACCCTGTTAATGAGGGTTTCTGTGTGCCGGCTGGAGACTGCCTTGGCACCGGGGTGCTTAAAGTCAGCGTTTGTCGTGACGGTAGGAATGACACCTCTTTTTTTTTTCTCCTTCCCCCCTCTCTTTGACCGACCATGCAGACCACGTACCTTGACCCAGTAACCCACTACCATTTTATACCTTTTTTTGGAGTCCAGGCCCATCATTGTGACACAGACTTTTTAGAATTCCAAATGGCCCCTGAGTCAGTGACCGTGTCCCCTGTCCTGTGTGTCTCCCTCTGTTTGAGCATGCCAGATTGTACACGATACAGGGATCAATGATTAACAGTACTGACTAGACTATTGGAAAATTTCATGCTGCTCATTGAGTCAACAGTGATTCCATAGATGGAGCAATCTCCTCTGTGATTGACCCATAGAGTCATTGTACTGTCATTAATACACATGCCCCTTTAACCTTCCAGGCCAGGACATGGATGGAGTGAGAAAGTCATAGTCATTATTTAACGTTCATAGGGGTCTACTTTCACAAACATCACGTAAAATTGACAAAACATAATTAGGTAACTTTGAATGGATGTGAGTAAAAGTAGATGCGTAATTGAGTTATATTTTTTAAAATCTCACATTGATGTAAACAGAGTGAAACATCAAATGTTTCTTTCTCAGTAGTTGATGATGATCAGTCAGTGTTTGCTGACCCAAGACACGTCAGCTAAGTTTCAGTGTTTGCCACTGACAGTTAGCTGACGTGTTTACCCACTGCTGATTATCATACTGAGTCATGTTTGCCGTGCCCTCTTTGATCCTGCTAACTGCTTATGTTTAATCAGTTTACTCTAACATACTCTTGACTAACCTGTTGTTTGCTTGTTTTTCCTCAAGGTGCTCCCATCGTGGTGTCCTTCCCACACTTCTATCAAGCAGATCCTGCCTACATCAACGCTGTAGAAGGGATGAACCCAAACAAGGAAGAACATGAGACGTATCTCGACCTGCAACCGGTAGGCTGATTGTAAAGGTGTAGTCGATTAGACCTAAATGATTTATTAGAGTCTTATCTACGTTTATCAGGAACAAAACTCTGTTTTCAGTAAAGCTGCGTGGCCCTGTTTAAATTCCTTTGTCAGAGTTACTGATTACTTTTCCATGTATTTTTTTTTTTACAAATTTAATTTGGTCTGAGCAGAAAAGGGTTTTATTAAGAGCAGTGGTGGCTTAGTGCTGCTTGAAGCTGCCCACTGTTCACGATGACAAGAAGTTCACTCTCAACTTAAAATTGTATTTCATTTTAAAACTAATCCTTTTACCAGAATTAAATGAAATTTAATATAAACACAGCACCAAGTACCTTTCAGTTTTCTTCTTTTTTGCCTATTCAACCACAAATGCTATGAGTTTTAATTCAATACCTTGTTAAAAAAAACAAATGTCTTTTTTTTTTTGTAGACCACTGGAGTTCCTATCCGTGCCTGTAAGCGTGCCCAGCTCAATATCATTTTGAAAAGAGTCCAAGGGTTCCCGTAAGTCAAACTTCTGCGTAACTTGTTAACCCACTTTGCTGTTGCCACACTCTGATGGACTGATTTCAGCCTGACGTTGTGCCAGATGTTCTCTCTGACCTGCTGGTCTCTCCCTCTGTTTCACCAGTAAAACCAGGTTCATTAACCACACCATTTTCCCCATCATGTTTGTCAATGAGGTGAGGATCCCACTAGACCAAAGAACTGAACTGAAAAAAAAATGTTCCACATAAGTGATTAAATGTCACTGCCTTTTTTTTTCTTTTTTTAGACGGCAACTATTGACGATGACTCAGCAGCCCAGATGAGGATGTTGCTCCTCATCGTGAACATTGTGTCAAACTTCCCATTATTCATAGTGGGCATGGGAATCATCCTCCTGATGGTGCTCGTCGTCTTGTTCTGCAGAAACCGTCAGAAGAAGGTAAGAACCACCTCACCTTCTATGGTGTAGATTATCATAGTAATAATCCTTAAGTCGGGTTTGATTAATCCCCTCTCACATGAGTGTAGATGGAGTTAATGTAGAGACCGAGACATGTCACAGTTAACCTTTGTGTTTTAAATGGTCTAGCTTTTTGCATGGATACAGTTTTAGATGTGATAATGAACGTCACTGCTGCATGTTTTAACCCCCAGGCTACGCACATGTTTACTAACCTGTTGCATGATTCCTCTACAGTGAAGCTTGCATGTGATGTTTTTCTCAGTTATCCAATGGTGGTTTTTTTTTTTAGTTTGATGGTTGGGATTGTTAAGTCATACATGTCTTAGTCACAGATGTTCCGTAGCTACCTTTACTGATGGAGATTATCCTGGCAAAGGGGAATGGTTCAAAGTACACAGGCCTGTAATGTTCATAGTGATGAAATGGTTTGATTATATTTAGAAATGTTTATACTTGGTGTAAGAGGAGAAGACAAATGCAACTCTCATGTCTACTAATGCATAAATCTGTCAGCAGCAGATGTTTATTGTCGATCAAAATAGAGATTGGTGAGCGAGTCCTGCTCCTGATTTCAGCCTAGACTTAAATGTTACAGACTGAACCTTGAATTATTCCATTTCATTTGTCCACGATGACACCCTACGCTACACAGAAGACATGAGAGGGTCATGCGTTTTCTCATGTACATCTACGATGACTGTTGTTGCTTAATTGCAGTGGGATAAAGTGTTGTATTAACCATGCTCTAATTTTAATTTTCTATAACCCCCCCCCTTTTTTTCCTTTTCTGTTTTAGAATGAAGTAAAACGTATTGATTTTACTGAGGCTTTTCATTCTTTTGCTGTAAGTCTTCTGTTTTTGCCTTGTTTGCTATTCTCTTTATTATAATTTGTTATCATCACCACATTTTAAATATATTTAATTGTCTTTACCTGCCATCACATTCCTTTGACCCAATGGCTCATCATGGTGTTATTGTTCATTTGGATATTCAGTTTAATTTTTTTTGTCCATGTGTGGTGGTTAACAGTGATGTCCTGGTTTACTGTGAACATTTAAACAGACCAAACACTTTTTCCCCATGTTCAGTGTTATTTTTAAAGCCTAACAGAATGTCTGGACAACTGCTTCTGCGATGGTACTAACTTTTACTTTTCTCATCCAGCCAACGAAAGACGACATGGCCTACACTCAGGTCAGCGACAAACCAGAGCAGCCGACAGAAGCATCCAGCAACAAGCCAGCCAGGAACGGTTCCTACATTGCCATGTCTCCAGTGGAGACCTAAAAGTGTTGGTGGAAGATCTCTGCCCCAACGGTGGAGCTCAGGAAGGGGGCTGAGGGACCGGCACTGGGGTGTTACATTACCACGGGCGGGGTTTTACTCACATAGTGGGGCTCGTATTCACATATTTTTTCGGGGGGTGGTGGCCCCAAGAGCCCAATATATGTTTAGTCAACATAGACATTGTTCCTCTGAGCTCCTAATGACTGTCTGTCCTCCTCTACTCTACCTGCTGAGCATGGCCCCCCACTGCCTGCCGTACTGCAACACGACAAACTCTTTTACACCTTTACTCCTCATAACCCTCCCGCTGGGTTCTTTGAAGATGAAGGCCCTGTGCGTAGGCTGGGCCAGGAACCGCCTTTTCTTTTCCTAATTTTATTCCAAGGGAACACAGTAGCCTAGGTATCGCCGCTTTTAAGGGCGCTCCGGAGCAGACTCTGCTGCAACATTTCAGTTACTGTTTTTACTAGTTCAGCCAGAACAGCAGAGGTTGAACTCTTCCTCTTTCCCCTGCTATGTGAGTGGGAACATTTCAAGCCAACAGCTAAAAAGGCTCTGTAAACTCAATCCTTTGGACGCTACTGTGACGGGCCTCGGTTTGGAGGAAGACTTGAGATTTGCTTACAAACGTGACCTTAGCATATCCTTATTCTGAAATATCTGAGCCAGACTATAGCAGTTTTTCTTTAATAAGTGAGTGCACACACCGATGCTGCACTTTCATTTGGCAGAGACAGGTGTTTGTGCACTTTCTACCTAAAATCTAGTGTCCTGTTTTAATGGGCAACTGTAAATGTAGATTTTGGCCCCGCCCTCTTCTCTTGTTTGACACCATTACCCATCCCCTCTTTATAAAATGAAGGTGACAGGACCTAGTCGGGCAATGTATGGATTAGAAACAGTGGCCTGATGAAGTTGATAAACCTTCAGGCTCTATTACATCTAAAACAAGGAAAGAAAAAAACAAAAACAAATGCAGAACTTACAAGGGAAACTCCAACCTGCTCTTTGCCTTAAAATGGTCCAACCATTTCTTTACATTCATGTATTTTCTAAATTAGCTGGAAATCTTGTGACGTTATTGTACCTGTGTTGGGGGGGGTGGGGAGCTTTTGAACACCTGACCAAAATCCAGTGAGCAGACCTCTATGGAGTGCAGAAAACTTTGTACACTGTTACTTTTTTTCAAAGAAAGCACAATGTGGGCTACTGAATCGCAGTCCTTGACTCAAGGGGACCTGGTTTCTGGTGCTCCTAGTAGTATTATGTGTACGTACAGTTTCAATTTTCAAAACCACAGTTCAATTCTGTGACTATTACAAAGAGGAAAAAAGAGTTAGCACTGGCTGTGGAGGGAGTCTTATACCTGTAACTGCAGTCCATGAGGCAAGGGCAGCAAACAGCACTCGATTCACTAGTCCTATGTCTCCTCTGGTCATCAGAGCCATTGACGTTTCTCAATAGGGAGTGAATTTAAGGCCATAACACTGTCGAGGTGGGAAAAATCCTGCACTTTGTCTGCATATTGTGCCCCGTGTGTGTGTTTCTGTACTTTTTTTTATGTTTTTCGTCTCATTTTAATTTAGGTGGTCCATATATTCATTACATTTCAACTTTTGTTCTGGATTATTTCAAGGGGGGTTTCATGGGAAAACATCCCCACAGTACTTCTGCATTACTTGCTTCTCAGCACACAGTGTCTTCTTTTGATATACTTGTGTATATTTTCATTGCTGCTAAAGGAATGGCTGTCACCAATGGACTTTTTCCAAATACAATTTCGGGCTCATAGTGGGGGTTGATGCAGATGCTTATTTTTAATGTCTTAAATCTTAAAAGTTTTCTGACTTCACAACCCTTTTGTCATCTGAGCACAAAAGTCCAAAGTGTGTGGTCATTTATTTTCTTAAAAAAGTAGCAGTTTTTGATTCGTAGACACAATTTGCTGATGATGTGACAGTATCACATGGGGTTAGTAAACAAATAGGAACAACTGGCTACATCAGTACCATCTCTGGTGTCAGCGGTCTGAGCGGTAGGTTCATAAAACCAGGTGGCAGGTGTATTTTAAAAAAAACATGTTTTCACTTCCTTGTGTCCAGTTAGATGAGAAGCCTGAGAACCACTTTTGAATGAATGTGAAACTGGAGATGGTCAGGTTGTCGTGAACCTTGTGAAAGCCAGCTATTACTAGTTTTGTACAAAGGTAATTGCGTCGTTCTAGTTGCTCCTGTAAAGCTGTAATTAAAGTCTGTAATAACTTGTTGACGAGCAGGCAACAGAGGAAGCTAGAGTTTCAGCTCGACCGTCGGTCATGTTGTACGTTTGATATTTTTCTAGCAATCTAGTGATTTCAGTTGACGTTGACCGGAGCATGTCTAACATCAACCTTTTGCACCAATAACATAATCCATAGATTGATCCATTAACGTGATCATTATTATTGTTGGCACAGTGTCGTCTAAGATAAAGGATTATGTTATTCAGCACAGAACACAGCTGTAATCACTTCCAGTTTGAGCTGATCTTCTCATCTCTTTTCACCAGGAAGTGAAAACAAACACTAAAGGCCTTTTCATTTCAACCTATCGCTAAGAAACATCTGCCTTACGTAAACTCACAGTACATCACGATTCACCTCTGAGGAAATCTTTACTTGAACCTGAAAGACCTTAATTCCCAGATAGACCGTGCGCGTTGCTTGTTCAGCGTCTGTTCAAACACGAGCGCGCACCTGAGCCGTCACCAGTCTGACTTCTACTACACTGACCTTTTGCGTCCAGTCCCACAGACCCAGTGGCTCGTCCCTGCTTGACCAAAGATAACCCACATAGATCTGCCCCAGTACAGTGTTTACTCTCCTCTGTGATAATGGCTGTGCCACAGAAACTACCGCCTACCTTCTCTTTTTCCAAAAAAAGTAAAACAAGTGTGCCACTATGTATCTGAAGTATTTGCAACAGTGTTAATTTATGTGTGAACTTGTGTTATGTGCCTTTTTACATCAAGGCAAAAAACAAACAACAAAAAAACAGGTGGCAGGTGGATTGGTATTTCCTTTTTTTTTCACCAGTGCAAAAGCAAACAATGAATCGATGCTCTCTGTGAGCAGGAGAATATCTCAGTTTAAAGCAATACATCCAATACTGTGTACATTTAAATGAAAGAGTGGATGTTTTGTAAATGGTCACATATTTATGTATTTCTTGAATTTGTGAATTTTATTTTGTAGAATTTTTTTTTTTCTGTAGAGTGATTTTTTTTTTTTAATTAAGTTTAAGTGTTAGCGCATTTCAGTTCTGGTCATTTTATTTTTCTTAACCCAAAAATGTTAAACGGTGGTCCAGTATTTCACAGCGGGGCCGGAGAGCATTCTGTAAAATGTCTATGAGAGTGTAAATGAACTAATTTCGGCGCTTGTGTCGGACGAGTATGAACAATTGTAATGATACAATTGTGTATTTGTGGAGCCAAACGCACCATTTCTGTCAAACTGGAGCGATTTACTGGAAGGCTGATTATCTTTTGATGCTGTTTGACCCTTCATATAGATGAATGAAGCCCTCCTTCAGGGATGAGCACTTGTGCCATACCTTCCTTTCAACTGAGGTCTGAAGAATTAGCTCTTGTTCTGTTAGGTTTCACGGCGACTAACGGACATGTCCTTAAAAAGATGTACTAATTTGTTTTGCTGCTGAAAGTGACAATCCTGTTGTCATGTTAGGTGCAAAATGATTTCAAAGTAATCCATTTTTAGTTTTGATAATTTACACTGCACAAAAGTTTCTACAGTGCTTTTGTAAACATTTCTAGTGTATTTGCAAAAAATAAAGCTGCACTTGGTGCCAACGTCATGTGGTTGTCTGGTTTCTGGATGTTTATTTTATTTTATTTTTTCCCCCTGAATCTTTATTGTAGGCTGTGAAATATGTGTCTGTTGTTTTTTTTTTGTTTTTTTTCCTGTTCTGGTTCATTTTGGGAATTCCTTTGTTCCATGTCTTTATCCCAGTTAACCACCTAATCCTGTCTGAATGTAATTTACAATTTGATCCATAGAGGATGAACAATCAACTAAAATAATTCTAAAATTACAATTTTTAATTAGTACAACAAAACATTTCAGTCCTTCCAACAAGATTTTCTTTAGTTATTACATTGAAAAAATATGTTGTTTCAAAGTACTATCAGTTATTTGAGCCTCCATTTGATGTCAACATAATTAGGTTATTAATCTATCTGTTTTTGCATCACCTAATTGTATTTGTTGATATAATTACATGTATTAAGTAAAAAGTAGTACTTAAACATGTCATTATTCTCAAATAATTTTATTATAAAGAAGCTTTTGTTGCATTTCAGAATTATTTTTAATTAATGAGGACTGTGTTGATCTTACAGTTTCTTTATCACACCAGGTCAAAACCTGTTTTTAACTAGGAAACATGACACCGCTGATTAAAAAAAACTAAAAAAAAATGGAGAGGAGAAAAAGTTCAACTCAACCTGGAAGTTTACACGAAAGAGCCGGGAGTTGGCACGAGGCTTAACATAACAGCCTTTCTGCACATTACTGCCCCAGGTGATGGCACCCAGTCAATGTTTACCTCCTCAGGAAGAACATTTGAAAAACCTGTTGTGTCAACTCTCATGCTAGCTGATGCAAAATAACATGTTTTATACAGTATAATTTGATAAACTACAAAAGGACAGCCCGATGTGTACTTTGAATTAGCACCATTATAACAAACAGCTTGATCATTTGAGCTAAACAAAAAACATTTACAATTCTACAAAATGGCTGTCAAAAATGTCTGTCCTACAAGATATATTTTGTTTAACTACAGGCTATTAGCATAGCAAACATTGAACTGGGTTTGACAGCAGGTGTGATACAGGTGTCTGTAGCCAAAATAGTAATGGCTGGTTTATAGCTTTTAGCCTCAGTTTCAGGTTGAATTCTGACTCTAATATCTGCCTTGTCCTGACATGACTTGCAATGAGTCTTTTAGTAAATACAATGAGCAACCTTCCTGCTACAACATGTCAAAGTAGCTGCAAGACTAAAGGACCTTTATCATCCTGCTGGGTGACTAACAATTTCAACGAATCATAACAATGAAGCTAAAGGTGATTTGTCAGAGTTTTAAGACTTGTTTAAGCACTTGGGTTAGTAACTGAAGGCAAATACGTTTCTCAGGTTGTGTTCAGTTCCTCCTGCCGTAGTTGTAAACTGGGCCTGGATGGGTTTAAAATGTAAAAGTCGAGTCTAATTTTTCTAACAAATCAGCACAGAATTTTACACAAATTGTATTTTAATTGAAGACTATTTATGTCATTTGTTTTATGTTTATTTGAGCCACTTAAATTAATTTAACTTTAACTTACAAATTTGTTACATTAGATAACAATGTAACACATTTTTTCCCAGTGTCACATTTAAAGGAAGGTCATGTCCTACAGACATTGGTTGTATTATGTATAAGTAGTATAAGTAACAATATGTATTATTTCTTGTCGCCTTATGTGGTCCAGCCAACTGTCTAGGGTGCCCCCCAGCCCTCTTCTCCCATGACTGCAAGGATTGTCTTCTGCATCCCTCGTCTCATCATGCTAACCAAGGAAACATCTACGACGTTAATGACTGCCTCAGAGCCTTTGTCACAGTGTGACACATGGATGAACTGAGTGACATGTCTTTATTATGGTAGAACCCCAACTGTAAGACCACCTGCAGAGTGGCAACAATAGCTACCCACTCCTCAGAAACAATGGACAATCTAGGCCAAACTGCCTTCTCCCATTGTTCCACTTGTCCTCCTCCAGTGAGCTTTACGCTTACAGCACTTGGTAGTCGGTTGTTAAAAAACAGCCAAAAACAAAATGTTTAGTGGTAATATCAAGGCAGCACAGCTTCGGATGAAAAATGAATTTAAAAGCTCTCACACTCACTCCTCCTTGCTGCCTCTCATTCATACTGACATGTATGCACAAGCAACTGGAAAAAAAATAGATATTTGATTACAACGTCCAGAGTAAAACTTCGGAATGTGGAATGTAATTCAATTAACACTGTCTATGTCGCCCTCTGGCGTTGCCAGTACGTAAATGCAAACGTAAATGACTCGTAACAAAAAACAAAAACACATCCATCCATCCATCCATCTTCAACCGCTTATCCGGGGCCGGGTCGCGGGGGCAACAGTCTGAGCAGGGACACCCAGACTTCCCTCTCCCTCGACACTTCCTCTAGCTCTTCTGGGGGGACCCCAAGGCGTTCCCAGGCCAGCCGAGCGACGTAGTCGCTCCAGCGTGTCCTAGGTCTTCCCCTAGGTCTCTTCCCAGAGGGACGGCACCCGAGCACCTCCCGAGGGAGGCGTCCGGGGGGCATGCGATGTAAATGCCCAAGCCACCTCAGCTGACTCCTCTCGATGTGGAGGAGCAGCGGCTCTACTTCGAGCTCCTCCCGCGTGACAGAGCTCCTCACCCTATCTCTAAGGGAGCGCTCTGCCACCCTGCGGAGAAAGCTCATTTCAGCCGCTTGAATCCTTGATCTCGTTCTTTCGGTCATGACCCACAACTCATGACCATAGGTGAGGGTAGGAACGTAGATTGACCGGTAAATTGAGAGCTTCGCCTTTCGGCTCAGCTCCTTCTTCACCACAACGGACCGATACAGCGACCGCATTACTGTGGCCGCTGCACCGATCCACCTGTCCATCTCACGCTCGATTCTACCCTCACTCGTGAACAAGACCCCCAGATATTTGAACTCCTTCACCTGAGGCAGGACTTCATCCCCGACCCGAAGGGTGCATACCACCTTTTTCCGGTCGAGAACCATGGCCTCGGACTTAGAGGTGCTAATTTTCATCCCAGCTGCGTTACACTCTACTGCAAACCGCCCCAGTGCATGCTGCAGGTCCTGGTTCGAAGAAGCCAACAAGACCACATCATCTGCAAAAAGCAGAGATGAAATCCGGTGGACAAAAACACAATAAAAAGTAAATACAGGACGTTTGGAGGCTAAACCAGAGGTTACATTGAGGTCTTAGATCAGGGGTGTCAAACTCATTTTCACCGGGGGCCACATCATCAATACAGTTCCCCTTGAAGGGCCGGTTGTAAATGGAAGACTGCATAGATCAGGGGTTCCCAACCCCCGGTCTGCGGACCAGTATCATTTGGTCATTTGGTACCAGGCAGCAGTGGGACACACTGAAAAACTGTAGTTAATTTTTACTAATTTACTTCATTCAAATAAAATCCGTCATTTCCATTTACTTTCTTTATTTGAAGATCATATTTTTAAAATAATAGGTCATAGGTAACAGGTGGTACTGGCTGACCAATATTTTGAACCAAAAAGGTTGGGGACCGCTGGTATAGATGTAACTACTCCATAACAGACTAGTACCTGTTTCTGCAATTTATTATTTATTCAAACTAAAAATATTGTTCATTGCTGTGTAATAAAAAACTTTTAATTTCTCAGGTTGAAGAAACTCTGCTGCATGGACTTTATTAAATCCTTTCTAAGCTCCTGCTGGCCACACAAAACGGTTTGGCGGGCCGCATTTGGCCCCCAGGCCTTAAGTTTGACACGTATGTCTTAGATGGATAAATATTTTGATACAGACGTTTATTGTTCTTTTGAACTGTCACAGCTAGCAGTACTTCTGATGCAATAAAGGCATGAAGGTCTCTGGTGAATGTGTTATTTGGTATTTATTGAAATAAATGGATTGAAAACTGTTGAAACATAGACATTTTATTATTATTATAATATTCTCAGCTGTTGAAATAAAGAGAAGAATGCAGTTTTGTTGCAAACATTACTCTTTACATTTATTCTGTGTTAAATACAGCCAGATGTGAACAGGGATCAACAGTAATGTTACTGTAACAACCATGCAGACTATGACATGATGATGTTTGAATTGAACTGGTTTGTTTCTATTTAAAATTAATGAAAAATTCATTTTTCTCATCGACTGAAAAATTGATCCCATATGGGTCACACCATGTGACCAATATACTCAATATGGTGCCTGTCAGCAAAGCAGCCAGGGGCTGCTCTGAGGCTCTCTCTCGCCCTGTTCCACGTTCTTACTGCTGTTTAGATGTTGGGATCCTCGTCCAGTTTAGTCAGGTCAGTGGCGGTGGCCATGAACATGCTGCGGCCTCGCTCTAGTCGGCTCTTCTTGTCCGTGAGGCGGAAGGCCTCCATGAACTCATCGATGTCAATGCTGCCGTCCTGGTTGCTGTCAATGGCAATGGCCAGGTCAGAAATGGCCTCGTCTGTGATTTCCATTTTCAAGTAGACGCTCAGCAGCTTCCAGGTCTTCCTGAAGTCCTCCAGGGAGATAAAGCCTGAGGAGGGTTAGGTCAGAGGTCATGTGTGTTCAGCTGGATTGAACAGAAGGTGATAGTGGGTGTGTGGTCACAGTGTGTGTGTGTGTGGTCAATGGTGGGGGTTGGTGTGACCAGTGGATCAGTGGGTTAATCCTCATCAAGGACCATTAAGGACCTTAACTTGTTGTGGTGGTTAAGGAGGCTCAGAAAGACAGGACTGTGTTAGGGTTTGACTGTGGACAAAAGTGACACAACAACAACATGAAGCTGTGACTAATTTTACATCAACACGCACTGAGTCACAGTCACTGCGATGACATCATTGAAGTCCCATCAATTTCCAAATTCACAATTTCTTCAGTTTCTTTACTTCAATAACTATGTTCTACTATTCTAAGCATTACTGTAGCTCAAAACATCTGTTAATATGTTCATAAATATCAATTATAATGTTTTCTATTTTATAAACATTTTATAAAGGAAAATCAGAATTTTAATATTGTTCAGACAAAGATATGAATGTAAATTTATTTATATTTTTTATTATTAACCGTTTACCACTGGTAGTATTGACTATTTTATGACTAACTTTGTATTTAACTGTATTTGCACAGGAAGCTCATGAAACTTTACTTCTTTAAACAAAAATAATAAAGAATACTGTTTTTGCAGTCACAGATAACTGTTGATAAATGTTTCTTGATTTGATTTTTTTTTTTTAAATATTTTTTCAATTCTTTCAAATTCCATTGTTTGGTCTTTTTGGAGCAGAGCAGTTGTGTCCATTTGTCCCACTGATATCTTTGGTTTTACCTGAATTGTCCGTGTCCACTATTCTGAATATGGTCTCCAGAGTAGAGCGGTGACGATACAAGGTCTCCAGCAGACTCTGGTCAATGTGCTGCGAAACGAGAAAAAAAATGAGGGTAGAAAATCTTGGTGTTTGGTGATCGTTACAATTGCCATTTTCAAAATGGCAATTGTAACGATCGCTTCCGGTAGGCGGGTAGACGCCACGGTAGGCGGGTAGACGCCACTTCCGCTTCGGCGGTGTGGTTGTCTAACTTGACGGAGATGTGAAACGTTCCGATGTTGGTAAGCGCTGATGAACCTAAAACACTTTTTGTTTTGTACATAAAGCCATTTGCCTGTAATAAAGCTGTAGTCGAAGTAGGACAACTTTCGTGTTCACTTATTTTTCACTTCTCCACACAACCTTTGGTAAAACTGCTGTGTTTGTCTGAAGAAAACTCAAACTGCACAGCCTAAATCACAGCTAAATTATCCAAAAAGACTTTAATCTAGACCGGATCATTTACAGACCGTCTTTGACGACATGAGATCACTTAATCGACACCTCTCCACTCCACAGCTCCTCCCTGTTAATTACCATGACTTCATCCACCTGTCTGAACCAGCTGTCTACCTCCAGTGTTTAAACAAGGGGTGTCAAACTCATTTTCACCGGGCGCCCTCTGGCGTTGCCAGTACGTAAATGCAAACGTAAATGGCTCTTGTAACAAAAAACAAAAACAAAAAGTAAATACAGGACGTTTGGAGGGTAAACCAGAGGATACATTGACGTCTTAGACCACGGGTGTCAAACTCATTTTCACCGAGGGCCACATCATCAATACAGTCCCTCTTGAAGGGCTGGTTGTAAATGACTGTATAGATCAGGGGTACCCAACCCCCCGGTCTGTGGACCAGAACCAGTCTATAGGTCATTTGGTACCTGCAGTTTATTACTAAATTACTTCATTCAAAGAAAATCCAGTCATATCCATTTACTTTCTTTATTTAAAGAGAATCTGATAATATTCTAAAATAACAGGTCATTCAGACTCTGATACAAACAGAACAGAGTCTAAAAGATATTTTATTTTGAAAATGTAATGATCCTTCGAAGCTCAGCACCTTGCTACCAGTCTGTAGTAACAGATGGTACTGGCTGACCAGTCCTTGGAACAAAACAGGTCAGGGACCACTGGTATAGATGTAACTACTCCATAACAGACTGATACATGTTTCTGCAATTTATTATTATTTGATTAATTATAAAACATTTACTTTCTTAGGTTAAGAAACTCCCGTGGGCCCACACAGAATGGCTTGGCAGGCTGCATTTGGCCCCCAGGTCTTGAGTTTGACACATATGGTTTAAATACTCTCTCAGACTGACCATGTGGGGCTGGTTCTTCCTTATGTCTTCCTCATGGTCCTGGGTTCACCTGCTTTCACCCTAGGCTACAACACTATGTGTGCATCCAATCAGAAGCTCTGGCATCTCTCTGTCTCCCTGAGCTCCTGTTCCTACAAATGTTCTCTGTTCTTCATAAGACTATAAATCCATAAGTCTTCTCCACTTCCTGCTTCCCTTCACTTCACTTCTACGTTGGACACTGTGATCCCCCTGTATGAACTTATCTCCTGGTCTCTTCTGTGATTAGGACTGTCCTGAATTTAGTTAACATTTTACTCCTGCACTTTGGCTCCATTCAGATTCAGACAAACGTTCCTTACATCAGTGTTTGGTCCTTTGATGGCGAGGTCATTGAACCAGTCGTAGTAGTTCAACATGCCGTCACTGGTTTTATTGGTGACCAGCTGACAGCTCAGCATCCTCCAGGGCAGACCAAGGTGCATCACACTCTCCACTGCAGATGCCCAGTCAGTAAGAGACACCAGACCTGAGGGGTCAAACAGGAAGCTGCTGGTGGAACACAATCTGATCATTTAATACCTGATCCCTTCACTGGTTAATCGCAGTGAGATTTTCATACTAACAATTATTCAGACACATTTCTAAATATCTATATAAACAAAAGATGATTAAAGATAACTACATAAGCATATGGTGCATTCCAGATGTAGCTTGTGTGGTAGCGTGGCCGAGTGGTCTAACAGGCTGGATTTAGGCTCCCCTCATTTCGATGGTGTGGGTTTGAATCCCACTGCTGCCAATCCCTCCTAAATGTCTGGAAGAGGTTAATAAAGTTCTGCATAAAAGATGTTTTAATTACAGTGTAGTTCTTTCTATCTATCTATCTTGAAATGAAGTAGTAAATTTAAAGCTATTTCTGAAACATGACGTCCTTACTCAGCTTCTAGTCTCATTAATTACGATGAGCCTGTGTCACGTGACTTCTCTTTATTATGAAGACAAAACATTTTACTGTGAAAAAGCCACGTTTTATTTTATTTTATTCTAATATACATATATAACCGTCAATTTCATCTAAATTTTTTAATAATTCCCGTTTAATGTAGTTTTTTTCTAGAATAAAATAAAATAATTGAATAAATAAATAAATGCACGGTTCTGTACTTTTTACCAGTAGGTGGCAGTGTCTCTTTTTTTAAAATGATTCCTGCTTTATAAAGCAACCTTAAGAAGTGCAGAAGTACATTGACGACCGACATGCATCACGGAAATACTACACACACACGCACCTGTGTCGTCACTGTCGTACTTTCTGAAGGCACACACGAGATCAGATTTGTGGGAAAAAAGCTGTTCTCGAAGGACTTTGAGGGCGGAGCGTTCAGTTCGTCCGACACTGTAAACAAAACACACTCAGTTATAATAAATAGAAATTCAGTTACATAAAAAAAACCGTGAAAGTGTTTGTGTGGCCACTCCACAGACATGAGCTCACTGCCAGAAGCACATTTATGATTATTAATGAACCTTTGAATTTTTCCACAATCATCCGTTCTTGTTTTGTCAGTTTGTTTTGCAGCTTTTATCTTAATTTTCTAACTTTAAAATCCTAGTCTGCAGAGATCCGCTAAAATGATTGATTCTCAAGTTAAAATTAACTTAACTGAAGCACATCCGCTTTTGGTGGATGTATGTGTTTTAATGTAATATGGAAAAATGTAAAAAAAAAAAAAAAAAAAGATGTGGAACAATTATTCAAAATTCACCTTCACACAGTTAATACATCAAAAACTGACCTGACGGTGACGTCTGCACAAAAGCACGTTGAGCGTTGAGGCGGTTTGTAGCGCCCCCTTTTGTTTAACCTCGAGGTGCTTTAGTGAAAACTTGTCACAGTGTTTGTAAATGACAACATGTGTATTGATTGTGTCTTGCGGCAACACTAAAATAATATATCGATACATTATAAAGATACAATCCAGTTATGAGATAATTAATGTATTCATTTTTAAATCCCTAAAAAAAAAACAAAAAAAAAACAACAACAACAAAAAAAAAAAAAAAAACACAAAACCAGTGCCAGTTGTCATTGGTTATTGGTGTATTTTCTAGTGTGGCTCGGTACCTTTGTCTGACACTGAGCTCTCTGGTCAGCCTGCTGGCCTGGTACTGAATCATATAAGGCACGAGGTTCGGGCCCAGCTTGACGTAGGCTCCCCGGTTGCTGCCCACGTCGTAGTAATTAGAGGCAGAGAACAGAGTAAGGACCTACATGTGAAATGAGAGAAGAACTTGTTTTGTATTCATATTTTACAGTCTACTGACAGAAATACACGTGGTGTATTTGTTCATTCATGACCTTCCTATTTGACCTCTAGCCTCACCTTTCTGTTGTGACAAAACTCATAACCCTCCTGTTTGCACTCATGAGAGCGAATAATGAGCTGGAGGTTGTGTCTGTTCAGGAAATCCTCAGTGACATCAGGCCCCCAGTAGCAGCCCCCTCCTCGGACTTCATTGGGTATGCAGCCGTGCTGGGTCATGGGGTCACTCCACAGCAGATCCAGGATCTGGAACGTCACGGAAATGACACCGTGACGATGTCATAATGTTTACTTCCAGTCGTACATGGAAGCTGCTGACGCCTGACGTGTCCAAACCAAGTATAATCTTCAACATTAACTTTACCAAATCCAACCTGCTTTGTAGGACACTGACACAGAAACACTGAGCCTGGTGCTTAAAGTGATGACGACGGAGAGATTAATGACGCAGTGGATTACAGCACGGTGAAGCCCACTCAGTCAACGACCTGCTCTGAGGGGAGAGCCCTGATCACTGAAGACTAGAGTTGAACTGGTATGTGCTGCTGTGTCTGTTCTAATCACATTGAACATTGTGCTTTAACAAACTGATAATAATGTTGGGCAGTGGCTGAGGCTCAGATCATAGACATCGTATAAGAAATGGACATCCAGTTGCAGGGAAATGTTATAAGGATTCTTTAAAAAATTCGGCTTGTGGCTGTGAATTTTTATAGACATCTAATTACCAAAATTGGTAAACAGTTAACAGTAAAGTTGTAATATCATTATTCCAATAGTTAAAATTTCACTACATTCAGCCTTGAGTAAGTAATTATACTTTTAAAAATAATAAAAAGCAGAAACTTGACTTCAGCAGCAACAAACTTCAGGTTTGTTGTTTTTTTAGTAGAAAATGAAACTGAAAAAATCAGCCTCTGGTGTTCATCCTTTACCTGCTTCCACTCCTCATGGACCGTGTCACTGTTGACAGTGGACACAGGTGGCGGCGTCTCCTCCTTGAACACAGCTATGAAGGCAGATTGTCTTTTCCTGGGGAATTCCAGCTGATCCTTCACATTCACGTTGGTCCGACTGGAGAAGTCCTGCAGCGAGCGGTTGTGGAAGCTGTTACGAGATCCCAGGGTGTTGTTGGAGTAACGAAGGGACGCCCGGCGATGGAGGAACTTACTGCTGGACCAGGAGTCCTCGTCTGCCTCAGAGTCGATGGACAGGTTACCTGAGCTCATGTTTCTCTTCTTTGGAGGCCTTAGTGCTGACACATACTGGACAAAGACAAATATGCAGGTGTCAGGTATTTTCTAATATATATATATATATATATATATAATAAAACAACATCAAAACAAACACAGGTTTGTCTGTTTAACCCAGTATTTCTCAAGTAGTGGGGCGGGGCAGGAGAGAGCGGGGTGAGGTGCCAGGGGGTGTGTGAGGGGCTTCCAGTGGAATATGGCACACTGGACATAAGTGTACCACTGCTGTAATGCTTCAATGATAACAAGCCTCCAGTCACTAGGGGGCAGCAACTCATACTGTGGTTTGTACAGATAAAAATATACAAGTTATCAGGTTCTCAATAGTAGTTCAGTTTGCGGGGGTGTGGATCGAGGTGGGTGGGGGAGTGAAAACATTTCTGTCTCCAAGGGTGGGCATGACAGAAACTAATTAAGAACCACTGGTTTAACCCAACATCATGTCCCATGTCCTCACTGTGTGTCTGTCCACTCTGGCAATGACTCCCAGGTCAGTGGTGTCTGAGATGCCCCCGTGTAAAATCAGTACTTTCTGGTCGATCACCGTGGCCAGTGGTAAATAGCTGAAAATCTTCTGCAACAGCTTCAGGATCCGTTTACCATGAAGCTGAAAAAACAAACAAAAAAACCATACACCCACGCTGGAGATAAGTGATCATTTTTCTCACCCTTCCGCTTGAAACTGTAAACTGTATGGTGTGAATGATTATCTGAACCACCGGCAGTTAATTAGCTACAGGTCAAACAGTAGTCAGAACCCACCTTATATTTGGTCAGCACCTCCTTTGTAAAGCCATATCTGAACCAAAGAAAAACAACAAAAGTCAGATTTTATTACGGCACATAGAGGACAGACATCATTGTCAACGTCTAAGGTCATTTCCTTTGACCTCAGGTTAACCATGTGGTCTTCATGGTTTCCTCTGTTCAGGTAGACATCGTGGGGATAGACGATGAGGAACGCAAAGAGGATGAGGAGGATCTCAATGGAGTCCTGGCCCCGGTCCACGAAGTCTCCATTGAAAACATAGGGTTTGTCTAGGGATGGCATACCATTCTGTGACACACACACAGCAGGGCACAGCAGGGTGAAAGGTCATTCTGAAATCTTGTGAATGTCCAGACACACACATGTTAAATATGTAATTGATGAACATTCACTTGAAACAATTCCGTTTCACAGTTTGATTCTGACCTTGTAGAAAATCAACAGCAGGTCTTCTAGTTGACCGTGTAAGTCACCTGCAACGACAACAACTCATGATAATTATATTTGATTAAGGAGGAAAATATTATAATAATTTAATGGCTGTTCTAAACTTATGAATGTACTGTAAATATGGGAACACCATCAAAAACCTGAGAGTTGGTTGAATATATTTGTAGAAAATAGAAATTTTAAATATGTTATAAATATCATAATGATACATAATGATTTCTATCACATACCTCAGGGATAAAAATTAAGCAGTTGAATAAAGTTGTATTTTATGTAGCTATATGTGGTTTGTTTGTTTGTATGTAATGGCTGTGCTAGCTAATATTAATAAAAACCAGATAAGAAAAATAAAATCATCAACTTCTCTCAGCTCACCACATATTGTGATTTCTTTACTGTGGCAGGTGGAGATGCGATTGATGTTAGGCATCATCCGCATCAGTTTCCAGGTCTCTAGTAGGAGCTGCAGGACGTAGCGAGAATGCAGCTGCTGCTGGGACAGAGACTCAGTCAGCGACAAGTGTCCAGAGCAACACACATTTTCATCAATCGTTGAGAGCCTAAATCTGATGGTTATCAAGGCTCTAAGACGTTTTTGAGTCACAGGCTATGAGTGTATTGACGTAGGATGACATGACTGTGGTCTATCTATAAAAGGGGGCGCTACAGAACAAGTTTGGGAGACACTGCCTTGGCTTAGAAACATTTGACTCATCATCAACGTACTCTCTTGTCCCTGAAGGCCTCCACCAGCCCCACCGCCTGCTCCACCGTCAGGGGGAAGATGAGACGAGGTCCTGAGTAAACGTCTGGCACCTCGATGTTCTCGAAACAGAAGTATCTCTCCCACTCCGTATCACGACAGACCTCATTCTCTCTGAAGATGTGGGAAATTAAATTTCCTGAAAGATAACATCTCCAAATGTGATTCCAGTGCAGTTTGACCACTTAGCCTTCAATGGAGATCAGTTGGTTCTTACGCTCATTGCTGGACGGTGTGAAGTTGTCCATGAGGTAGCCAAGGAAGTTGTAGAGCTGAACAAAGAAAATAGATTTAATTTGATTTAATTTGACTTAAAAGTTAAATATTTAATAGAAACACAGGCACCTAAAAAAAGACTAGATCATGAGGATACTTTTTTTTTAACCTTAATCTGAGCCTGTTCTCCTGAGTATTCGATGGACTGGAAGATGTGCCAGGTGCATCTTCTTCTCATCTCTGTACGAGCGACATACTGACGGTACCATTTCTGGATGAGAACAGCTGCTCTCATGGCTGACATACAGACAGAGGGTTACCATGACAACCGCAGCTTTAGCATCATTTATGCTAAAGCTAAAGTCATAATTGAAAGTAACATGTATTTGCACTACTTCTGCGTAATTGTACAGTTTACATCTGCCATTGACTGCAAAACCAATATGAAGAAACATGTTGGTCTTACTTGTCACTGCTGCACGATGCGGAACAGACAGAAGACAAAAAAACAATGGAAACAACTCATAGGTTAAAGACAAAATAAAACAAAATAATAGTAACAAAATGAGAAAGTATACATGTGCACCTGTGTCTGTTACCTTTTCCTGATTGTTTTTGAAACTGGTCGGACTTTGAGATGCCACTTCCCATGACTGACGCTGCTGTTGAAAAACAATGATCCACAACTACATCCGGGAAGTTGACAACAACATTGCCTCAGAGAACAGAAGCTGGAAGATGTCAACTTGATGCTTTTAACTGTATCAAAAACACGAGTGCAGATCCAGTGACCATCTATGTTTTATTTGTATTATTTTATTTAAGTTCATTGCATTTCTTTTGTCTCTATTGACAGAACATAAACTGCAGTGTGGCAGCAGAAAGGTGAAACCTGGAGGATATTAGAGTGTGTGCCCTTTAAATCTCATTACCCGGTTGGTTCTTTTCTGACCGTGATGACCTCAATCCTGAGGCGGACGACCCTTTCTGTCTTTCTGACTTAAATCAGGTGATTCACAAAGCCCAAGGAAGTGATATAAGTAATATTTATTTATTTATTTATTTGGTTAATAGAGACAAAAGAAATGCAATGAACTTAAATAAAATAATACGAATAAAACATACATGGTCACTGGATCTGCACTCGTGTTTTTGATACAGTTAAATCCTTAAATCTATGAAATACAAATTATTAGACATTTTAGACCAAACACTGCAGGTTTATTTTAAACTGTCTCACTCTTAACTTTATTGTTTGCAAATGCTGCTTTTTGCACAAGACCAGATCAGCCAATCAGTGTAGGCGTACACCTAGAGCTTTAGACATTGGAGGGCTTTTTCAAATGATTAGGAAATAAAACATATCAATTCTTCAAATATTTTTTTTGTTTATACCAAATAATTTAACACAAAGGATTCTTACAACTAAAGCGTCCTTGTATGATCGCTTACGTGGCCGCCTATTTTATCCCGTCATCTGTTCCCAGGCTCTTTGGTCGTCACTCCCTTGTGTCAGCACGGTTTTTAAAGATCCAATTGCTTTCTTTCATCCTCCACTAGTTCTTCAAGTTTAGGTTAGAAACTGCAGGCTTTCACTGAGACTGTTCATTGCAGACAGGTGGATGTCACCACACAGGCGTCATGTGCGAGGCTATCCCTGTGTGACGACTGGTTTAGGCTTTAGTGCCTTGGTGTGATCCTTAAATCAAGGCAACAAGTCACAAGGAGATTACCTGAGCTAATGACTTGATGCGACTAGTCTGTGTCCTATAGAAGCCATGGTGCAGGTTTGCATAAAGAGAGAGAAAACAAGGTGCAGGTTAGCATGAAGAGAGGGAGGACAACATGTTGTTTGGTTTTAAAGCTCTGCTGATAAGAAATATAATAAGAAATAATAATGTGCATAATAAACATGTTAAAAGGAAAGTGAATACATAATAGAATTTTGCCTGTAAACGGAAATAAGTGAGCAAGTGTTGTCAAGTTATTGTTCGGGGATTTGAGGTGTTCTCATCTAGTCAAATTACTGATTATTCAAGTTTCTATTTCTTCACTAGGGAGTTGAGCAATGTTAAAAAACAGAAAGTACTTGCACTTATTCAGTTGTTCCACTAGAGAGCAGAAGATAGCTGTCGATTTTTGCAGCGTTTAACCGTTCAATAGATATAATCTTTTTTCTCCTAGAATATTTAAAAATTAAAATGTTAATTTAAAGTTAAATGTATTGTACGACTACAAAATTAAAAATCGCTATCAAAACGGAAAGGTTCAAAACAACTATAAAAACAACAACATAATAATAACAATAATAATAACAATAATAATAATAATAATAATAATAATAATAATAATAATAATAATAATAATAATAATAATAATAATAATAATAATAATAATAATAATAATAATAATAATAATAATAATAATAATAATAATAATAATAATAATAATAGTAATAGTAATAGTAATATGTGTTGTTGTGTATTTGTTTAAAAAAAACAAGTAAAAACATTTTTAAAAAGAAGTGTAACGAACAACGGCAAGCACTGTTAACTGTTGCACTTTTAAAGGCCACCTTCCTGTGGCAGAAGTGGATGACTTCCGCATAGCTCAGGTCAGTTTCGTTTGCGAACTAAGCTAACTTTGTTAGCAGCTGTAAACACGTCATTCTGTTCTTTTACATGAAAAAAAAGCGATGTGTGTGTTTTATTTACAAGAATGAAACGCAGTTTTTACATGTGCCGCAAATGTTTGTGTTTCATTTTCAATACAAAAAAGACTTTTGAGCTAGAGTCAATTCCATTACATGCACAGCAGTGTTTTGATGTTGACAGTGTGACGACGATAATTGGAATACGATGCTGTATCAAATGCTGTACGACTTGAGTCTTTTTAGGAGCTGACATTTTTGTCAAGGGCCTCAAGCCAATATTGTACTATACTAAACTGGTATTCCTGTTATCTCATGTTTTAATGCACATTTCAGAAACGTCGTCGTTCAATTCAATTTGTTTTGGGTAAAAGCTTACAGTTCATCATTTAACTGGAGCCCTTTGACGCTATAAATTCTAAATGTTTACACTTTTTAAATTCAAAATAAATCACAAAAAACATCAAGGCCATGTTCTAAATGGGGTTTTTGTGTGTGTGTTGTTGAATATAATGTTTTTTGTTCAGTTTTCTCTCCTCTAGTTGCCCTTTCACAGCTGTTTACCTAATTCAAGGAATCGATTGTTTGTTATGGAAATTAAAACAGACCAAGAGAAATTGAAGATGTCTGATGTAACTGAAAACTTTAACAATTTGGGCTTTGTTTCTTTAAAAGAAAAATCATAACAGGCTTTTTTACTTCACCATAAAATCATTTTTTCACACTGTTGCCAAACAGAGAGGGATCCTCCCCTCGGTGACTTAAAGAGTTCAGAGCATTGGAAACATTGCCTTTGTCATTGATCAGTCCTGACTGAACTGTGAGGATGAGAATTGCTGTGCTGGGAGCCACTGGGCAGACTGGTCAGTATCTGGTCAACCAGGCTTTGCAGCAAGGTCACACGGTCACTGCAATTGTCAGGAACCCGGGGAAGCTCACCGTACACCATGATAACCTCAAGGTAAAGTAACACAGTAGGTGGAATGTGCTGTGTGATTTTGTCTGTCGCTGGTTATTCTCTGACAGCTCAAAGTTCACTCTGTGTGATCTTAGGTCAGAGCGTGTTGTGTTCAGGTGTAGTTATGGTGTAGGAAAACTGGCTAGTGATACAGTACAGTACAATGCATATTTTGCCGTGGGTTCACACAATGTGAAACTGGTTTAAATGATAATGTGGACTAAAGCAAAAAAAGTTTTGTTATTTTTCTTCTTTATAAATAAAGTCATTTGACTTGAGTCTTTGACAGAAAATTTAAAAAAAGTTTTACATTTAATCATTTAGTTGTTACTTCTGGGCAGAAGTTCCTTCCTTTGTATGAGTTTTGTGGGTTTGTTTTCTAAATATCCTCCAAAATTTAATATAATCTAAAAACATGAACGTGGAGAAGACTTTTGTGACAATATAAATAATGTATAAACGTGAGTATGAGTGGTTGTTTTTCTGTTTAAAGAATGAAACCGTGTTATTGTCGAGTCCCAGGACAACAAAGAAAATGTATATTTGAATTAACCTTAAAATTGTGTTTTGATCTCCGTTTTAATACAAATACTTTCCACTTTTCAACAGAACAGATTAGGTTTTGTTGTCTGTGAAAAAGATTAAAAAACAAGTTGCTGCTGCCTCTGCAGTCAACTTTGCAAAATGTTGTTTTATTTTATTTTTTTAATTTAAAAGGAACAATAGTGAACTGTTTTCTACCCTGTCTGTCCAGGTGGTGGAGGCTGATGTTTTTTCAGCCGACAGTCTGAAGGCTCATTTCCAGGGACATGATGTGGTCATGTCCTGCCTTGGCTTCTCGACCTCCTTTTTTTCTGCAGTCACCGGCTACACTCTGTCCATGACTGCTGTGGTAAACGCCATGAAAGAAGCCGAGGTCAACAGAGTCATTGCTATGACGTCATGGTACACCGAGCGTGAGTCCAACTTCCTGGAACTGATCCACATAATCATCAAAATTAATCAGACTGGTCCATGGAGCCATAACTGAAATGTCCATGTTTTGTTTTTCTTTACTAATTCACTTTCACATCTTTAGACGCTTATTAGCAGCAAAATGCTAAGCTAGGAGCGTGAGCCATGATGCTTGAAAACCAGACAAACAAACAGTACTTTCCCTCAAATTAATTTAAAACACATATGTACAGAATTTAGTCAAATTAAAGTGCCATAGATAATTGCAATAAACATGCAGTTCATACATGAGTTTCAGTAAACATGAAATGAAACAGTACAACGTTTTTGAACAATTTTGGCAATTTTTTGGGGTTTGTGCATTTCTGTGTATTTCAGACTTAATATAATTACACTGTATGGGGTAGACAGTGTCATTTAACCTGTTATACTTTTTAGTATAGTATTAGTTTTTATCATTTAATTGTCTTTACAGTAAATGTTTATGTGAAGATGAAAAAAAATGTTTTGTCATCTGTTTAATCATTAGCCAACTCTGGAACTCAGTCCCCTTATCTCATCCGCTTCCTTCTGCTGCCCATGATCCGAAGCGTCCTGACCA